AGGGGCAGAAGATCTCTCTGTCTCTCTCCCCCCCTTCCTCCTGGACGGTGTCCGAGCAAGCTGTCTCTGTGTTTCTGTGATTCTTCCGTTGTCTGGGATCCGGGAAAGAGGTTCCTAATATCAATAATGATTGCCTTAACCGTTACGGCCGCACCGCACCGCACCGCGGTCCTCGCCTGGGATTAGCTGGGCTGTGGCATGCAGCTGCTCGAACCGAACCGAACCGGTTCCACGGACGCGCTCTCTCGGTCCGAGCGGATCACCTTGCCCTGGGCCAGCACTTCCCAGGCTCTCTCTTTCGCTCGCTCTGTCGGGCGACCACAGTTGCAGCCTCCTGTTGCCTCCTCCTGATATTCGCAATCTGCGTGGCATGCCACCACCCCGATTCAGGTGGCGGAGGCGCCGCAGGACTGCCACTAGGCCGCCACTAGGGGCTGTCTTTGTGTGCTTTTGTTGTGCCAAAATGTTTGCTACTTGTTGCACAATCGAGCAGCGCCACAGGGGGGGCGGCCCAACTACCCAAGAGGCGTGGCCCAAGTGTTGGCCTAATCACCGGCTCACCGGCTCCGCCGGCCGTGCACTTAGCGGCATCCTCAGAGCGACGCGACAAAAAGGGGGAAGAAAAGCTTCATGGGAAATAAATAATTAGTGAATGGACCACTTGCAGTGCCCCGAAGAGGGGTTAAACTTTGAGCGGGGAGCAGCAGCAGGGAGAGTGCTAACAAAAAATTGACGCTTTTTTTTGTGTGGGTATTTTTTTTGTCTGTTTTGTTCATAGCAGTGTGTCCATTGAATGGCGCTAATAGCGCTAAACGAATCAATTCCAAACGCCGAAAGCAGTAAAAAGCGTTGCCGCAAAGCTTACGAATCCGTAAGATACAGATACAAACACACACACACACACACACACACACACACACACTGATACACTGGGGCGCACCTGGGTCTCAGCGTCCAAAAATTGATTATGTAAATATACATAGAAATAAATAAAACTAAAATCAAAATCAAAATAGAAATGGAAATGCTAATGATGCCGCATCTCCATCTCCATCGGCGACTTTGTCTCCGATTTCCATCCCATCGATTGCCAAAAACCAATGCACGCACATGGGCGTTGTCTGTCTGTGGCTGCCACGCCCCGTTTTGGCTTGGACCAATGTTGTAATACACACTCCATTACCCCCCCGCCCTGCCCAACAGACGCGGCTTCAGCATGGACTCGCTACATTCGGGCATTCCAGGGCAAAGCGAAAACCAGGAGCAGCAGCAGCAGCAGCAGCTTCATTCGCATCCGCAGTACCAGGATCATGGCTTAAGTTTGTCCCTGCCACTGGCCCTGCCTCTGCACCATCAGCAACCTGCCCTTTTGCTGAACGAGGAGCAGCAGCATCAGCACCAGCACCAGCACCATCCTGCCCCACAATCCATCGCCAGTACAGGTGCAGTTGCAGGTCCAGGGAACTATCCCATCTACAGCTACTATCGCCAGCAGAGCCACGAGGCCGCAAAGGAAACCAACAACAATAACAGCGATCCCCATGGGGCAGCAGAAATGCTGTGGAGGTAAGTCGCCAAGTCGTCGCATTGTTGGCCTGGCTGTCAGATTTCCCTGGAAATCAGCCGCATGCGGCACGTCGCCTCGCGGGTTATGAAAAACACACACGCGGAGCATCGGAACGCGATTCTGTTCTGTTTTATTGGGCCATGATGAAACCGTAACCGTAATACTGTTCGGGGGCCTGGAAAAGGTCGCGCGTCCGAACACTTGGTTTAGAAACACAATTAAAAGATAGCCACAGTGGACCCCCAAAATAGTGTCTCCACATACGAAATAGGCAGCAGCTTTGGACACTAAAAAAATGGGAAAATTCTTGGGTCTTTTAAGTGATACAAAATATATATAATCGCTCGTATTTCGACAGACTAAAATGCCGATCTTTAAGCATATTGCCATCCATTCTATTTCTATCCCTAGAACTCTTAGTAATTAAATTTAATCCAACAAAAGAGCTTCGTTTGAAACACTTGGCATACTATAGCCCATAGCTCTCTAGCCAGAGAGCACTGTAGCCAAAAAAAAATACATAAAACAATGAAGAACAACGATATGAGCAGCACTTTGTGTACATATCTAATAAATGTGTCTGTGTGTTTTGTTACTTTTCGCGCTTCCCCGTAACCGCTACGTGAGTTACACGGCTCTGACCCTAAACTAAAAGCGGAATGGACGGGCAACACAGCAGACAGCAGCGGACAGCAGCGGACAGCAGCGACATCGTTCACATATCGCATTACGAAAAAATGTTATAGCGCAGCCGGAAAGCGGGATTCGGGATCCGGGATCCAGCGGGGGGGGAGGGATCAGAGTGTCATTTTTAATAGCGAAAATGTTCTGCAGAACAAACTCGTAAAAAAAAGCCAAAACAATCTGTTTTTTTGTCTTTTTCGTTTTGGTTGTTGTTGTTGTTGCTATACCCATGCTATACCCATGTCGATGTCCGAAAACAAAAACAACTTCGGGTGAAACCGGGACACTCGCTGGCAGGCCGCAGAGGGAGACTTGGCTGCGGCGACACGCCAAGTGCCACAAAATGGGGCAAGAGCGTAAGCGATCGCAATCTCTGCCGCGGCCGTTGTCAACGTTGAGCAATGCCAAAAAAAAAGAAAAAGAAAAAAAGTACAACAAAAACGAAGAACAAAATACCGAAAAAACGCAGAAAGCGCTTGCAACAGCTGCTAACGGAAGAACGAACGGACAAGCGGACAGCGGACAAGCGGACAACGGTCGGACAACTGATACGAACAGATCGCCAGACCTGTAGCTGTATCTGTATCTGCATCTGTGTGTCCAAAGGTGTGGCTCGGACTCGCAAGACTTCCAACATCGACAAATTTAAAACAAATTTTGGGACTTTCTAGCTGAATTTCCATATCGAATTTCTTGGAGAGTATTTGGAGGCTGACCACGAGATGTTGATCCTTTAACATCTTTGAAAAGGAACCGTAGTAATTCTACTCAAGGTTTTCACCATATTAAAAATGCCTCAACGAATAAGAATCCTAGAGAAGCAATCAATCAAATACATAGAGTCTGAGGAAGGATTAAGACCGGAAAAACAATTACGTAATCACAGAAAAATTCCTACAACTACTAACCATACTCACAGTATTTAATGACAGAAGAGCCAGTCGAAAAAGTTCATAAAATAATAAAACAATATTAGCTATAAGGAAACGCTGGCAGATTCGTTCTTTGTATGACAGGTACCAGGATCATATGGTAATCTAATTAAGCTCTACATATGTAAGCTATGATATGAATGATAGTAAACTTGATTGTGGTTGGCTAATAATCTTTAGAACGAATGAGTGCTGGAGTGGAATGAGTTCTCTCATCAGATGAAACAAATTTCTAGTGTTTTCCATGCTTTGAATAAAAGCACAGAATTTCTTCTTTCATTTCTAAGTGTCTGTTCCATCTGGTCATCCTGTGTACTCTCCACTCCATATAATTTATCCAACATAACTGTTTGGGTTGCCCTTTTGTTTGTTGGTCTTCAGCCAGAGTTTTCCCTCAAAGAGCTTTAATTGTGTCGCCGAACGACGGGGGAAGTAATGCCTCGACCAGATCCGGTTTACCAGTTGCCAGCTGCAAGGACTTTGCTTTGGGTGACCTTGGTGGCATGTCTCCTGTCTCCTTGTGTCTCTCTCCTACCTCTCTCTCCCTTTTAGTCTCTGTGTTTGTGGTCTTTGTTTCTCTTGCTGTTTCTCCGGTAAAATGCCAAAAGTTATCCATTTTCGATTATAGGATGGAGCATGGAGACAGCGATCGTGGTGCCTAATTTATGACTGTTCCTAGAGTTGTATCCGATAGGGCGATCGATAAGAGAATCGTTGGTTTGGGGGGGAAGGGTAGACCCACGGTCTGTGGGGTATGCTGCTAATTTGGATGCCCTCCCCGTCCCTTTGAGTCTCTTTCTCTCTGAAATTCTCTCCATTCTGCTGCCATTCAATGGGAATTTTTACTCGCATACCCTAGCATGAGGTACTACAGACCCAGTTTACAATCTGTACAAGAATATGTACACATGTATATTCCCAATCAGCAGCAGCATAAATGCCATTGCCATCTTGGAAATCTATTATTTTACCTGATTCAGCTGTACAACCCACGCACATATCATTGGAGTATATGGCTGTCTCTGGATCTCCTGTTCCTTAACGAGCGGTATTCTCGAGTGTTTCTAACATATGTATAGCTATCGGCCAGGGTATCTAATGCTTCGGGTTGGAAGCTATCCTTCTCGTTTTCTTGTTTCTCGTTTGTTGCCAACTGCTGCCTGGCTGGCTCTGGATGCTGGCCAAAAGTTGTTTTGGTTCTGGATGGATGTTGTAGTTGCTGGCTGTTGCAGTTGTTGTTTCTGTGGTGGTTGTTTGTGTCTCCGTTGTTGTTGTTGCTGGGCCAGAGCACTTGCCGCCGCAGCAGGCTGGAATCTGGTTTGTATGTACGAGTGCCAGTGGCAGTGCCAGTGCCAGTACGAGTGGTGTTGTTGCATGTGTGATTATAGCTGGGATTGCTCCCATTTGGGCGAGGCAGGTACACACCATCCCCATCCCCATCCCCATCCACCACATTCACATTCACATCCAGGTATCCACTTGGCTTGCGCACAGGTGTCTGCCGAAGGAGTTGTTTTTGTTTGTTGTTTGTTGTTGTTGTTGTTGTAGATGTGAATGAAATTAGCCTTGTTGCACTTGCAGCAGCTTGATTGTGATTGCATGTGTGATTTCATGTGTGATTGCTGCACTGATTGCGGTGTCGCTGATTCTGATTGATAACCGCTGATTCTGCTCGTGTGGGGGTGTCAATTGGGGGGCGGGGAATATTGTTTCTACTCGTAGATTAAGCAGATTTAAATCGTTTATCAACCATTAACTAATGCACCATGCTGTGCTCTCTACCCTCCCTCTCCCGCTCTTCCCTTTCTCGACAACAGTGGAAAGCTCAATGGCCAGACCACACCCATCGATGTCTCGGGCCTATCGCAGAATGAGATCCAAGGCTTTCTGCTCGGCTCCCACCCCTCATCATCGGCCTCGGCCGTCAGCACCACCGGCGTTGTCTCCACCACCACCATCTCGCAGCACCACCAGCACCAACAGCAGCAGCAGCAGCAGCAGCAGCAACAGCAACAGCAGCAGCATCCCGGCGACATTGTGAGTGCCGCAGGCGTGGGGAGTGCAGGCTCCATTGTCTCCACGGCGGTGCAACAGCAACAACAGCAGCAGCAGCAGCTGATCACCATCAAAAGGGAGCCGGAGGATCTGCGCAAGGATCCGAAGAACGGTAACATTGCCGGAGCGGGGGCAGCGAACGGCGGAGCGGGTTCGGTCATAACGCAAAAGGTAAGAGATATCCATCGAATTAAGATGTTTTTTGTTTTTGTTTTTGTTTTGCTTAGGGAACAGTTAATGGACACGCACGCAAATCTCGAAACAGAACTTAGATATGTAGTATAAGTAGCATTCCATATGGCAGTCAGTCCCGCTCCCATTCACAATTATCCATCCCATCCCCAGTGGCGCATCGCATCCTGTGTGTTTGTGCCACATCAATTAGCCATAGTCCACCACCGCCGCCACCGCCTCGTTGCGGCTGCGGTTGTAGTTGTTTGCTGCTGTCTAACAGACTTGCAATTGGTCTGTCAATTGCTGGTGTGAGTGAGTGTGAGTGAGAGCAATGAGTGTTAGTGGTTGCAGCCAATACGAATCGTTGTCGTCGCTTTCGTCGCGCCGTTCGGTTCGGTTCTATTGAAAGCAATGAGACAGCAACAACAACAACAGCAACAGCAACAAACATCTCAGGCAAAGCAAAGCGAAGCAATGCTTGCATTGAAACTGTTATACACGCTTCTTGTTATACGATCGCGACGTTTTCAAGTCTCTCTCTCACTCTGTAAGTGTGTGTGTGTGCGTATGTGATTTGTATAGTCTTCTCGCTTGCACTCACACTGATTGCCCATAGCAGTGGCAGTGGCTCTCGCTCATGTTCGAAGCGTTTCCTTTCGCATGTTCGAGTTGCATGTTGTATGCTCGAACGGTTTATCAAAAACAAAGCAGGAGCCAGGAGCAGAGCGGGCAGAAGAAGCTGAGCTGAGCCGAGCTGTAAAACCGTAATTAAATGTCTTGCAATAGCAACAGCAATAACAACAGCAACAATTCTGCACTGTGGGAAATTGCAGTAGCAAAACTCAGGGCGACAATCGCTGCTGTGGGGATAAGTGTACACTTCCGGTGGCTGGGGCTCCCTCTATCTCCCCCTCTACCTCTATGCCTTCCCCTTCGACTCTCTTTCTTGTTTGCGCTCTTCCTGCGATCGGATTTGGATCAATGAATGGTGCAAGTGCAGCAGCCACAACTTCTTCTACTGCCTATTGCTTGCAACGCCCTGTCCGGCCACCCCTCCCCACTCCACCCCTCTTTCCTTTTACATGTCAGAATATTGCGACAGCTACAGATTCCAACCATTTTGAACTGATATGAGCTTTGCGCTCAAGTGTGAGTGAGTACGAATGATGATCGCTGGTCCAACTGGCCGACGCAACCAGGTGCTCGCGTGTGTGTGTGTGTGTGTGTGCTGTCAGCAGAGCCCGACGTCGACGCTGTCATACCTGGTCTTACCCGGCCCCTCAGCCACAGCCTCAGCCTCAGCCACACGGCACGGCGTCATTCATTCGTATCACGCTGTCGGAGTAGGATCGTTTTCGATTCGTCTGATTTTTGAGCAGCACCGCGCTCGCGTATGTTTCGTCCGCGCAAGACCGTGCAATCGCACAAACGTAATCCGTGAATCGTAATCGTGTATCGGTATCAACCCCTCTCCCTGTGATTGCAACAGTGCAACAGATCCGCAGCGGATCAGTACATTACATTATTGTTCTCGGCCGTAAGTGCGAATCGATCGAGTGAGCCGCAGTGAGCATCGTGCATTTGTGTGAGTTCTGTGACCGAATTCGATATGCTTCCATTTGCATATTGTGTGATACACGATACATGTGATACACATATAGTTATTGTAGTTATGAGTGCCGCTTGATTGGAATGCGTGGGCCGGTGCTGCTGCCCTGGCTGCAGTCGAGAGTAATGCCATACCATACCATACCATACCCTACCGTATCGAATCGGATCGTATCCCTCGATCCACCTGCAATCCAAAACGTGCGCCACAAACAACTAAACAACAATCAATGAATCAAACAAACAAACAGCAACAACAAATTGAACAAACGCACACGCGCAGAGCAACACGAGCAACACGGGCAACAAGCAACAACAGCGTCCACATACTTGTGTGTGGGCGTGCAGTGGCACCGCACCGCACCAGCTGTGGAGCTCACTCGCAACGCGTTGCCTTTCAACACCCACACAGCGAACAAGTTCGCAGCCCAAGTCTTTTGTTTGGCGCGCAATTGCGGCCCGCCAAAGAGCGGGAGAAAGAGAGACAGAGACAGAGTGGGATAGAGATGGAGATAGAGAAAAAGAACAAACAGTGGTTTTAGTTGGACTTTTATCGCCTTGATTCAATGATTTTCGGTTGGGGCGGCAGTGTGTGTGTGTGTACATGTGTGTGTGTTTCTGTGGCTCAGAAAATTCATTGAGCAGAATCTTAATTGCTCTCTTCAGGTGTTACCCCTCCTGTTACCACCCACCGCTTCCTCAGCCATTGCCTCACCGTGGGGAATACGAATTCAAAATGCGAAAATAAATATTAAATTGCGGTGCACTCTAATTTATCGCACATTGACAGTTAATTATTCTTAATATTTGTCTTATTAATTTACATACACACACACAAACACACACACACACAATTGCATAGGTTAAAGTCTAAGGTTTCGCTCGATCTTAATTTATGGCACAGAATCGGAATCGGAGAAAAAAAAAATTGATTTTATATTTTTTTGCTCTTGGCAATTTATTGCTCTCCATATGGAGGTCCGACCGACCGACCGTCTGTGCACCGGAAAGTGTAATCATTAGACCCGCCAACAGAGACAAATTGAGATCTTGGATTAACAACTCTCTCCCTCTCTGTCTGTCTCTCTTTGGGGATATCTCCCAGTCTATATCTACCGAATACGAACCAATTTGCCTTTCTAATTGCTCAACTATATATCGGCTGACTTATCAGTGATTCACTGTACATAGACATCTCACTCATTGCAACCAGAAATTAGTCTTATCTACCAAATTTCTTCAATGAAAGTATTTTATATTGAATTCAGAAAGAGTCAGCTTCTGGGAACTCAAAGATCACTCAGCTCAGAGACTGAAGCTGAATCACACTTGACAACAAATCAAATCAAATATTTCAGTTCTTAAAATGAGCTTCTCGTTATTACATTTCTGCCCATACCAAAAGAAACTCAGTTTCGATTTCTTGGAAGCATTTAATAATGGAAATATAGGTGCAAAACCACACAGAAATTTAAATAGCAAAACCATTAATACGGAATGATGGAAATATATAGCTAGCTATACTCGCATATGAACAATGATCTAGCTAATGGAAATATGAAATATGAGCAGTAGGGCAAAGAGTCAGAATCGGAAATATTCAACAGCTAATGGAAACTTTTGGCTCATGGATCTATGGATTTCCTTTATTGAGTCAATAGCCAATCTTAAATCTCAAACGTTCTATTAAATGTGACGCTGTGTCCAACAGACTTCAAAAGTACCCAAAAACCGGAGCAACTTTTTGTTTTCCTTCCATCACAATTCTTGAGGGCTTTTAGTCATGGGTTTTCCTTTGCGAGAACATCAATTACAATATCAAGGCACCATTAAAAGCATTCAACTTTATACAAAACAATCTTTTTTGGTTTTTCTCTGTTTTTTTGTTTTTGTGGTTTTTTGTTTTTCGTTCGGTTTATTTCCGAGAATTAACGATATTCATAAAACGCTGGACTGTATGAAGAAGAGGAAAAAAAGTTTCACTTTTTATCATTCCAAAAGGCATTAAAATAGTTAATTGGCTTTATTTAAATATTTTGTTATTTTTGTTTCTTTGTTTTGTGTGTGGTTTTGTACACCATTTTGTTGCTGCTTTTTATTTCTTCCTCATGCATAAATATGTGCCAGAACGAACCGCCGCTTGACGTTTGTCGCCGCTGCTTAGCATAATTCTAAAGGCCCAGAGACGACACGTCTCATAACCGATAGCTTCTATAGTTATAAATATTATGTGTAGTCGTAGTCGTAGTCGGATATAGGTAGACGACAGCTACTCGCATGACCTCCCCACCCCGTTGTCCCATCCCAATGCCCATACCCCCACGAGAGATGGAGATACAGATGCGATTGGGCACCGCCAGACGAGACGAGACGAGACACGCACCACCACCACAGAAAAGAGGCAAAGGCAAAAGCAATGAAAATGAAATCTTTGTCTCTGCTGCTGGTGTATCGATCCAATCCGATCCATTCGGATCCGATCGCTCGTCGATCGGCCGCGTCAAGGCCTTCTCTGACGTTGCACGTTAAAAGCTTAAAATGCAAATTGATTTTGATGAACAAATTTAATTAGCTCGCAGCTAGAATCTTTTACCGATGCTAAATTATACAAGAGACTTCGATATGAGCTCCGAAAAAAAATACAGATACATCGAGCCACACCGCCACAAAAGCCAGCCTCTGTATAAATTTAAATTTGAAAGACTCACAAATAACCAATAACGAAAATGTTGGTTTCTCGAACAAAAATCAAATACCAAAAACAAATACCAAAAATTTGTACAAAGGTTCTTTTTTCCAAATCCAAAATGTGTCCAATATGCTGGCCGAAAAGTGTAACTGAAATTAGACCAAAAAACAGACCTGGCCCATGCACAGGCCTAGGCCTAAAGCCCAGACAACCGGTTTGATCAAAGGCCAAGAAATGAGTGACGTCTGTGTCTCGATTCGTGTCTTTTTTTGGGGTCCATTTTGGGGGGTTTTCACTTTCTTTAGACCAAAAGGCAATCGTCAGGCAGCTGCTAATTTTGATTTGAGACCCAGCCCCAGTCTAAACCCATCACTAATGCTATATACATATATATATATATTGTATAGTCGTATATAATCGTATTCGTTTATATCTGCGGTGGATCGGTGGACACCACACTTTGCTCTGTATTACCTCATTTGTGGCTGCGCTGCGGTTTGTCTCCAAAAACGTTTGACATTTTCGGGCGACCAATAAACAAAAAAAAAACCAATGATAATTAACATATATGCATATATACACATTCATATATCTGTATAAGTATATATATACAGCCATATGCTTATGTGTGTATTGCATATAAATGTTGATTTTTTTCGCGCTTTTTTTCTGTTTTTTTTTTTTTTTTTCTTTTAATTGGTTTCTTTCCACTCCGCTCGACGACAGCGACAACGACAAAAGGCGACGGCGACTGTGTTTCATTTGTGTTTCGTATATGGCCTTTTATTAAAAACTGTACTTGTTGACGTTATTTTCAATAAGCTGTTTACGCGGCTGCTGCATGAATCATGGCCCCCACAAAAGAAAAGTCAAAGAACGTGCACGATTTACGCACAATTTTGTCACCTCACCTCGTTTTGGGTCCAAATCAGACTCGGACCCAAAGTCTCGGACTCGAAGTGTGGTGAGGTGACCTTGTCGCGGGACTCCATAGTTATGGTCATCAATCATGAAATGCTTGGCCATTAGACAAAATACAATGACAGAATGCTCGAAGCTGGCTCTCGACTGGGTATCGATCCATCAGGCAGCACCCAGCAGCACCTCCCCACGACCCAATCAAGCATTTTAGTGTTAAGAATTCTCCCTACCAAAAAGAAAAACCAAAAACCAAACGCACATTTCCCTCAGATCTTGCACGTGGATGCGTCGCCACCAGCCGACGAAGCTGAGATTAGCGAGATTAGCCACAGACACAGACCCAGCACACCCTGCACCACCAGAACCACCAGAACCAACAGAACCAACAGCTGCAGCAGTAGTAGTCCTGCCACCGAACTAGAGATGTATGCTACCACGGGCGGCACACAGATTTACCTACAGGTGAGTGACAGTGGAGTGAGAGGTGGTGCCCCAGCAACCGCAACCGCAACCGCAACCCCAACCAACACTCCAAACCACCTGCAGACCTCACATCCCAGCACGGCCAGCGGCGCGGGAGGAGGAGTCGGCGGCGGCAGCAGCGGCGGCGTTGGGGGTGGATCTGGAGGGGCCGGCGCCCTGCAGGCACAGAGCCCCAGTCCGGGGCCATACATAACCGCCAACGAATATGGGATGTACACGGCCAGTCGACTGCCGCCCGGCCCCCCGCCCACCACCGCAACAACCTTCATAACGGAGCCCTACTACCGGGAGTACTTCGCGCCGGACGGACAGGGCGGCTACGTGCCCGCCTCCACGCGCACTCTCTACGGCGATGTGGACGTTTCGGTGTCGCAGCCAGGCGGAGTGGTCACCTACGAGGGTCGCTTCACAGGCAACGCCCCCCCGCCCACCACCACCACACTGCTCACGAGCAGCGTCAGCGTGCACCACCAGCAGCAACAGCAGCAGCAACAGCAACAACAGCAACAGCCCCAACACCAGCAGCACCTCCACCAACAGCAGCAGCAGCAACAGCAACAGCCACAGCAGCAGCAACACCACCACCCGCAGGACGGCAAGGGCAGCGGCACGCCACTCTATGCCAAGGCCATCACGGCGGCGGGACTCACCGTCGATCTGCCCAGTCCCGACTCGGGCATCGGCACGGATGCCATCACGCCGCGGGATCAGACCAACATACAGCAGGTACACACATCCCACAACCCCAGAAAAGAAACCCAACAGAATTTAGGCGACCCAGAGAGTATAAAAAGGAGGTTTCACTAGTGCGTGGCGTGTCCATTACAACTGTCATTTAGCAACTATAACTTAAACTTAAACTATAGCTTAGCATAAATAGCATTTACGACGATGATTTACTAACCCACTGAATATACAATCTTGCATCATCTTCTAGTCCTTCGATTACACGGAACTGTGCCAGCCGGGCACCCTCATCGATGCCAATGGCAGCATACCCGTGTCCGTGAACAGCATCCAGCAGCGGACAGTGGTCCATGGCAGCCAGAACAGTCCCACCACCTCCCTGGTGGACACGAGCACAAACGGTTCGACGCGTTCGCGGCCCTGGCATGACTTTGGCCGCCAGAACGATGCCGATAAAATACAAATACCAAAAATGTAAGTTTTACAAAATAATGTACCCAAGGAGAAGTACATTTAAAATGGAATATTTATCCTTTAAATGTGGCAATTTTCCTACAAAATAGACGCAGATTCAAGAAAATTCAGAGCTGGAAATAATTTGCATAGCATCTGTCGTAGGGTGTCTATATACCAAGAAATTACGTTTTAAGCCAGTGTTAAGGCGGAGAGTTTGGCCAAGATATTTTGAATCTATTCCAATAAATAAAGTAACATATAGAATATACGATCCATGCTAATAAATATTGATACACAAAATGGAAGTTATAATTAACAATTAAATTATTATTCCTTATTGCTATTTCTGAACCATCCTAACCATCTCTATCTGCTCGTTTTTCTGCCCTATTTTTATAGATTCACAAATGTTGGCTTCCGCTATCACCTGGAGAGCCCCATCAGCTCGTCACAGAGGCGCGAGGACGATCGCATCACCTACATCAACAAGGGCCAGTTCTATGGGATCACGCTGGAGTATGTGCACGATGCGGATAAGCCCATTAAGAATACGACGGTTAAGGTATGTGCCACGCACATTTCTACATCTGTTACTGCTGCTATGTATAAGGAGGGGGATGGAGGCTTGAGCCTGAGGATTGTGTTTTGGAGCTTTGTCAATCAAAAGTCCGTGCTGCTTGTTTTCCATTCATTGGCGGCTTTGTTTATGCCATCAACACCACAGCAACAAGGAACAAGGAACAAGAAACAAGAACGGAAACAGATTTGGGAACGGGGCACAGGACCCACTGTAAGATCTCTCCTGGCCAACCCCTTTTGGGCCTTAGGGTGGGCTATTTGTCAGGGAATCTGTGTCTGGTCTGGTCTGGTCTGGTGTGTGTGTTTGGATCTTGGTCTCCGTCTACGTCTTCGTCTCCGTCCTACCCCGAGGTGCGATCGGAGTTCTAATAGAGTTTGTCAGCTTCGCCACCCCTTTGCTCAATTACACACATCCCATATCCTGCTTAGGGGCATACATTCCGATGATAAATGATACTGGGAGAGAGCGATGCGATGCGATGCGATCCGACCCGATCCCTCTGCCTCTGTCTGATGAGAATTTGAATATTTCGTTCAATGCAAATTGCCGAAAGTCCTCTGCCTTTCAACAGCAATTCACTCGCAGTCTGCCGCGTCAATGTTTGTTCAGGACGAGTGCGACGAGAGCAAAGAGCCTGAGAAGAAGTAGAGCGAGGAGTAGGAGCAGGACAATACCCATCAACATCATCAATCAGATAAGCTTAAATGACGTCTACGGCTACGTCTGCGTCCTCGAGCCTAACTGAAATGCAAATGCAAATTGTAAACTGAACCGTTGAGAGCCCAAAGAATGACATCTCAAAGTTACAGTTGAAAGTGGTAAATGGGTTGAGGAAATGCCGGCAGATTCGGAAGTGGAAGTGGATGCGGATGAGGAAGTGGAAGCGGAGGTTAAGTAAACAACAATTGAAATTGAAGGAATCCGAATCTGAATCGGAATCTGAATCCGAATCCGCAGCCAAAGCCAAAGCCTTTGCCATTTGCATACGCATAGAAGGAAACTTGCAACAACAACGACAAAAACTTTGTTGAAACCAAACCAAATGAAACGTAATGATCTTGAGATATGTCTTTACGTACTCCTGAACTTCACATCCCCTGCCTTGGCCGTAGATCGGATCTCAGACATTCGTGTCTATCCGAGGACGGGGGCTCCTTCTCCTGTTGTCTCGTATTACCATAAAAGTGCCATATTTTGCAAGGCCCAACAAAAAAGTGTCAAAATTAATTTACGAGTTTATTTGTTTAGAGCAGCGCGCCCTTTTCCCGAAAAAGAAAACTTTCAAACGCAAACGAAAATGAAAATGAAAACCTAAATGAGCCGAACAGAACCCAAAAAAAAAACCGAAAATAAAATATAACCGTATGGGCATTTGCATATAGTCGTAGCAACCCATCGGCTGATTTCTGATGTCCATTTCTAACGGGGAAAAAAAGAGCACGAAATCCAAAGAAAAAGCGAGTATAATTTACGAGCTGATTAGCCCATGAATATGTAAAAACGTAAAAGACAACCCGGGGGGAGGGGGACCCGAAGAAAACACACAAAAATATTTATGCTGTAATCAGTTTTCACTGCCACCCTGCCCCCCACCTCCTTCTCCAAGACGATGACGATGATCCGATACGATCCTTAAAGGGGTTGCTATTGTCTGCTTGATTTTTTGGGAACTGTTTCAGTATCTCTGCGCTTCTTCCCTCCACGAAAAAAGGAGCAACTAATTATTCAAAATCCAAAAAATAAAAACACATAAATGATAGAGAGAAAATGCAAATGCTGGGAAAACAACAGAGGAACAGCGTAGCAGAGGAGCAGCGAAGCAGCCAGCCAAAAAGATGATACAAAATGTGTTGGACATTTTTCTGCTAAATCGAATTCGTCCTATTGTGTGCCGGCATCTAATCCTTTTGACTTTAAAGGCGTAGGGTGCGATCCGATGAGTTGTGAGTGGAGTGTCACAACGTATATATGTCAGACAGAGAGACAGAGATAGAGAGAGAGAGAGAGAGAACGCAGAGAACTCAAGCAGAAACGATGCCCATCTTTGGGATAGTATAAACGGATTACAGATGAGTCCTGCAGAACAGACATGCCATATCCTTAGAGACAAAGATCAATCTTTTGGCTGCTTGTTTTTGGGATAAAAAGGAATGGTAGTATTTGAGAAAGAGATTTTCTTTGGCTATGATTTGGATCTAGACAGACACACAGAGAGAGAGAGAGAGAGAGTAAGAGAGTTTTGTGTTTGCTTTAAATCCTTTTTACAGAAATTAATTAATTCAAATAAATTCTTAAATCTTAAGCGAATCTCTTGCCCAATAAATAATATATTTTACATTCAGTTAATGAAGATTTTTACCTAATTGAATCCTTTTATTTGCAGAGTGTGATCATGCTCATGTTCCGCGAGGAGAAGAGCCCCGAAGATGAGATCAAGGCCTGGCAATTCTGGCACAGTCGCCAGCATTCCGTAAAGCAAAGAATCTTGGATGCAGGTGCGTAAACCAACCAAACGAATAACCAACTTCAAATCCATTCGCAACCCAAAACCCCCAACCCCAAGCCCCAAGCCCCATTCCCCCATTCGCCATTCCCAACCCAAAGCCAATGCCAATGCCAATGCGAAGTCCAGCAGCGTTCCGTGGCAGAGTGTCCATTTGTATTGTCTAGTATTTCTAGCAGTAAATTGTTGCTTTTTATTGAAAGGCCCGCACCGTTCCAGGAGAGTTATGACATTGATAAACGCGCATTCAGCTTCGACTGCGACTGCGACTGCGACTCCACTGCACTGCACTCCGCTCCGTTTGTTTGATTGCAGATAATCTTGGTTGCAACAGCAACAGCATCCGTGGCAGATGCTTCTGCTGCTGCCACTGCCACGCAGTTCCTTGGCCATCAAACATAACTCATTAGGCACTTGTCACTGGACGGCCAGCGCAGAAATTTCCTTAATTGTTAATACAAACATATTTTGCAGTGGCTCCTCTGTGTGTGCCCCATCTTGCCGCATTTCTGATTTTTGCTGCTTCGTTTTTGTTCCCCCCACTAACCATCTTCTTCTTCTTTTGCTCTTCTTTTTGCAGATACGAAGAACTCGGTTGGCCTGGTTGGCTGCATCGAGGAAGTGTCGCACAATGCCATCGCCGTTTACTGGAATCCGCTGGAGAGCTCCGCCAAGGTAAGTTCTGCTCTCAGATCTCCTAGATCTCTCAGATCTCTCAGATCTCAATTCTATGCCAATCCTCGTTATGGATGTGCTCCCCTTTGTACCCTGTACACCAGACGTATGTATATGCTGCACTTCGGGTAGATGTCTTTGGAGAGTTTTTCTTTCGCTTGAAGAACACAAATAGAGACACTTTCGGATCCAATCGTTGATGCCAGGCTTATCCTTATAAGCATCGGCTGTGAGCAGGGTATCCACACAGTCCACACTCTATACAATTTACTCAGCTTACTTGTGTGTTTGTGTGTGTTTTTCCCGCACTTCCATTTTGTTTACTCCGAGCGCCGCCTCAATTAAAAAAATGAGAAAAAAAAGCAACAACAACAACAACAAAAACATTGCGCGACACTTTCATGCGGCCAGACAAAGATAGCAGATCCTCACTCCATGTGTGTGTGTGTGTATCTGTGTGCCAGTCGAAGTATCTTTGTGCTAAGAATTAATTTCTGATTTATTTTCAATTGCAAGCCAAACGCAAATTATTCAGCAAGCGTCACCGTCACCGTCGCCATTGCCCGGCATATCGCCATCCCTTTCCGCCGCCCAGCCCAGCCCAGTTCGCTGTCCACTGTCCAGCTTGTACTTTTTTTTCAAAAAGAATAATTTATGCATTTATTTATTTATGACACTTAGTTTTAATCACTTACTCGGCAATCTCAGGCAAATGCTTGGAACTAAGTCGCCGTGTCCGAGTCTCAGTCTCAGTCTGGGGCTGTATCCCCAGCCTAGTCTCTGGCTCGGGCTCTGGCTCTGGCTCTGACTATTGCAGCAGTAGCCAACTGGAACTGCAAGTGTATCTGTGTCTGTGTCTGTGTCCGTGTCTGTGACTGCGACTGCGACTGGGCTCCCACCGCGTTTTAATTTAGCAATTATTAAGCATTTTAATCGTTTGGAAATATTTGCAATTCTATTGCGACAAGCGCCAGTCGGAAAGCAGATACTAACCAAGAAAACAACAACCCAACAACCAGTAGTAACAGTAGCAGTATTAGCAGCCCTCTCATTGCGTATACGCGCCTAGGCCTAGCTGCCCCGCCACGTCCGCCCACCTGTCCATCTAGCCACCAGCTCGAATGCCAAAAGAGAGGCACAATTTCCCCGAGACGGTGGGGTGGGGGGAAACAAAAAAAACAAATGCCAAAACTGAATTGATTTCCACTCAAGTTCAGTGACTCCTGTCCAGGCTGCCAAATTGGTCAGCAGTTATTAACCGACTTGGAGATGGGGGCAAGAGATGCGGGGGGGAGGGGGCTGCAGAGCTGGAGCTGGAGCTGGAGCTGGCCATAAGTGCATGTCGCCTATCGCCTGTCGCTCCCCACACACAGGCACACACACACGGCTTCCCCCTGCCTGCTCCCATAAGCCATCATTTGATAGAGCTTTTTATTTACAAATTGTTTACGCGCTGAGATGTTAATCCCAGAGACATCGCAATGGCAGACAGACCCAGAGCCAGAGAAAGAGGGAGAGAGAGAGAGAGAGAGTCTCGCCTCGTCTCGTTTCGTTTCGTCTTGGCATAATGTCGATTTCGTTTTATGCCGTTAGCTGCTGCATCTCGCCAGCTGCATTCGTGTGCGTCGCGTCTCATCTCGTCTCGTCTCTCTGTCTGTGTGTGTGCGTTGGCAATGCCTTTCCCAGCGGCAAAACTTTCGTACGCACCGACACGCAGGTGCTTCGTTTCCTAACCAACAACCCCACCGCACCGCACCGCACCGCACCGCACCGCCTGCTGCTCCTCTCTGCTGTCTGCTCTCTGCTGCGCTCTGTGCTCTGCGCTCTCCACTGTCATGCGTCTCCTCTTATATGGTACGCGCCCGCTAATTATTCACATTAAATACTGCTCGTCGTGGGTCGTGGACGTCGTGGACGTCGTCGTGGAGGCTGCAACTCTGCGCTGCGCTGCGACTGCTGCTGCACTTTTACCATTAAGATTGTTTCCTTTGGTATTTTTGCGTTGATGGATTTTCTTTTTTTTTTTTACGCGTGCACATTGTCCGACTGTCTCTCCGTCCGTGTGTCTGTCTCGCCTCCGTCTCTGCCACCATCTCTTTCCGTCTGTCCGCTGCGTCTGCGGCTCATCTGGAGTCGAACTCAAACTCAAAATCGGACTTGGACTCGAACTCGGACTTGGACTGGCATGCTTAAAATGCCTTCAGAGACACACACACACACACACACACACTATGGCACACTGGTACGCACTGAATCGAAGTCGAACTAAAAATGAATTGGATGCGATGCGATACCAAAGTCTCGACTTGGCCTGGCTCGTTACTTGGCTCTGTGAGACACTCTGAGGGGCCTCTGGTCCGAACCATCGATGGAATGGCCTGCCTGATGATGGTCCTCTGTGTATTGCCTTGTTATTGTCTTTTGCCCGCTCCCCACCTTTTACGTATGGGTATGCGTATGCGTATGCGTATGGGTGTGTGTTTGTGTGGATTGGAATGTTTTAAACTGTCGTGGGCATAAAGAGGACATCGACTTAATAGAGAGAAAACAATTGCCTTCTAATAGCGGACGAAGCATTTTTTAGCTTTGTTTTTTTTTTGTTTCTTTCAGTTTTTTGTCATCCGATAATTTCTTTTTATGTTCATAATTGTTTACATTTGTATATTTTATGGCAATATTCACCCGCTCTCTCTCTCTCTCTCTCTCTGTCTCTTTTTAAAAACAGATCAACATTGCGGTGCAGTGCCTGAGCACGGATTTCAGCAGTCAAAAAGGAGTCAAGGTGAGTAAAACTCTTCAGCAAAAACAAAAACCCACAATGGAACAAGTAAAAGGGCGCAAGGTGAACTCAACCCACTGAAAAGGCTTCATTTGTGGCCTGTTCTCAGTTAAATATTTTTTTTGATCCAATATCAGTTGCATACAAAGTGAAAGCTCATTTTTGGTAGCGCTTTTTTGACACTTTGGTGTCCCACTCAATTAAATGCTCAACGATATAATGGTAATCATAAATCGATACAGCAATTATCGATTAATTAGCTTCCCACTGCACTTTGATGCGATCGATTGGATCTGCACGTCGCACGTCCTTTGCGTAAAGTAAAGTAAATGAAATTCAGTTCGAGTCGAGACGAGACGAGTCGAGAATGTTGGCCAGTGATGGGTTAAGTAATAACCAATTTAATGCCAACTTGTTAATGGAGAATCAATGCAGGCCAGCAAAGAAGGAGAGCAAGCCAGCAAAAGAAGATCAGCATTCAGCTCAGATGCGTTGCCGTTGCCGTTGCCTCCATCTCTCCATCTCCAATTCTGCTCCGGCATCGGACGATCGGACGATCGGCCTGTTGGCTCGGCTACGTAGGAAGAGGATTTCTCTTTGGCTCCTCATTCTCCGCCTGCCCTCGCTGGTTGTAATGCGTACATTAAGACTGATATTTCATTGACAGAAACACAGGCAAAAGCTGGCTGAAGAAGGAGAGACAGGAACGGAGGAGTCTCCTCGTTGCTTTTCATTAAAAAAAAAAAAAAAAAAAAAGAGATCTCTGGAAAGGTACAGCGCTGGCAGTACCAGTCCCAGTACCAGTCCCAGTTCCAGTCCCCCATGTGTATTTGTGTAGGCAATAGCCAAATCAAATTATGCACTTGCCACAATATGTTGCACACACATGCAACGGATGTTGGCAGTTTAACATCACTGGGCCACGCCCCAACTGCTCCGGCAACGCCCCAAAACCCAAATGACAACGGCTAATTGCAGCTGTTGCAAGGTTGCTGCTGCTGCAGCTCCAGTCTGCTACCCGCAGTCTCCTGCTTGCCCCCTGCCCCCTGCCACCTGCCACCTGCCCCACCTAGCTATTGCAATTTGAATGTGTGTGATATTAATACGAATCCCTGTTTATGGTTCTCTTCTTCTCTCTCTCTCTCTGTTTCAGGGCCTGCCGCTGCACGTACAAATCGACACATTCGAGGACCCCAGAGATGCGGCCGTCTTCCACCGTGGCTACTGTCAGATAAAGGTCTTCTGCGATAAGGTAAGTGATTTTATTTCGCAACAGAGTCTCTCACCCAATCCCTACTATACTATACCCCCTCCCGCCCCTCCCCACCCCCTGGCTCACATAATTACGCATACAGAAGCAGTCGCTGCCGCTGATGCTGCCGATGCGGTGGCTGTGCCACTCTGCCACGTGCAACAGGTTGATGCGCTAACTAAAAGCTGCCTACGTGCTGGTTCACTGTGTGCGTGTGTCTCTGCGTGTGTATCTGTGCCTTCCACTTGCTGCTGCTGCTGCTGCGGCTGATGATGCTTCTGCTTCTACTGCTGCATCCGACTTTTATCGAATTGGGGGCACCAACGTTGCTGACATGGCTTGGGGTTCGGCCTGGGTCTCGGTCTCGGTCTCGGATCGGACTCTCCTGTCCGTCAGTCAGCGAAGCCTTTAGTGGAAAGCGTAACGCGTACAAAAGTAAATGGCCATCACACATACAGATACAGAGACACACACATACATACGCATGAGAGCGGCATCCTTTCCCTGCCACATCCATGCCCTTGTTTCGCTGCCACTGCCACTGCTGCCACTGCTGCTGCTGCTGTTACCTTTACCTTATGCGAACCCTTCACTTTTTCGCTTGATGGGGTTTATTAATAAATCATTTCGTGGATTTCCAATTTAATTTTCTCATATCATTACACTTCTCCGTGGTCGCTCTTCCCATCCCCCCCTACACCCCATCCACATCCACATCCGACTGGACATGGGCCTGGGCACAGCCTTTTGTTGTACTGCTGCACTCTGCTGTGGGACCCGGACCCTCAATCGGGGGGGGGACCCGACCCATGGCTGTATCGCTATCACGTCGGGCTTATATTTCGCATTGGGGCCAGCCAGGCAAAGGCCAGCCATCGTGTGTTTATCGGTAAATGTATCAATTAAATTTCGCGTACCACGTTATTTTGTGCCCTTCCTTGTGGCATACCTCCACATATACCCTTCCCATCCCCCCTCCCCCATCCCATATGCATCCCATATTTCGTATTTTCTTTTCTCTGTGGGTTTTTTGGATTTCACTGCAATTGCAGTTTCAGTTGCAGTTCCATCGTTTGGCACCTTCGAGCCACAGTCTCCAATTATGGATCTTTACGCACGCCTTCGGGGCCGTCCTGCCCCCTGGTCGCCAGAAGATACAAAATTATGGGAAATTCTGCACATGTCCAATGAAAGATTCGACCTGAGAAATAACTGTATTTTGTTTTGGTTCCGTTCGGTTCGTTTCTTTAATTTTTTTGGGAGAGAGTTTACGGTTTGATTTTCAGATAGATTTAACTTCGGATCGTATAGATAGCATTTGAGAGGATATAGTTCTTGTGATCTCTTGCCCTGAGACACCTTTTTTTTTATCCATACTTCTAAGGGTGGGGAAACTTCCCTTAGCGAAAAGTTCTTAGGAATTAGTTTTGGAGTGGCCTTGGGCTTTGTTGGTTTCTTTTTTTTCTTCCTTCATTCTCTCTATATATTCAAAATAAATTGCCAACTCAAAGTATTTCCCTGAAATCATTCGAAAATTGAGCTAATGCTAATGCTAATGGTAATGGTAATGGTAATGTCGCACCGCCTCTGCGCTGAGTGGCTGCCCACAGATGTGGTGTGTGTGTGTGTGGGGTGTGTGTGTCTGTGTCCCATGTCTTGGTCATACTTTGAAGTCGATTAACAGCAACCCATCCCCCAAGAAGGCAAGCAGAAGAGGCGAAACACAAGATGGGGCAGAAGAAGGAGAAGAAGAAGGAGACGAGGCTGAGGATGAGGATGAGGATGAAGAGGAGGCCAGCCAAAAGGCGAACATTGACCGCATTGGGCGATGCGATTCGAGACGCCGTCGCCTTAGTCCGCTGATCGCTGAACGCTGGCCGCTGGCCGCTGTCCGTTGCAGCCTGCGCAACTTTGGCGATATTTTTGCCAAGATAAAATAAAAGTAATAAAATACAGTTATTTACATGCCGCACACACACACACACACACCACACGCACACATACAGACGCTTACGTGCAACACACATGAGCGCATGATGTACATCGAATGCATTGCTCTAGGCTAAAAATGGTTTTTGATAAGCGCAAAAAGGAAAGAACTCCGATCGGAGATGTGCGGGGACTGTGCGAGGGGATGTGGTGGGGTGGGGTGGGGTGGTACTGGGACGATGCATACTTACATCCTTGCATAATGTGATCGCCATTCAGAAGTTGCAGCCGCAGAGGCAGACGAAGTAGATTGCTGCCGCATATCACTTCCTGCCACTGCCCGTTGCCACCTGCCCCCTGCCCGCTGCCCGCTGTCCGCTTTCAGTGGCGGAGGCTTCCATCGCTCAATTGCTGATTTTTAATTACAAATGCAAAGTGCAACATGGGGCAGGAGGCGGGCGGCAGGCGGCAGGCGGCAGGAGTGGAGCTGCATCTGCTGCCTGCACACGCAAACCAGCAATCACTGCCGGACAAAGTAGCCACCAGACTATATATCTAAAAGCACACACACACATACAGTTACATAAAGTATCTATGAGTATGTGTGTGTGTGTGCAATCAGGCAGCTCAATGGGGCAGGTGGGCCGCAGACACAGACTCGACTGCGATGCGATGCGATGCTGTGCTGTGCTGCCTGCCTGTGCCTGGGTCTGCTGCATGGTTCGAGGCGCCGCCAGATTATTTATTATGTATGCATATTTATGTGGAATCTCTCTAAGTATTTTATAATAATTTTCCCCCCATTTTTTTCGGCTCTCTGACCCTAACGGTGTAGACCATTTTGCCAAATGCCTCCACGGACTGCGACTGCGACTGCGACTCGGATTCAGATTCGGATACGTACCCCAGCCGCAGTCTGTGCCTCCGTCCGTGCCGCTGCCACTTGTTGGTGCTGCGGTGGCGGCTTTGTCTCTGTGCGACAACAGTGCTCCCCAGGCGGGAAACTTGTTTTTAGCTTTTTGCAACTGCAACTGCAACAGCAACAGCAACGAAGAGGCAGTGGCAACGGCAACGGCAACGGCAGGGTCTGTGGCAGGGAGGCAGAGCCAACAGCCAACAGCCAGCAGGCAGCTTATGGCACTCGTAGCCATACACGAATTTAATTAATAAGCAAAGAAATATCAAAAAAGGTGGCATCCATGCGTTTGATTGATTGCTAATTACACGCTGGCTGTGTGCACCTGTGCGAACTTTCGCAACCCACCTGGATGGGAGCCCCCCAAAACATGCATATGCCCCATGCTACACATGCCACATACCATACCATACCATACCATACCATACCATACTACATGCCACACGGATGCTCATGGATCTCCTTTTTGCAGGGCGCCGAGCGCAAGACGCGCGATGAGGAGCGACGGGCCGCCAAGCGAAAGATGACGGCCACCGGCAGAAAGAAGCTGGATGAGCTCTACCATCCGGTGACAGATCGGTCCGAGTTCTATGGCATGCAGGACTTTGCCAAGCCGCCGGTGCTCTTCTCGCCCGCCGAGGACATGGAGAAGGTAGGTCAGCCGGGCCTGACTGGCTTGACATTCATCCACACGAATACGAATACGCACACGAATACGAATACGAACTCGAACTCGAACTGCAACTCCAACTCGAATTCGCCCTTGCAGAGCTTCTACGGCCATGAGACTGACTCGCCGGACCTGAAGGGGGCCTCGCCGTTCCTGCTCCACGGCCAGAAGGTGGCCACGCCGACGCTCAAGTTCCACAATCACTTTCCGCCCGACATGCAGACGTGAGTAAAAATCGTCCATCCATGATCTCCACCCAGGATCTCTCTCTTACTCTCTCTCTAAAAAATAAAAACCCAAACTAATCTATCTGTATCTCCCATCTCCCACTTAACCGACAATCTCCCACCCCTCTGCAGCGATAAAAAGGATCACATACTGGATCAGAATATTATGACCAGCACACCCATGACCGACTTCGGTCCGCCCATGAAGCGGGGACGCATGACGCCGCCAACCTCGGAGCGTGTGATGCTGTACGTGCGGCAGGAGAACGAGGAGGTCTACACACCGCTGCATGTGGTTCCCCCCACCACAATTGGCCTGCTGAATGCGGTAAGCGCCCAGACACCGAGCTACCATGCCACATATATGTACATATATGTATATGTATATGTTATTCCTGCTCCCGTTCCAACCTAAACTCGATCTAATTTATTATAACCAAATTTATCTGCAAATTTTGTTCATTTTGGTCTAATTGGTGGAAAAGACAAAAGCAAAAACGAAAAAAGAAAAAAACAAAACAAAATTCAAACGAAAAGAAAAGAAAAGAAAAGCTATGCAACGAAGAGCCAAAATGTTCAATATCTGAAAACCAAAAAATGTTTAATCGACTAAGACTAAAGCCTAAAAATCAACTAAAAATCAGCCACATCAAATATCTATATCGTTATATACATATATATAAATACTCACCCTAATACCAAGAAACGAAAATTGTTAATTTTGTATAACTTGTAGTTGAAACTAATTCCGAATCATTTCATAATCAACCAATGGAAACCAAAAACCAAAACAAAAACCAAAAATTTGAACATCTCATCCAAAATATATATTTACATATATATTCACTCGTATATATGTATGTATGTTTGTATACCACTTCCAAAGACAGGATCAGAGCTATGTATAAGATCTGATCCTCTTGTACACACGATAAACCACAACACAAAAGCACAAAATCAGCCAGAAAATCCAAAATACAAAATTATACGAGTAGAAGAGCTATGGCACACACACACACACACACACATTTGAATGATTGGCTGAACGCAAAATGAACAAAATTACACAGAGAAAAACGAGTTATAAGAGAAATATTTTAGTTTAGTTTAGTTTGGAGAGAGAGCAAGATAAAGCAGAGCAGACTAGCAGAATGAGAGCCTAAACAGAACACAAACAAAAGACAAAAACAAAACATCATATTTCTCTCGTTTCTCAATTGCAGATTGAAAACAAATACAAAATCTCAACAACGAGCATAAATAACATTTATCGCACAAACAAGAAGGGGTAAGTAGCAAGTCTTAACCGATCAGAGTGCTGCACACACACACACACACACAAGCAAGACACAAGCAAGACACATGCACTGACACGCACCCACGCACCAGGAAGCATCATGCATGCCAGGCAGGAGGATGCCATGTCCTCGCCAAAATTAGAATTCCCCCGCTCCACCAACGATCATCTAACCCCCACCCACTTCTCACCCTGTTTGTTGTGTGCTAACCAATCAAGTATTTGCATGGGTGTTGTCTGTCCCCCTACTGATCTCTATCGATAGCTAACCATCCATGTTTGGTTATCCGAAACCGAGGACTAATCCAATGTTGTTTTTCGTTGCAGGATTACTGCGAAAATTGACGATGATATGATATCGTTCTACTGCAATGAGGACATCTTCTTGCTGGAGGTGCAGCAGATCGAGGACGATCTGTACGATGTGACGCTGACGGAGCTGCCCAATCAGTAGCAGAAGAGCACAACAGCAGCGAATCGTCCTCGAGACGACATCCAGACACTCACAACACACACAAAAATATGGACACAATTTTTGCCAAACAACAGACAAGTTGTTTCAATAAGCCATTTTCCATAGAGCCTAAGCCTAAATCGTAGTAGTTGTAATGGAGCCAGAGCCAGAGCCAATCCAAGTTGCTACAAAAATGGATGGAATGGATGGACACATATACAGAAAAGCTAACACAATACAATACAATATACATACATACACATAACCATATGCTTAAAATTCGATTTAGATTTAGCAACAATGAGATTACTGAAAATTTTTTGATCAAATTTGAAATTCTCGCTATGTTTATAGATATTGTAATATTTGTCTAAGCCCTAATCATAATCGTAATATACATATATTGATATATCGAGTCTATATAGATATACATATACTCGTACTCGTACTCGTATGTTTGTATGTATGGAGTGCAAAAGCTGTCTGTCCAGTAAGAAATAAGTTTCGCTTCCGCTCCCCTGCTTATGCTTCGACCTTAGGTCCAGGGCAAGCAAGAGTTACAGAATCTATCATTTAGAACCCCTTTAATTCTACCCTAGAGATACATATGTAAGCGTTTACTTGTTGAATATAAATTGTACAATTATTTTTGGATAAAAACCCACACAAAAACAAAACAAAAAAAAAAAAAACAAAAACACAAATCGTTTGTTCTATATTTCTATTTACAAATCTCGTAACTCGTTACCGTCCCTCAATCCACCCTACACACACACTCTGTTATGTTATGTATGATTAGGAGATCTCTAAAAGAAACAAAAAACAACGGAAATTTAAAGCAAAAATTACTTTGACATTGTCCAAAAGAAATGAAATAATAGCTATCCTTAACTTTAGAGATACGCATAGAGATAAGTACACTCTGCAATAAAACATGTTGATAAAAAAAATCGTAATTAAGTCCCAGATAAGGCAAAACAATATCGAAACAAAACCACAAAAAAAAACAACAACAACAAAAAAAGTTGAAGCAAATTTGTGTGCATTTGTTGTAAAACAAACAAAAATATCTAAAAAAGGAAAAGAACAATCAACACGAGAAAGTTGATTCAAAACTAAAGAATGATGAAAGCAAGATCCGATTGTAGCACCATGCAATAACAGACATTCGATTATATAGTATATAAATAAAAAGGAAGATACACAGATACAGTACAGATATCCATATACAGATACAGATACATATATGTATGTATGTATGTATGTATTTATGTAGGAATAGCATATCGCATAGCAGGAATGCGTTTACAATCTTTGTTTGCCATAATTAACAGTTTAATTTAATTAACGAAATGTTTTGTGTACAATGTCTAGGCGCGATCTGGGTAGATGGTGAGAGAGAGAGAGAGAGAGATCGATACCTGCCTGGCGCCACGAATACTCCGCATCGATTGCTACCACTCTGAACAGTATGCGTTCAATGCTCAATATTATTATTATTTGTTTATTAATTGTAATCCCCCCGCCCCACTCCCCTTCCACTTCCATTGCCACTGCTATTGTACTCTACTCTACTCCCTCCCCTCCCTCTCTACCCCACTAACACTTCCATCTTTCTACTTCTTTGACTTTGACTGTTATTTGGGAGGGGAAACGAATCCGAAACCGAATCCCCGCCTTTTTCCCTTACGACAGTTTAGGTGTTGTACATCACAATTTGTTTTTAGTTGTAGCACTTAATTCTAAACGTACTTTATTCAAGATTATACAATATTATATGATACGAGATCAGATGAAATGATATGATGTGAAGAACAATCGAAAATCTTGCCGGAATGTTATAAATCTTTATGTTTAGTTTATTGTAAACCCTAAGTTCTATGCTCTTTCTATATATTGTATACAAAAAACACATACACATATATTTAAAAGCCAATAATTTATTTTTTGTTACTGTTGGAAACGATTCCGCGAAAAATAGAAAAGCAAAAAACAACAAAAAAAGTGAAAATCAAACTGAAACAGAAACTGAGAACAAGTGGCACTCCATGAATCGTGTGAGAAGCAAATGTCCAACTTGTGAGATGACAAACGAAATGAAATAAAACAAATTGTACAATATAATTATAATGAATACACAAAATTTAAATAAAGAACAAAAAGTAAAGTAAATTATTTTTCCTTATGGGAATGAGTTTGTAAAAGGAAATGGAAATAGGGTTCCTTTTCTCAAATGAACGTGGGTGTAGTTTCTGTATCCAGAGCTAAAAAGTGGCCCACGTACTTGGGGTGAGATCGGGTTCCGACGCATTTCGCTGCTGTAATTGTAGATCCTTACTCCGTGCCACTAACCATACAGTATATAGATGTGCCAGTTCTTACAACGAAAGTGGCGCACTCCAAAATATATGATTGTATGCATAGAATAATATTTAGCTGCCGAAACCGATTTTGCTTGAGATATCAGGTTACGTAAATGTGTGTGTGTCATGTATTCTCACATTCTGTGCTTGTGTGGGTTGTACAATTTTTGGCCGCTTGAACCGAAATTAGTTTTTCGAAATATGTTTTTTTGGGCTGATGTAGCGACCTATGCTGACCGCCGCAACATAAACGAGGAATGGGCAAAGTGAGTGGGGGTGGGAAATAAATACAATATATATAAAAAATAAAATATATTAATTGTTTGATGTATTTGAAATTGCACATTTACATATACATATGTACATACTATGTACATATCCCTATTTTTGACAGGTTTTTTTTTTTAATTACATATTGTGCAAATTCCGTCGGCTTTCAACTTTGCAACTCGGTCGAAAAAAATTTTTAAATTTAAGGAAAATGTAAAAATTTAATAAATATTTAAAAAAACCAAAAAAATTTGTTTATTGATCATTGACAAAAGCTGACTGTTATGAAACGAAATATTATAATTGCTCGCTGACAAAAGCTGACCGATATGAAACGAATAAATGTAAATGCTAGCTGACAAAAGCTGACTGATATGAAATGAAAAATTGTAAATGCTCTCTGACAAAAGCTGACTGATATGAAACGAAAATTATTATTGCTCGCTGACAAAAGCTGACTGATATGAAACGAAATATTATAATTGCTTGCTGACAAAAGCTGACTGATATGAAACGAAAAACTATAATTGCTCGCTGACAATAGCTGACTGATATGAAACGAAAACTATTATTGCTCGCTGACAAAAGCTGACTGATATGAAACGAAATATTATAATTGCTCGCTGACAAAAGCTGACTGATATGAAACGAAAAATTATAATTGCTCGCTGACAAAAGCTGACTGATATGAAACGAAATATTCGAATTGCTCGCTGACAAAAGCTGACTGATATGAAACGAAAGTTTATAATTGCTCGCTGACAAAAGCTGACTGATATGAAACGAAAAATTATAATTGCTCGCTGACAAAAGCTGACTGATATGAAACGAAATATTCGAATTGCTCGCTGACAAAAGCTGACTGATATGAAACGAAAGTTTATAATTGCTCGCTGACAAAAGCTGACTGATATGAAACGAAAAAATTGTAAATGCTCGCTGACAAAAGCTGACTGATATGAAACGAAAAATTATAATTGCTCGCTGACAAAAGCTGACTGATATGAAACGAAATATTCGAATTGCTCGCTGACAAAAGCTGACTGATATGAAACGAAAGTTTATAATTGCTCGCTGACAAAAGCTGACTGATATAAAACGAAAAATTGTAAATGCTCGCTGACAAAAGCTGACTGATATGAAACCAAAAATTATAATTGCTCGCTGACAAAAGCTGACTGATATGAAACGAAAAATTGTAAATGCTCGCTGACAAAAGCTGACTGATATGAAACCAACAATTATAATTGCTCGCTGACAAAAGCTGACTGATATGTAACGAAATATTCGAATTGCTCGCTGACAAAAGCTGACTGATATGAAACGAAAGTTTATAATTGCTCGCTGACAAAAGCTGACTGATATGAAACGAAAAATTGTAAATGCTCGCTGACAAAAGCTGACTGATATGAAACGAAAATTTATAATTGCTCGCTGACAAAAGCTGACTGATATGAAACGAAATGTAGCCGCGACAGGAAAGCCCGCGGAGATAGGGACGGGACGGGCGGGTAAAGCCGCTGACAAAAGCTGACTGATATGAAACGTAAAATTATAATTGGTCGCTGACAAAAGCTGACTGATATGAAACGAAAAATTATAATTGCTCGCTGACAAATCGTGAATAATCGTGAGTACATGGCACACACACATTTACGCAACCTGCAATTTCAAGCAAAATCGGTTTCGGCAGCTAAAAATTATTCTATGCATACAATCATATATTTTGTAGTATTATATATGTGTATATGTATGTGTATATACACACATATGTACATGCTTGCTGTCCGTCGGCTCTTGTCACGTCATGAGCCGAACGCGGTCAATCCCAGAGCCGAACGCGATCGGCCCCAGAGCCGAAGACCTGGGAACGTACGCTGAAAACACAGCTGCGCCACTTTCGTTGTATGAACCACTGGCATCTATATACTGTATGGTAAGTGTCCGTGCCCACGCTGCCTACAAAATGCACTCCAGCATATGTTGCGGAAAAATGTTGCAAATTTGTGAATTTCATATATATTGCTGAGAGAAAATGTTGTGGAACAGTGTTGCGAATTTGCGGATTTCATGTATATGGCTATTATAATGTTGCGAAGATGTTGTGGAACATTTTCTACAGGCAATAATTTACTAGAATAATTAATAATAAATATCAGGTTCAGTTTGTGTGTGAAACTGTTTTTATATTAAGAAAAAATATATTGGTCACAATTACTAAACTGAGTGACGATGACCATTGGGATATTTATCTATGCTTTGTGTCTTAATGGCCAAGAGTCCTGGCAACTTTGTGCTTGAGTGAAGGGTGGGTGGAAAGGCTCTAGGAAATAGACGAATAGGCCCATCGCCAGACTCGGTCTCTACAGTTTTCGCATCCCATTGCCTTGTGTAACTTTCTTTCCATGTCTACCAAATCTAGAGGCATTGCAGGCCATAATCTGATCTCTAGTTGTCCCCCTCGTAGACTTTGTTGATATTGTTTCTAGTTCGATGGCGTTGGAAACTTAGGTACCCAATGCCAAAAAACACTCGCTAATTTTTCTCCATCGTGTTGTTGTTGTGTTGGTTTTAAACTTATGAATAAAAAATTCTGGTTTCTGCTGAGTTTTTAAACACAAAACTCGGTAATAAAATACTCAAGCTATTTAATGAAAAGAAAGCTTAATTTTGAAAACAATTATTTAAAAATATAAAATTTAATGGGTCTCAATTTTATTGCATAGTGTAATTAGTTCATTGAAGTGCATTATTATTGCAGCTGATGACGCTAGCTGCGCTGCCTACATAGCATATGTATGTATGTATGTACATATGTATGTAAAATAAATGTTGCATTTTAGTTCTTTTTTAGCGTGGCTTGTTTTTGTGGTGCAAGTGTTGAAATGTTTGTTGTAACAAATGGCAACAGCATCGGCAGCAGCAACAGCAGCACAGCAACAGCAGCAGCAGCAGCAGCAGCAGCAGCGGTAGCGGTAACACCGGCATTTATTTACGTTGGCTCTACTCGGCCTTTCCATCCATTCATTCACAGCTGTCGGAGACGGACGAACGTGTGCGCTCGGCGGTGCCTGTTAAACATCGTAAATAGTGTTTTTCGTGTTCTTGTGTTGTACTCTTGTGTGTGATTTTCTTTAACGGATCTCGTATTTATATATGTACATATATATTGTAGTTTTTGCATATTGCTGAGCATCGCGACTGTTTGCTTGTGGGTACCGGTGTACGGTGCCTCCACCTCCCCCTCGGACACGGCTTAGTATCTCATTTGCACAACAAACAATGTGCAAATATTTGGCCGACCGTTGACTACACTAAAATAATCAGCACAGCCGCTAGGGGCGAACGGATGACGGACGGAACGGAACGGAACGAAACGGGACCTGTGTCTGTGCCTGTGCCTGTTGCCAGTGAGTGTCTCCGTGAGGCACTATACCCACATACACCGAGTGTAGAGATAAAGATGATCTCCTAATGTCAGCGCAGATAACGAAGAGACCATGCATAAGCAGCTCCATTCATTCCCGTTTCCAAAAAGAGTGACAAGCGCCCAGTCCCAGTCCCAGTGAAAAGCCAGACATTCCGCCAGTTAGCTGTCTCGTCTAGTCCGCGCCGGTTGTGGGTTTTCTCAGTGTGTGTTTTTTGTGTATTTTGTTTGCTGCTTCTGCTGCGCTGCCACAGAACTCGTAAGCTTGTTTAGAAAGTGTCGTGGGTCGTCGAGCGCAGGCGGATGGCATAGAAAGTGCATTAGCTGGAAGCCAAACAACAACCCGTGTTAACCAACCAAAGCGTATCCGTGCTGTCATGCTGCAAAACAAGCTGTAACAACAACAAAAAATACAATCACTCTAAAAAATAAATACAATTAAAGGCGATACGAAACACAGGTGAGATTTACAGACATTTTCCAATTCCAATTACCATTTCCATTCCCAATACCTTTGCCTTTTCCTTTCCCTTTCGTTTCCAATTGCAATCACCATTCTCCTCCAGATGCACATTTTCAATTCCAAGTTATTTCAAATTCCAATTGACAGTTACACTTTCGCCACTGAATATGTATGTTTATGTGTGTGTGTGTGTGTGTGTGATGTATCTATAATATGTGCAAGTATTCAAAGCCAATTACAATCAATTGAAAAGGGCGCGCGTGCCATTGCCATTGCTAGAACTACCATTATATGTATATGTAGATCCCGAGCAGATGTAGATGAAGGGGCCTTGGATCATCATCATAGTTATAGGGTGACCATCTGACACGCCACCTTTGTACTTTTTCCAGGCCCATTGTATCTACATTCTGTCACTGTAATAACTGTCATTGTTCTGAAGAGACTTCTCCCCGTCGTGGGTTCTGTTACCTTCCGTGTTCCGTATCGCTTGCATAACAGAGTTATGGATTCGATGCCAGGGATTCTATGGGAAAATAAACCAATTCAGATTGTTTCGTAATTAACCGAATTAATTGCTAATCTCTGGATCGGAGCATGTCAAAAAAGCGTCTGCCTTTCCTTATCTAAATTTGCCTTTGATCGGGCTGGGCTGCCGGGCTGCTATCCCCATCAGATCTTGAACAAAGTTCAGCTTCGTGCCCAAGACGGCATTGGTATTTCCCCACTGCTGAAAACCATTTCCTAGCAATGTTGCAATCACTGCCTCCCCTCCAACTGCGTTCATATTCGAACATTCATTAAAAATTAGTTACCCAATTGATGACTACCGACGGCAGCAGAGGGGGTTAATTGCACAGCTGAATCCCCCAGGCCCAGCCCCACCCCCCCAGATTCGAAGTTTGCAAATTAACTTAGAATGCATAACAAATTAAACAAAACAAAGTCAGCCCGAAACGAGGATCATGAATCATCCGCTCGTGGCGTAGATTTATGGACCGGACCCGGACCCCTGAAAAGTGTTTGTTCTGGCCTTGGCACGGCACTCGTACTCCCACTGTACCCCCACCGCACTCGTATCTGTAGACAATTTTGAAGACTTGTGTAAATTGGCTCTGGGCATACGCGTACGAGCCAGACAGATCACAATGTACGAGTCTGTTTGCCAGCTGTTTGTTAAACTTCGACCTTCACTTCGTCTGAGTCTTAGGCCTCAAGAGATCTCTGTTGACAGAACCTTTAAACAGCTGACGGGGCTGCAGGCTGGGCACTGACGGCATCAGGTTACGCTCAACATATCATTGCTGAACCCGTGCAAATCGGTGGCTAGAACGTGTCAAATTATTGTACGATATATGTATGTACATACGGTAGCATCGGGACAGCTATCAGTGTGTCTCCGGATGGAGACAGTGAAAGAGAGACGAGATTGGGTCGGTAACGTAAGCTTGCCTCGGTCAAAGCTCCACCACACACCACACACCACTCGCAATCAGATCAGCTGTGGGCAGAGCTTTGGCACCGTGGAACGGGTTTAATAATTTCCCTTGTTTGTGTTTACCTGCTGGCCGACTCTTCCGCATGCATCTGTCTGTGCTGAACGCGGTCGCAGCGAGACGGGGCGGGGCATCAACAAACAGGGGGCAACAGGCAACATCAAAAGTCTCCTCTCTCTGCATCCCATTGAATACACAAGTCGTCGCCGTGGGGCCCATAAAGCTTTCCAGGTATCATCTGATTGTGCGAATCTCGCGCAGCAATTAGACGAAGAGATCTTATGACCCCAATTGCTTAACGATCGGCAGTTTAAGGGTTGTCCGGAATCAGCGAGCCGTAAAAAGCATTTAATTAGCCAAATATGAGCAGTGCAAAATGTCCAAACAAACAAAATAAAAACAGTTCCCAGCGCCAGGAACGTGCAAATAATACTAAAGATGACTCCTTATCGTGTGGTGTGTGGCAGGTGGACGGGGGGAAGCACGAAAAGATACAAAAAGCAAAACAGCAACAAATTAAAACGGTATAAGTTTAGTGATGCGAACGTCAGATATCCACCATATCCACAATAATAATAATATTATAATATAATAATAATAATATATAATATAATAATTGTTTCGAATTTATTTCAAACCAAACTTAGTTTCTGTTTAAGTGCATCATTCGTTATTCTGGCGAAGAACGTATCCGCATCCGATACGGATACATATACAAAAAACCCCCTAAAAGATAATTCCAATTAAAGAACAAAACAGCTAGACAAATATTAAAGAAAAGTACAAATATTTTGCTGTATCATGGCATATTGCATAGCTCTCCACTATTACCATATACCCCATAAAATATACAGGTACGCTACAGGTACCGGGTACAGAAAATGCCCATCAACTGTGCGCACGAAGGTTTTTCCCCCACGAGAGTGGGACAGACAGAGAGAGAGAGAGAGAGAGAGAGAGAGCGAGAGATCTGGAGCCAGAGCTGGGTTAACCGCAAAGCGCTCTGTGTGCTTTTAATCAAAAGTTTAATAGATTGGCGTCGTTGTCGTGCTTGAGGAAATTGCCGACTGGCCCGCAAAATAATTCCAGCAGCGAGAGAGAGGTGTGAGTGGGGCTCAGGCGATGAGAGAGAGAGAGAGTGGAGCTCTCTCCCCTTTCCGTTCTCCCGCTGGCGCGCACTCCGCTGCGAAAGCTCTGGCTCTGGGGCTGGGACTGGGGCTGGGGCCCGATCCGCTGGGGAATTGTGATTTCAGTTTCATTTTTGAAGATCACTTGGTGCGAGGCGGACGCGAGTGAGAGAGAGATCGAATAATAACCGAACTGCGGAACCGACTGTATATGATTAATTTGTGTACTTAATACATAAATAAATATAATTAAATAAACCAAGCTGTGCAATCACATCGGCAGCAGCCGAGGAGCCTCCCAGTGGCACGAGGAAGAAAGTGTGCAGCCAAAGTGAAGTGCAGGAGGAATACGCATCCCATTTCCATTGGAATTCCAATTCCCATTCGCTTGCATCCATTCGATTCCAATATCAATGTCAAGTGGATCGCGATCACACGGAATCCGGGGTCAGAAGAGCGCTACGACTGATTAACACTCCATCTCCGGCTCTAATGAGCGCAAAGCGAACGCAAACAAATAAATAAGTAAACAACGCAAACGGCAAATTAACAAAAACGAAATCGCAATCGGACTCAAGAAGCAGAGACAAAAATACGCGGAATATAGAAAAACACGTTTCCCCACGAAAAAAGCGCATAAACAGCAACACAAATAACACAAATTGCTGTCGCTTTGTGGCTGAACTGAACAGCACACACGCGTACGCATTATCGTACGAGTATCGGGCAATATCAGCTCAGCCAGCAGACGCCAGGTCTGAACAGATCTCAAATCACTCAGATCGCGGGCCCCAGTCTGAGTCTGGGGAGCTGTTTTTGGGGCCTAACCCTGATTCTGGCTCTTACCAAATATGAGCAGAGGCTGCCTGTCGGACCAGTTGCTGTTGTAACGTAACCCGAGCAGCCGTGACCGAGACACCAAACCGCGTCAAGTGGAGAGACCAGACCCACATTCACCACACACTCGTACTCACACACACACACACACACACACTCATACATCGTGCGGCCATGGAACGCTCTCACAGTTGCAGCAATTTCGAGGCCAGAGTAGGGCCGGGAGCAGCAATGGCTATATCGGCCGGAGGGGCAGCAACAGCCGGGTGCAAAGAGCTGCCCCAGCCAAAGCCGCACGCCGGCAGCAGCGACAACCTGCCGCTGAGCATCTGTGCCAGCTCCGCGGATCACTTTCCGCCCAACAAGCCGCTGCGCAAGCGCAAAAAGCTGCAGCGCCAGCAGTCGGTGGTCGTCGATGTGGACGACCTGGAGTGCGATTGCGCCTATGCCGCCGATCTGGAGGAGAATGCCGACCACGACAACGAAAACGACCAGGAACAGATCAGCCTGGACGCCTTGCCACACTTGCCCAGCCACTTCGCGCAACAGCAGAGCCCTGCCCACGTGAGCATGGCCCTGCAGCGGCACATCTCCATCTCCTGCAACAGCAGCAACAGCAACAGCAAGAGAAGTGGTCTGCGACGCTGTCGCTGCCTGCGGCACGAGGAGTCCTTCGACTCCTGCAGCACGGCACCAGAGCTGAGTCCGCAGGCACAGCGGCAGCATCGATTCAGCAGCCTGCTCTTGAGGGACAGCTCCGCCTCCGTGCAGTCGGACTCCAGTCGGTACTCGAGCGTGGACAGCCTGCTTGAGTCCCGCAAAATGGATCCGGAGGCCATACTCATCAACCTGGGCTTCGGTCCCGTCGGCTCCGAGGACATGCTGTCGCGGATACCGAAACGCTTCCTGAAACCCTCCCAGGTGCCGGGCATCGACACGGAGGCGTTCGTTCAAAGACTGACCCTGGCCAGCTCGCTGGCCGACTCCAGTGTTCTGGGGTATCGCGGACTCACCGGCAATCCGGACATGCCGCCCTCGTCCATTGTGGCCAAGATCATGCAACGCTTCGAGGTGAACCATCAGCGTAAGAAGTCAATGGGTTCCATTGACCACCCGATCAGATGAGTGGCCTGTGGGAAGAGTCACCCCACCACACCACACCATTCCATTCCATTCTAATCCTCTACTATTAGTCAGCCAACTAGGGGGCTCTACTTGCAACCCACCGCGGGGGACATGTGATCTTTGTGATGTCTTATCTTGTCCATAGTCCTTAGGAATGCCGCGTACTTAGCTGTGTATTTATTATTGTACCCATCGATTGTAAACTCTAGTTAGATAATGATTTAAATTAAAAAGAATTGTATTATGCATTGCACGTCTTGTACTTTGGATTGGGGGTTCCACCTGAATTATTAGCCACTCCTGGAGGTGCCCTAAGGAAAAAGATTTTACAATTTGCACCTTTATTTAAATCATTGATTCACACAACTGTTTCTTGCCGTACATGTATATGTATATGTGTTTATCTACTGCACTGCATCTGCCTCTTTTCCATTTCAAATCTCTGAATGGGGATTTCAACTCGACCAGAACTTTGGATCGGTATCTTGTCTCCCATTGGAATCCTAAAATTAGAAATCAGCGTCACTTTCCGTACGCGTACGCTGTTTGTTCATTTTGTAGTTGAACAAATTCATTTGCGATACAGTACACCCCACCCCATACCCCCTCCCCGAATGCTCGCATTTACATACACACACACTCGTACAATACATCTCAGAATTGTTGGATGTATTTTTGCTGTATTGTTATCGAAAGTCCGTTGGCTGAGAGAAGTTTTATTAATAGCCAATGACTATGACTTGGCGTCTTTTGGAGTGTCCGAGGGCCTGGACCCGCGATCTGTAAGAGGCTAAAAAAGAGTAAGTACGTGGGCCCAGGGCGCCCCAGGGATTATGTAGGTACATTCTGTGCAGCGATCGTTTATTGATTTCAATTGCCTCTAATTGTTTACATTCACCGACTGGCGACTGGCGACGAACCGAACTGCGCCACGGGCACCCGGAATCCAGCACGGGAGTACTGCATGCCTTGGCATTAGCATTGGCATTACCTCATTCCGCACACGTTGGAATGGGTTGGCTTGACTTGACCCCAAACGGCCTTTGCCGAGCGCCAAACAAACAAGCTCTCCTCCACTGATAACATAATAGCCGATAGCATTTGCGCACATTTGTAACGCCTTGAAAGTGCCATACCACACCACAAGAACTTATTGAGAACTGTGTGCATGTGTGAGAGTGGCGGGCATATCCAATAGATAACTGCTCTGGGGCACATGACTCTCTATCCATATCTACTATACGTGTGTGTGTGTGTATGTACCACTCGATAAGGTCATGGATAGGACATAGGCTGTTTGCCAAATTAATTACTTTAACAAAGCAAAGCAAAGCATAGTCAATGACATAGTAAGCCTAAAAAGGCCGAAACAGGCCAAAAGCAAAGACATTTCCCCTTAAAAAGAGGCCAATAGGTCAAGGGGGGCCGGGGGGGGGGGGTGGAGCACTGGCGAGGATCATGGATCGCAAAGCAAGTCGGCTCAAAGGACGCAAGCCATTCCACCCCAGGCACATGGCGGCAGCCATTAGAGTGATGCATTTTTGTTATATATATTTTAGTGCATCTGCAGCAAGAGGCGCGAAACCATTGCTGGTGCCACTGCCACTGCCACTGCGCCCACACCCGGAATAATGTGAAAGAAAAATTTGCAAAGCAAAACACACACAAGAAAGAAGCGACGAATTCGAGGAAAATTGAAATGTGTGTCACAGCTGGCGGGCAGACAGACAGAGTGACGGACAAACAAGAATGCATTTAAATTGTGTTGAAAAACAATTTAATTAATTTAACTCTGTGTGGGCGTTTGATTAATTGCTTTATCGGTCAATGGGATGCAGCGGGTTTTGGCAGAAACGAATTACCCCTATCCCCATAGTGTAGCCATTAGAATGCACCATGACTTTTTTCAGTATTTTAAATGCCCTACAACTTTGTAATTCAACGGCTCAAAAATTAAATTTCCGTTAAATACGAAATCTCCAAATTCGGAACATTCTTCAGCAACATTATTTTCATGCTAGCCAGCTTTTGACACAGTGAAATACCAATGTGTACATACATGCAGCGTGACCGTTTGTTATTTTATTTTATCATGGTATATACTGATATTTTTAAACAGCTTCCTGGTATATAATGATATTTTTCGAACTGGTCACTTTATTCGTTGGTGGTTTTTCAAAATCTGCTCTTTTTTTTCGAGGTGAAGAGAGCGCTTTTCCTGGTGCCTTCCCCTCTTATTTAAAAACAGTACTATTTCCGCGGTTTAACAAAGGGTGCCCAACTTTTTAAATAGAGAGGTGTTAAGTGGGTTAAGTCGCGTTTGGTCGCCGGATCGCCCTGGTATTTTTATGGTATGGTATTTAAAAGGTATTTCTCGAAGCTGAAATGGTATTTTTATCGTTATCGTCACGGTGTCAACAAAAAAGCAAAACAGTACTTAAAACTTTTATCGTGTGCATTTTATGTTTGTTAAGTTGCCAATTTAAACCGACCCCGACTGTTCCATTCGTACTTAATTTACACATTATATATATATATATACTTTTGTCGTGTGCTTTTTCCACCGCCGGCCTTTGTTGTTTGCATCAATTAACATTGATTTTCTTACATTTGATTCATGCAAAATGGATTTCTCCGCGAAGACAATAGCTGAGGCCGCTGGCACTCCGTTTGGCAAGATCTGCAACATCTCGACAAGATGTCTGTGTGGACCACATCCAACTCAGGTGGCCTAGAGACCCTGCCCGAGTCGCAGCAGCTGGCCAAGAATCCGGCCCAGAGCCCACACACACCGAAATCCTCAGCTAGCACGTTTCTGCAGTCCCAGCGACAGTCCGGCGGTCCCTTGACATTGAATTCTTCCACGTTCACCACCGCCAACACAGCTCATCACTTCCAGCACGTTGTGGCCGCAGCAGTAGCAGCCGCCACATCCGTAGCCACCGGGCACCACCATCAGCAGCAGCAGCACCACCAATACCACCACCACAATTCCGGCGGTGGCAGCAGCAATCACGGCAGCAGCCCCACCAGCAGCAACGGATTTAAGCGCTCCAGCCTCAGCAACTCGCTGCTGCAGTTCCCCCCACCGCCGCCGCCATCGAGCCAGAGCCATCCAAAGGTAAGTCATCCATCAATAACAAATCAATCTATCCTTCGCTCCCCCTTCCACCCGTTTACATTCCTCACTTTGCTATGGAAGCTCCGGCCGATCTCCGACGCGCTGGCAATAAATCGCGAAAAACGAAATCGGAACAAACTCTGGGGCGGCTTGCGGGTGGCGGGAGGCTTGCACATGATTCTCAAATCCGAATCTGGCACTGAATCTCTGGAGGGGCGGGGGGTACGGCCTCTGTTTCAAGTCGAACGAGATCCCAAACACAAACACACTAATACACAGGCGCACACACACACTACCGCAAGTGCGTGCAAACAGCGCTCACCTTTTGCCTACCTGCTAAAAATTATTATTGAACGGTGCTTAGAGCAGCCGCCATGGCGTCACGGCCTCTCCCCCCCTTCTCTTTAATTGACTCCACGAGGGTCGCACTCGTGCACACCCTGCCCTTTGTCTTTTGTCGTCGCTTATCGACGGTTCTGTTTGCCAACGATAAAGAAAAAGCCACAAAAAGTGGGCCTGCTCCTTGGGCGGCGACTGTAAAATGGTAAATGGTAAATTGTGTTTGCATACGTGTTCCGTGTGATATCGCATTGCAAACCACAGTCGGAGTGGACTAAAAAAAAAAACAAACCAAGAATAAAAAATTAAAATCCGAAATATCCACATCAGAATGCTGACACCTTCCGTTTCGCTGTTTTTATCGAGTTGACTTATTTTTACACGCTTTACATTTTACATTTTGCTTCGTTTTGTTTTTGCTCAGCGGAAGTCAAGTGCTCCCCCGAAAAACAAGGGTGTGGGCGAAGGTGATAGGAGACAGACGGAGAGCAGAGAGAGAGAAAGAGAGACAAGTCGTCTGCTGATAAAGACAGCATCGAATACGGGGTGAAACCCCGTCCCCAGTTGGAATCGCGAAATATGATTAAACAGAGGAACATTTTTTTTGTTCAGTCCACAAAAGGAAGCAAAAATGTTCCATCTAAAAAGTTCTCGAACGCGAGCAACAGTCGCGGCTCAGTATATTGAATTGTCATCATTGCTCAACAGTTGCGTCTGGGCAAACGTGTCTTGCTAGGTTTCATCGATTAGCTGCAACAGTTGCGGCTACAATAACATGTCCTTAAGCTAGTTTTCCTTCAAGAGCATAAACATGCCATCGTGGTGTAGAATTTCCAATTCAGATCTCTATATCCTTTCCGGAATTGACAAAATCTTGAAGGCTCGGATGGGAATTAAAAAATGAGGGCAGCCATCCGCATGCTACTGCCTCTGTTGCTCCTTGTCCATGTGTCCTGCAAAGTCCTGTTCATAAACAGAGTTGAGCCTGCGCGCCCACTGGATACGTGGGAGAAGGATATATTGCAAGATTCCAAGTACGTGGTGTCGATTCGCACCGCCAAGCCCATTCGGTTTTGGGGCGACAACCACTTCTGCGGCGGGTTCGTAATAACGTCCACCTGGGTAATAACCAGCGCTCGCTGCGTCTCCGTGAGGCCGCCCAGCAACTGCTGCTACCCCACCGAGCGAAGAAATCTGATGGTTGTGATCGACACCCAAAATCGCCTTGACAAGCCATCCAGCGAGAAGCAGATTGCCGTGAAGAAGGTTGTCCTGCATCCCAAGTTCAAGGGATTTCGCAATGACCTGGCCATGCTGAAGCTGAAGAGCTCTGTGCCCAAGTACCTGCACCATAGCCAGTCAAAGCTGCCCAATGAGGGTATCGAAAAGAACAAATCCTGCATGGCGTTGGGCTGGGGCCGTATGTACACCGTGAGTGCCCAAATAATCCTGCAAGGCAGGACATATCCATGTGATATGTGAAAGCTCTTCCATAGGACGGACCGATGACGAACGAGATGATGGTGCTGATGGTGTCGACGCAGCCCGAACACAATTGCCAGCGAAGCTCCACCGCCCCCGATCCGGGCAAAACCATCTGCGTGGTCAGCCGTCATGGATACGGAAGCAGTTGCCAGGGGGATCTGGGCACTCCGCTCTTCTGCGGCCAAACGCTCTACGGGGTGATGGGACGGGGGGAAAAGTGCCAGGAATACGGACCCATGATGTTCACCAGCATCTACGAACACATGAGCTTCATCATCAGTACCATAGACGGCAGCATGCCCCGTCGTAGCTCAGGGTCTCACCCTGACCCTAATCCTGACCTTGTCAACTGTTGCCGGCCATTGATGAAGATGTTAATAATGCTGCTGGGAGTGTGGGTTGCGCTGCTGGTTGGGTCAAGTGGGTGCAATCGATGTGGATTTTAATTGAATCGAATCGCTCTTTGTTCAGGGTTCAGTTCAGGGTGCCCAGCAGCACCTCGCACAGCCGTCGAATCTACTTCCCCCCACCCCATTCATCAATAGTTCAGGTAGAAAGTCGTGTAATCGCTGATCGATCGCCAAGAGAGCAGAAAACCCAACCCCAGCCGCCCCTCGAGCACCTAGCAGCGCCTCCGCAGACGTCAAGTTTCGTTTTGTTTTCGCATATTTTTTTTGTTTGTTTGTTTCTTTCTTTCCCTTTTGGTTGGTAGTTGTTGTTGCTGCTGCTGCTGCTGTTTCTATAGTCTTTTTCTGTTTTCTGTCTACACCGCTCTCTCTCTCTCTCTCTCTCTCTCTCTCAATCTCTTTCTGTCTCTTTCTCTCACCATATATGCTTTCATTCGAATGGCATTAGTAATTCGATTGCCATTATTGTTGTTGTTTTTGTGTCATCGCAGGCCGCCGTTTGAATTGATTGTCGAATTTAAATACCGCGCTGCCAACGTTGCCGCCGTCGTCGTCGTCGTCGTCGTCGTCATCGTCACCCATCAGTGTAGCCGCCCGTCGTCGTCGCCGTCGTCCGCTCTGCTCAGCTGCTCTGTGCCCTGCTGGCTGCGCTTCGTATCAGTTAGTTAGTAACTTTTGCCGCCATCGCTGCTGTTGTCAACGTCGTCGCATGAGCTCTGCCCCAGGCCCTGCGCCCAAAGGAACACGTATTAAGAAAAGGAGGCAGGCATACAGCGCGCGAAAGGCAGGAAGGCAGGAAGGCAGGAAGGGTGGCCAAACAGAAGACGGAGCAGCAAACCAAGAATGAAATTGAATTTCACATGAATTAATTGTGTCGAAAGCAGAATTACTTTTCGATCTCTTCCCGTCAGTGGTTGCGCACTGCGCGGAAGTGTTGCGGCTGCTGCTGCTGTTGCTGCTACTTGTGCTGCCAGGTGCCATTGCCAGTTGCCCCAATCGCCTGTTGCCATTGCCATCGCGTCGGTTTGCCTCTTCTGCGCTGCTGTCTATCTGTCTGTGTCAGCGTGTTGGCCGCCGCTGCAGCTTCCCCAACATCCGTGTTTGCAGTCGGCAGTCGGGATCGGTGCTTTGAACGAAAACGTACGCAAAGCAGAACGGACTACGCTGCGTGGTGACCTTGTCCGTGAATGTGTCTTGAACTCGACTGGGACTCGACTCGGGTATCCGTAATACACCCCGTACCTCGATCAGGTGTCGCCTCTCCTGTCAGTGTGTGTGTGTGTGTTTGTGTGTGCGTGCCAAATTCGTTTTATTGACACACGTATTTTACATTTCATAAACCCATAAAATGTTTATAAATAAAAAGTAAATACTTTAACGCACTGCGGCGCAAGATCAGAGAGACTGAGACGAGAGAGAGAGAGACAGAGAGAGTGAGTGAGTGGCGCGAGGAGAGAGGAGAAATTTCCGTCAAAAGTAGTGTGCCCCAGAGGCCAGTCTCTGTTCTCTGTAGTTATTCCGTCAGTGTGTGGGTAATTGCTGATCAATTGTCATGTGCCCCAAAAGATCACACACCAACACACACACACCCTGATGTACACTGTCGCACAAACAAAACAAACCAACAAAAAAAAAAGACAGACAGCAACAGCAACAGCAACAACAACAACATTAACAATAGCAATCGTAATCGCAAAAGCAGCAACAAAAACACATTAATGGGAAGCGCAAAATCAACCAAGTGAAACGGAAATTTACAAAATAAAACCAAAAAGATTCAAAACTTGACTAGAATAATTCCGATCCGGTCCGATCCGATCAAATCGAAGCCCCCAGTGCACGTTGCCCGTCCGGAGCCGAGTGGTGACCCACCACCACCGATAGAGTCATAAGAGCCTTGGCGAATCGTAATTAATTGAAGCATGAGAGCAGCCTGATCCGTAGACGAACAGAGCACCAGTACGGAGACCAGACAGCACATGCCACCACGGCCCCTCGAGGAGTCTTTCCCACCCAAGCCCCCACGCCGCAAACGACAGATGCGGCCCGAACAGGAGACGGGGAGCCATCACCCGGAGACCCAGCCCCAGGCGGAGAACGAGGATGAGCAGCTGCTGCCCTCCACCAGCGCCAGTAATAGCAACAGCACCAGCAATGCCACCACCAGCGCCAGCATCCGGAGCGACACCTACTCCAGCCTTCGCTATACCCGTTCCAATCTCAGCCGCAGCAGCCTCCTGCTGAGCCACCAGCAGAGCTCCTTCGATGGCAGTGCCGCCACGCCCACAGAGCGCACGGAGAGCAGCGAGACTCTGGACATGCTGCCCATGGGCAGGGGTCGCTCCCAGATGCATCCGGCAGGCAGATGCATGGGCCAGATGCCGATGAGTACGCAGATGCGGGCGGGCCAGCCTTCGGCCCTGGCCAGTGCACTGCATGCAACGGCCAAGCTGGCGGCCAGTGTAGATGCATATACGGCCGCGGCGACGGCGGCGACGACGGTTCCCTCCGGTCACCTACCGCTCACCGGACCTGGCGCCGACTACAGTATGTGCGACTCGTGTCGCCCATTGCGCTTCCACAGCCAGAACACCGGCCAGAGCTGTCACATCCACGGCAATCTCGGCAGTCGACCCGTCCACTCGGGCCCGAGCAGCTACGTTGGATCGTCGCGCTATCTCTACCATAATTTAAATTCGAATTCCCCACACGCGGGCTCGGGACGCTTCAGCGCGCAGAGAGACGCCTCGCTCCCACCTGCGGCAGCTGTGCCCCTGCCGTTGCCGTTGCCGTCAGGGCTAGCAGCTTCCATAGCACCGCCACCATTTCAGTATCGCACCTTCCAACAGAATCCGTCTTACCGCTTTCAGCCACGCCAGCACCGCACCGGCAGCAGCAGCATGTCGCAATCCGGCGAGGATCTCCACTCGCCCACCTACCTCTCCTGGCGCAAGCTCCAGCTGAGTCGCGCCAAATTGAAGGCCTCCAGCAAGACATCGGCCCTACTCTCCGGTTTCGCCATGGTGAGTCATTAATATTATTAATATATAAACATAAATCTATTTCTATGCTCATTGCATAGAGTACTCGAAAGTCAGGAGAGGACAGGAAATTGTTATTACAATTGTTGCGACCGACTGTTGTGAATTAAATCAATCCGCAATATCTCGTAGAAGATTATTCTTATAGAAAAGAAATGGTAATTGTCCCTTGTTCCGTTGTGAAAACACATCACGTAATTAGATCATAAATCGTATGTGTGCAGCAGGGTCAGAGATAGAGATTCTGGCAGAAGACCTCAGTTTCCTAGAACATTTCTTGGGTAAAATCCCATCGAGAGCAACAGAAACAGCCACAGCCACAGCCACAACGAAGTCTGTATACACTGTGAGCTTAAGAAAGTTTCCAAATGTGATGTGGAAACTGGTTTTTCGTGCAAACTGATAATTATTGGTTACATTTCAATGGCATCCTTTAAATTATGGGCCGCGAGTACTATCCCAAGCTTGGGAATGTACGAAATAATAGTATAGCCCTATGATTGAGGTATTGATATTCTAAGCAAATATTCACAGACATGTATAATGGTTTTCCTATTCCGCACTTTCATGTGTGCCGGTCTAAACATAATTAACTTTGACTAGGGAAAAATTAGAGCCAATTAAATTTGTTAAATTTATAGCCTATATCTTTGACTTTTTCAAACAATTCCGTCAGCCATACCCCAACGATAGAAATATTTCGGTATGTTTTTATACCCATTAATCGGAGGTATATGTACATATATGTATAGGACTTTCATTCAACCAATAGAACTCCCACCATATTCATTGATAGCCGACAACAAATTCGAGTATATGTGCAATCTTAATATGAATACTATAAAATATAATTAATCAACGTTAACAATCTCTAGATGCATTTAATAGAATGTTGTTCGTTTGCACAAGGGGTAGTCACTGTTCCGCCACTGTTTTTGCTAGTTTTATTTTTTTATATTCACATTCCACATGTGCACCTTTGTAGGTAGTTGTTGAGAGAGGGGGGCGGGCAGAACGGATAAATTAAGCCAATGAGATACTTATTATATAAACAAATCTGCTCGCGCCAGCAGCACTTGCCAAAATGTTGAGAAAGATGGCTAATAATAATAATAGCAGGAGCAGAAGCAGAAGCAGAAACAGAAGCTGCCCCAAGACAAGCGTGATCTCGAGAGCGAAACCCCACGACGACAGGCTCACTAATATACCAATCTCTTTTGTTCTCTTTCCTTCCTCGCCCCCACAGGTGGCCATGGTGGAGGTGCAGCTGGACCACGACACAAAGGTTCCGCCCGGCATGCTAGTGGCGTTCGCGATCTGCACCACAATGCTGGTGGCCGTGCATATGCTGGCCTTGATGATCAGCACCTGCATCCTTCCGAACATCGAGGTGGTGTGCAACCTGCACAGCATCTCCCTGGTGCACGAGTCGCCGCACGAGCGCCTGCACTGGTACATTGAGACGGCGTGGGCTTTTTCCACTCTGCTGGGGCTGATCCTGTTCCTGCTGGAGATAGCCATACTGTGTTGGGTGAAGTTCTACGATCTGAGCCCGCCGGCGGCCTGGTCCGCCTGCGTGGTGCTGATACCCGTGATGATTATCTTCCTGGCCTTCGCCATACACTTCTATCGGTCTCTGGTGACACACAAGTACGAGGTGACGGTCTCGGGCATACGGGAGCTGGAGATCCTCAAGGAGCAGATGGAGCAGGACCACCTCGAGCACCACAACAACCACAATCGCAATAATGGCCTTCACTACGGTGCCGCCGGCGACATCGTCTAGCAGTATCAATCGCGCGAGGATCCCACGATGCATGAAGTCTCCACGGCGATTCTCCGCTGAAAACTTAAGGAAAACGAAAAGAAAAGACACTTGCGGCAGTGGGCCAGAGGCCCCGCCGTCAATCCTCAGACTATATAAGTGAATATTTTTTTGTAAATTTGTAGTTGATGCAAATTGTGATACGCAGCAGGCAGTAGATATTTATTATACGAGAACAGTATGAGTATGGGTATATTCTAAAGGAGTGTGCCTCGAGCAATGTTTCTTTCAGCTCAAGACCTTTAACAGATTGTAGCCCCCGTGTACTGTACCCCTGCAATGATGAAAGACCCCAAACTAAAGCAATAATACTTTCAAGTTGAAAATTCCTCAAAATTAGCTCGTATTTGTTTTAACTACTTAGCGCTCCGTGAATAATCTGTATTGTATTTTTTTCGGACCTTGTCCATAGCGCGCAGTCTTCCCTCACTCACGTAGTGTGTAAGATCCCAAAACCCCGATCGTGTTAGCCCATATTTTGATATTGATAGGCCCAATATATACATATGTAAGCGGAATTGCGCTGTAATTTATACACGTACGATTAAACGATTTTTTTTCTACCTACATATACTTAACCAAAGCAAGCGTTTTTCTATGCCAGTTCTCCTCCCGCCTGACCTCCTTCGGCTCGTTGGGTTTGCGTGCCAGGAGCGACCGGAGGAACTAGCTAACGAGCGTTGTTAGAATGAGAGTGGGGGGTAGGAAATCGGAGCCAGGAGCCATGGCTGGGGTTGATTAGAAAAAGAGACACCGCACGCACGGCTTCGATCCACACCCCAGGACACGGAAGAACAGAACCGAACAGATGACAAACGCCAAGCGGAGCTGGGGCTCAGCCAGTTAGTTGTCTGCAACATGTCGTGCCATGCTGGTGGCGGAAGTGGCGTTCGCTGCCTGCGCTATCCTGCCGGAGGGCATGGCCGCTATCAGGGCAAGTGGCTGAGGAATCAACACCACGGCTTTGGGGTAAAGTCGAGCGGACGCGGCTTAGTGTACGAGGGGCAGTGGCAGCGGGGCCAGCGTCATGGATACGGAACCATGCGGCGCGAGTCACCCGATGGTCAGGTGCATCGCCTCTATGTGGGCCAGTGGCGCCAGGACAGGCGCAGCGGCGAGGGCAAGCAGTATTACGACGATGGATCCGTCTACGTTGGCCAGTGGCAGATGAACAAGCGACATGGACGCGGCATCCAGTGGTATGCGGACGGGCGCATCTATTTGGGGGAATGGCTCCAGGATGTCATGCACGGACGGGGTGTCCTCTTCTCGGGTGAGTCCTCTACTAGAATCTCCTCGTTGATCCATCTGTTCCGTCTGTGTGTTTTCAGCAAACGGAAATCGCTATGTGGGGGACTTCGAGGAGGGCTGCAAGTCAGGCGCTGGCTTCTTCTACCACGGACAGGACCGGATTCAGTTTGGCCAGTGGGTCCAAGACATCTGCAAGAGTTCGCTGCTGCCTCTGCTGAGGGAATGATAGCATTTCAGACATTCCCTGGAGGGTCGATGAGCTCCTTGCAATAACGTTTATAAATACACAAAAGACAAGCGAAAATGGACAAAACTATTAACTAAATCTATGCACGTGTTATCCCTAATCAGTTCCTTTGTCGCCGCCTCAGGCTGACTGTCTCCGGCTGGGGTGTCAGCTCCGGCACCTTGCCACGTGTTCGTCCTCGCGTGGTCGCTGGCGTTTCCTCGGCTTGCCGGTTGCGGGCCCGAGTGCTCCTCGCATCAGTGGTCTGATAGCGCTTCGCTGTGGCTGCCGACGTGGTCGGCGGCGTCACTTCCACGGTGTCGTCCAGTTCGATAATCTCTGCTACTTTTAATTGGTTGCGAACTCTGGCAGAGCGTGTCTTTGTGGCCTTGACTGGCACCGACTGCGATCGTTTCAGTGGAGCCGCAACAGCAGCCGCAGCCGAAGCTGGAACGAAGGCAGAATCGTCATCGCTTATCTCGATGGCCTGGCAGGCGTTCAGATCCACATGATCCGAAGGTGGCGTGTTCTCAATGCCGCTCTTGCTGCTGCTGCTGCTGCTGCCGCTGCCGATGGGGGGACGCAGCTCCAGTTCCGTGTAGATCTTGAACCTGGGCGTCTTTCTGGCCGATGCTGATGCTTTTGTCTTGGCAGTCGTCTCGACCAGAGCTTTCCTGCCCTTAATCTCTGGCGAAGTGTTAAATGCGAGGGCTCGCCTAAGGGTCTTCGCCTTCTCTTTGCCCGCGGGCCGCAGCTCCACTTGCGCAGTCTTAAGCTGGGACATGAAGTTGAAGCCATAGTTGATGTCCACCGTCTGGCACTTTAGCATGAGACCTGCCTCCGCGTAGCGTATGGCCTCCTTATGCTTCTTCCTGTAGCGCAGATAGTTGACGTGGTAGAGCTCCTGCACGAGGTGCATGGAGCCCAGGGTGGCGGTGCGTGCCGAATCCTCCTGCAGCCAACTGCCTGCCCGCACGTAAAAGTCGTCCAGCTGATCGTTCTCCCTTTTCAAGAAGCTGAGGCGGGCATGGAGACAGCCCACGATGAAGTAGATGCACTGCAGCTGCATGCACTCCCGGAGATGGGGCGGCGCCTCTTGCTTGCTCACATAGCGCTGCAGCTGGAGGCTGCTGGGGCTTGAATCGTGGATGGCCGGAAATTTGGGCGTGGCTACGTCCAGCTGATTCTGCTTCCGTATCGGCTCCACCAGCTGCATAAGCAGCATGTTGCTGGTCAGCTCGCTGATGCCATTGGACTTGGGATCATCTTTGGCTGCGATTGCGGGGACTCCTTTGGTCGATGGCTGCTCCACCAGCGTTAAACTGAGCGGCTTGATGGCGAGCAAATGGTCCAGGAGGCGCAGTTTGGACTGCGCCTTGTCCAGGTACTCCATCTGCAGGTTCATCCAGAGCCACGAGATTAACACCTCGATGGCCCGCAGGGCCATGCCCGACTGCAGCACCATGTTAAGCATGATGCCGGTGAAGCCGAGCCGCTCGGTCAGCCGGTTCGCCGCACACTCGGTGCTCTCCCGCACCAGGTCGGCCAGCAGCAGCTGCAAGGCTCCCAGGTCCACGCTGGACAGACCGTAGAAGTTGCGCACGCTGTCGACCAGCGTGTCCAGCTGGCGCAGGGGCGTGGGCATTCTGGGCAGGCCACTGCTCCGCTTCTTCCGCTGGTACTCCAGTCGAAAGCGAACTGTCTGGATGGTGATCAGCACAATGTCGCTCTTTCCCAGCCGCTCATCGAATTCGGAGCGCAACTCCTCCGCCTGCAGCAACAGCAGCTGGGCGTGGCACAGACAGTCCTGGCGGGCATAGTAGCTGGCCATGTGGCAGAGGCAGAGCATCACTATGGTGTGGTGGCGCTTGAAGAAGTGTCCGTTTTTGAGCTGAGGCCACAGATCGTTGAGCAGCTCCTGTGCGCGGTCCACCTCCTCCGAGAGCTGGAGCTGCTGGTTAGGACTTGGATGGTCCTGTGCCAGGAAGTGGGTCAGGGCTCGCAGGTAGGTGAATCTCTCGTCCAACATTCGCCCAATCCTGAGCAGCAGCAGCCAGGCATCATCGGCCTGCGCCATGTAGCCCATGCTGGACAGAGCCATGGCGGCGGCAACCGCATCGTCGATCAGGGCTTCCCAGTCGATGGGTGTCTCGTCGCAGTCGAGGGGCTCTTGGTCAGCCCGCTGGAAGAAGGCCGCGAAGCCAGCGATGGCCCCGGTGGCCAACGCCACCAGGCGATGCTCTCGCTTGATGTTCAGTTCCAGCAGGTTGTTCTTGACGATGAACGTCTCCAGGCTGTTCTCGGCCGTCTCCTTGATCGAGACCTTGGTCTTCTGTGCCTCCAAAGCCTCCAGCAGCACACTGACACTGGCATGGCCAATGGCCAGCTCTTGCATGCGGGTGAGCGGCTGCTGGAGGGCTGTGCTTTGCAGCTGGGAGCGCAGTTCCTCGCACTGACGCACCATCTCGCTGTCGGCGCGCATTTTGCGTGCGAGGAGAACCAGGTGATAGTCGTTGCGACGACAGCGGAGTAGCGACTGCAGCAGGGGCAGTGGCGGCGCACTCAAGAAGTGCAGCACGGCCAATAGATCCACATCGTAGAGCTGGTTCTTCTGGGCGGGCGTGAGCGGGTTGAGCAGTGGACTGGACTCGTGCCACTCGTAGACGCACTTCTCCGAGTTTTTGGCATTGTGGTAGTGGACGCAGAGCTGTGTGTGCAGTCGTGAAGGATTCGTTTGGGCAGCAAGGTAGCTGGACTGCAGGCGATTGGCCATGTCGGAGCTCTGGCAGTGGACACTGGCCTTGTAGATGCGCCGCAGCAGACAGTGCATATCATGGATGGCAATGAGCGGCCGTATCTGCTGCAGGGGCTCCATGAGGGGCAGCAGTAGGGACATTTGTTCGGGACACGCTACTCTCTCGATCACGAGCGCCAATTGGCGCACCAGCTTGACTATCTCCGCAGCGGTGGGGCCCAGGCATTTCGTGTTCTTGGCCACGTCCATGGTGTAGACCAAAATATTCAAGAAAGGCTTGTGATGTGTCTGCAAGGAAATCTCATTAGGCAAAAGGTTTTCCAGCGGAGACTGGCGGAGACTTACTCTGTCCGTCATCTTTTCCGTCGTATGCTGCCAGTTATTGAAGGCTTCCAGGGCGCACATGCCGAAGGAGAGAAGGCAATGCCTGCGGATGCTTTTGCAGGCATCGCTGGTGCAGCTGGTCCCCAGCGGACTCCTCACCACGTTCACCGCCGCCACAAGGCAGCCGTACAGCAGCTGAAAGTGAGCGGTGTATGCCTTGGGACTGTCGTCGCCCTCGAGCTGCTGCCAAAAAATGTCGAAGGGAGGCGCCTTGCTGCTGCTCTGAAGGAGCAGCGTCTGCACGCGCTGGAGGAACACCAGTAGGTCCATAAACCACTGCTCCTTGGCGTGCGTCGCGCCCTTGTGCTCGAAGAAGGCGACGAACTTCTTGCACAGATCGATGTAGGTGAGCTTGAAGGTTGGCGTTGCCTCGCGCCCATACAACAGCTTGACGTAATAGTAAAGCAGCTGGATGGCGTAGTTCTGCGGCGAGATGTTCCTGTACAGGTCGCGACAAATGCGCAGCAGCTGCAGTGCCAGTTGTTGCTGGAGCGGCGCCTCTATGGAAAATATGTCGATGTGCATAAGTGCCAAAACGAGGCCCAAATACTCTGAGAATTGATTGCTCAGCTCGAAGCTGGGTATGCCCCAGTTGCAGCTGAGTAGCTTGAGAAGCGGGTCGTACATTTTCACCGTACATTCGGACGGCAGGGCGCTCAGGGACTTCAGAAAGCCTCTGCTTCGCTTCATGAACAGGGCCTCATTCAGCTGGACCAGGAGAGCCGCATTCTTTGCCACTTTCCGCTGGCGCATGGTGTCGAAGAGGACACCCATTGCCTCCAAGGCGTCATACAGTTGATCTGTGGCGGCGATGGGCAACGTCTGTTTCTGCATTTGCAGGTGAATGCCATTGAAGTGCGTCAGATGGATGTCCAAATAAAACTTGTAGTCTCCCTCCTCCTGCAGGCGACAGCGCTGCGATCGGATGAGGCCGTACATTTTCTGGCATTCTTTCAGGGTTTTCTGCGAAACACTCGTACAATTAGGAGACCAGTTTGAAGCATTTGGTTCTTCCACTCACCTCCTGACAAAGTCCATGGTGTATGTAGCGCAGGCTCGTTAGATGAGCTTCCCACAGGCTCGGCTTCTCCTCGCAGGGCTCCATGTGTGGCAGCATGGTGGCCACAATGTCGCAGTAGAGATCGGCATGCTGGTGCAGATTGTCCTTTAGGGCCAAACACAGCTGGCGCAGCACGCTCAACTCGAATCTGATGGGATAGGCGTCGTTTGTCCCGATGCCCTTGCTGAATTCCCTGAATTTCCACTCAATTGTCGTGGCGGCAGCTTTAACATCGGATCGAGTCCCTTTCAACTGATTCACTATATCGGCAGACATTTTGTCATTCGTGCGGAATTGTTACATTAAAATCAAATTTGCTGATTTTTTCTGTTTCCGACAAGCGTCGGCGTTTGAGTGTGTTTGCGCCAGCGATCAGAGTTGCCGATCTTCCGAAAACAGAGATGCCTCACGATCCGAGTACGGTCACACTGCTGCCATTGAGATGCGATGTATTCCCGCGCAACAATCGATATGACAGTAAATTAAACCAAATAACAATCGAAATGCGAATTAAAATTCTTTAGTTTATGTATTTCAATTTCAATGGGGTCGTGGCGGAGGGGATGGTACAAAACACATTTGAGAAATGTATGTACATTTCGAATGGATTATGGCTAAATAAATGTGGGCCCTTCGTTAATTGTAGTTGTTGCATACTCGTACATGTTTATTAAAAGAAAATTCCGTCCTAAAACAGATGCACTTAGTTTTACGTGCCTCATTCAATGAAAAATTATGCTTTGCTTAACAGTACGTGTGGCGGGGGTGTATAGAGAGATATATAATTATGGATACATATAGGGGGTAAGGTAAGAGATGGATAACAATGAAAGTGCTCTAAAATATGGGTCGGACTTTTGTTCGTTCCACCCGCGAACATATCCACATTCAAAGAAGGAATGACTTAAGAGTTAGTTAAAAGTTCTTAGCAGTAATTGTGTAGACTGCAAAACATTAAAAAGCATTAAAAACATTTCGAAAATAAAAACTCGCCACAATTGTTTTTGATGAAATATTGAAAATTGTGATTTTGCTTTGTTTTGTGTTGTTTGTTGAAACGCTAGATGGGAGAGGATCGACTCGATCCGACCAATTGTACATAGTTCATCATAGTTATACATTTTGCAACTTAATGCTAAGCAATTTTACAACTTTTTCAAGCAATTTTCCATATTGACGAATTTCATTTAATTGAAGCTGGAACCTGTCTTCGGATGAAGCTATAGTAATGTAATGTGTGTGTGTGTGTGTGGGTGTGTGTTGATTTGTTTTGTGTTCTTCTCCGCACTTCTTAGTGTTCGCTTAAACTAATTTCTTAATTTGTTTTTTTGATTAGTACGATCTCCATTTTATTTATCTTCTGTCTGTTGTGTCGGTTTTCGATCTTGTTAGCTTACATTTTAAAGAAACAAATGTGGGTTCCTAATGGTTTTTAGTCATCTTTTTTCTATCAAAACATATGATGTGTGTTGCTGTGTGTATATGTCAGTGTCGGTGTATATATTTAAATTTAAAACGTACAAAGACGCTACAGCGGTAGATCAAGCGCTTAGCCATCGTGCTTTCTCTTCTTGCCCCTGGCTTGCGACTCATCTGTAAAATGTAGATAGAATTCATGAATTTAGAACCAGTTTGCAGCCAAAGGCTTTGCAGCATTTTACTAACCTGTCTCTTTCTCTGTCTTCTCGGACTCCTTCTTGGAGGCATTCAGTGAGGCGCTCGATTCATTTGCCTCACCATCGGCATCATCAATGTCAGAGTCCTCCTCATCGTCGTCGGCTCCACCCTCGCCCTCCTCCCAGTCGGAGTTGTCCTCCTCCAAATCATCATTGTACACCTCCGACAGAGAGACCTCGCCATTGTCCCCATCCTCATCACTGTCATCGCTGTCGCCATCCTCTTCGTCATCATCGCCGGAAACTGCAATGCAATAAACAATACAAGGAGAATTGTAATTGAAAATAAATAAAGGTAGGCAATGCTTACAATATGTTGCATTGGCCAGATTTAAAATTGCTAAAAACCAATAGAGTAGGATTGCGAAATTTATGTTTGGGTTTCTATTTGGTTGTTCGATTGCTGCAGGGTCTGCCTCTATCACAGATTGTTGGTCTGTTGCGGCTTTCGATTCTCTCAGCTGCAATTCTTTTAAATATTCGTCTAAGTCGTCTACGTCTGTGTCCTCTAAGGGCGCAGGTGGTTTTTCCTGCAAACTCTTTTTTGCCTTTACGCGCTGCTCCAGCTCCTCGAGCTCGTCTAAATCGATTTCTAACCCATTCAAACAGAAGGCATTGCGCTTATCTGAAAGGCGACAGAAGCTGAGGTTGAGATGCGTTTTTTGAGGACAGATGGAACAACCGATTTAGAGACTAAGCACCATTTTTAACATAGTAATTTAGCGATCACAGACTGAAGCCGGACAATGACAATAATATATGACAGCAGATCTTGATATTAGATCCGTTATCTCCCCACAACCCTATGTACATAACAATATACACACCTTCTTCTTCGGAATCATTGCCGTTGACCTCTTCATCGTCGTCTCCCTCCGACTGCGCCTCCTCGTCATTACAATCGAAGCTGCAATAAGGTATGGAATTTGGTTAGTTAATTATCTCTGCAAGTGGGAGACGAGACGGACGGCTCCTAGACTTACCCATCCAAAAAGTTCAACGATGGCAACATCTTGAATATCTTCTCACGATAGTTATCCACTTGAGTGGCATCGTTATTAAACAGATCCAGTACCACTAGACTTTTGAACTCCTGCAAGGGCTTCAGTGTTTCCAGGTCCTTTATTTTGTTCCCAGACAAATTCAGATACTGAAGTTTGGGGCTGGTGGTCAGATAGTTGAGGCCGCTCGAAATCCTATTATCGGATAGCTCCAGCTTCTTCAGACTGGGCAATTTGGGGAAACCTTTCAGTGTGGTGAGTCCCACGTTGATCAAACTGAGTGATTCTAAGGCGGTGTACTCATCTGTAAAGCCAACAATGCTTGTGCTACGGCAGTTATCCAGGTTCAGCTCTGTGATCTGGTCCCGGGAAAAAAGGTAAAAATAACGGTTAGAAGAAACCAATTTCATATTGTGCTATCGATAGTGCGATACATATAGATTACACGACTATTTAAGCTCCTGAATCACACATTAATTAACGCAAGAAGCAAAATAAAACATGAAAATATTTTTACAAAACTAGTTTGCCGTTCAATTTCTCAGCAGAAACATCCATAAATTTGCATTTTCATCGATGTATCTATTCGAATAAATTACAATCCTAGTATCGATAGAAAGTACACCGATTGTCTACCAGCGGCAACTCTACATTTCAGTAGCGCCACCATGTCTGTGTGAACGTGTGCAGAGCAAACGCAGGAAAAAAAAAATGAAGAACAATACATACGCAAAAATCGATCAAACGCAGAGAATTTTTTTTAAATGCAAATTTTCCGTCACCTGCTTAATGCACAAATTTGCTGTACTACCAAAAGATTTGGTAAACATTTGGGATTGCTGCGAGAAACAATTTGCAACAAATTGCGCATCAGGGCGACAACCCGAAGAGGAAGAAAAGTGGCAGCGCGTTTATGTAACACATCTTGCATGCGTGTGTGTGTGTGTGTGTGTGTCTGCGCGAGTGTGTGAGTGCGAGCGTACACGCCGCAAAACAGAATGCGCAAAGAGCAAACAAAATGCCGATATCATGACAAACAAACGGATTTGAATGTAGGGGAGGCTGGGGGGAACGAGAAAGCAACAGCGGCCACAACATGTTTGACAGTGACGTAGTATGTAGTTGTTGCGCCTCGCAAGAGGCTGGGATGGCGTTTAGATTTTTGTGCCTTATGGCTCTGACTGATAAGCAGAACGTACTGCATTTTCGTACGTGAGAGAATAGTAGCTGCGGTTGAGCCTCTCAATCGAGATTACACAATTATCGCTTGCAGCAACCTATCTCTTCTTCTGTCCGTCTCTTTCTTTCTGTTGGGGAAACAGTTATGTAGCTAAATGACATCTCCACTTCCCTCGCTAGAAGCCACGCTTTTGCTTCAGATTGGTATATGTGCGTGTGTGTATGCGTTGTTGTGGCTGCTATTTTTTTCATAATGTATGTATGTATGTAGTGGTAGCCACTGGGCTGCAGTCGTTGGGTGGTGTGGGAGGTCTGTCCACTGATTCGAGTAGGCTTGCCAGAGCGCATGTTTATTAATTTGCAGCAAAAATTCAAACGGACAGACCAGACTTTGTCTTTCTTGTGATGCAGGCCGAAGCGAGAGAAAGCCATGCGGCATGCAGGTGTAAACATGGAATAGAGAGCGCCGATAGCCGGATTGGACTTGTAAAGTGGACAAGAGAAGGTGGTGGCGGCGTCGAGCATAAAAGTATTATGACTGCGCAGTCAATATGTGTATGCCCTCTCCATGCCATCCATCCAATTCTAGAATGTGTCGATTATTTTGTGCATACGTTTCTTGGCGTGTGCATGTACTTATGTATGTGTGTCCTTTGTGCGTATTTGGACATGTGTGTGTGTGTTTGGTTGGTTCTTGCGTATGGATGATGCGCGCTATAATGTTGTTATAGATACATTTTGGTATCAAATAACCTGAAATTACAACATGCACCACACGTACGCACACATACACTCTCTTGTTGAAGTGTTTGTCACAATTGAAGGCCGGCAGAACAATAGCAACAACACGAAAAGCCAGAGCCAGAGAACAACAACAACAAGCAGCATTGCCAGCTGTCTAGACTACCGAACTTCAGGTGCACACACACGATCGGCGGCACCGATTTGCATACATACACAGATGCACATAGAGTAGATGTAGACACACACATGCACACATGCTTTCTAGGTTTTCCTATTACACGGAATAATTGGTAATTGTAAAGGAAAGGTGCAGTTTTGAACGAAAGCCAAGGCGCAAAATTGCGCGCACATGGCAACACTGTCCGGCATCACATACATAAGTACCTACATACGTACGTACGTACACACACGACAATCTCATCTCATGTGTGTAGAATTTGCTTATGGCGATCAATTTTTTCGTTCGCCTGCTCGTTGTTGACGATGGATGCCGCTTCTGCTGCTGCTTCTTCTTCCAGCAATCTTTTTTATATGGCGTCGAGTCGGGCGACATCGACACAAATTGAAACTAGATTTACATGATGGCGTAGTTAATGTAACTGCCCCGCTGCCATACACACATACACTTAGGACAAACACAATCACAGAGACGGACACGGAAAAGGGAATTTCAATGAAAATTTGTGTAATGCAAAGGATTTTTGCGCGGTTTTCGCCTACAAGCATAACTAAACTCACCTGGTTCGCCTTCCGTCCACGCCGCTCCAGCTCTATTCTCTTCTCCATTGCAGAGTGCGGCTTGGCTATTGGCTTCACGCCGCTTTACGCTGCAGTTGTTTATTATTTTTTGGTAGAAGCGTACGCTTTTCGCTTTTCCTCGCGCTCGTGTCACTCCAACCAAGCTCTCAGAAATGCCAAAGGATACACTAATACTCGCACAGTGTGTGTCCCTACTAGAGCGCACGCACCAGGGGCAAAGACTCGACTCGGTCCTCGACGTCACACAAACACACACACACCTTGCAAATTTTTCTTTTTTGTGCTTCTTCGGTATTTTTGATGCCGCCACCGCTGCCGCGCGAGACTCTGAGTATGTGGTGGTGTTGGTGTTTGGTGGTGCTTGGGCCTAGCGCAGGGGAAAATGTGTTGAATAAAATTAGTTACTAACTTGTGACTGTTATTAGATGCCAAACTACACCGAATTCGACTACATTCTAACGCATTTCACTCGAATTCAGAACATGACGCGCTTTTTGAAACTGCGTTTTTTCACAAATGCGGAGCGATATTTAATTGAAAACTCCTTTTCCGGCTAAATACGCTGAACTGGACAGGACACTAACTCACCTCGTCTTGCAGAATAATAGTAGTTGGAATAAATTTTTAATTATATTTTCAACCAACAAAACCAAGAAGCTAGAGGTGTCAAACCATCAAGGGCACTATCGATAGTATCGATGTTTTGCTGCTAGCCTCTACTATCGATGGTTTTGAGACTATCATGATAGTATCGTGCTAGAGTTGGTGGTGGGGCAAGGCCGGCTAGCCAGTCATCCCAGGGCTGGATACTTCCCAAGCACAACAAACCAAACAAATCGATCATCTCGGACAACATCTGAAACAGCTACAACAAAAACGGAAACTAACGTAACGACACATCAAAAATAAACCATACAGACGCTACTCGACAAATGACCTCCTACCTACTACGTGGACCAGGTTGAGGTGTTGGTCTTATACCTCCGACGTACCCACCCTACCAGAGATCCGGATCAGACTATCTCGGGTCACCCTGCCACTTCATCTTTTCTTATATTTTCACCTTAAATCCAGTTTTACACACATTTTTTTTATTTTCTAATATCTCCTATCTTGTTTCAGGTTGACCTCCTAACCCCCCATCCTAAGCTCTTCCTCTCGGCGACATAAATTATGGGTATGGGCGTATTATGTTAAATATGAGTAAATAATAGACCTGTCTTCACCACGGAAAAGAGAGAAAATTTTGAAAAACCACCACGAATTGAGAGCGAAAAATGTCAGTATTTTTTGTGCGCTAAATGGATTTGGCGGTCATTTTCAAAAGTATATCAATAAATGGAAAAATTCACTTGATTTGTTTTGTCGAGTGCGACTGGAACCTCAGAAACGTCATTTTCATAATATACCGTAAATATACTAAAGAAAAGAAGGACTTAGCCAACTTAACACTCCACTATTTAAACCGTGAAAACCCTTCAATTATACTGGTTGTATATTCTTGACTAATTTCATATCACAAAATATCACGGTATGGCAGCCCGCAGCAACTACGAATTGCACGAGTCTGGCAACGCCACAAAACGACGACAAATTCGTTTTATGCTGTTTTTGTTTGAACCTTAATATGTAAATAATCTAAAAAAAGGACTTCTGAAAACTTGCCAATCTCTTAAAAAATTTATGTATCTATCGGATAAAATTATTTGTTTAGGGCTGAGAGTCCCAGCTAGCTGGTAATATTAAACGGAATATCAATATCGAGGAATATCAACGTCGAATGTATTGAAAAAACAATCGATACTATCGTGATAGTATCGGGCTGAAATAATTATTAATTATTCTTCAGTGATGACACCTGGTTCAATTTTAACCACACATTTTTCTTCAGTGATGACACCTGGTTCAATTTTAACCACACATTTTTCTTCAGTGATGACACCTGGTTCAATTTTAACCACACATTATGTGGAGGACTCTGGAGACTCTGGAGACAGATCTGAAGAGGCCGGAGGAGGAAGGAGCTTGTCCTTCGATTGACACCTCTAGTATCAAATGTTTCGAAATTCTCTAAAAACCGTCAGGTATGCAACAAGTGCATGTGGAGAGGCCCTTCGTCTCGCCAGCAGCGATGCAGCAGCAGAGCTGGTGCTGGTCAAGGAGGCGAATGGGGTGCGAGAGATAACACTGAATCATCCGCGCACCTTGAACTCGCTCTCGATGGACATGATGAGCGCCCTACAGAACGCACTGTCAAAGGACAAGGATGATGTGAAACTGCGCTGTGTCGTGCTCTCGGCCAATGGCAAAATCTGGTCAGCCGGCCACAACCTCAAGGAGCTGCACGGAAACCCGGAGATACAGAAATGTGTCTTCCAGAAGCTCTCCGACATCATTCGCGACATACAGCAGCTCCCCGTTCCGGTTATAGGCAAGGTGAATGGATATGCGGCTGCTGCTGGCTGTCAGCTTGTGGTTTCGTGCGACATTGTGGTCTGCTCCAAAACCAGCAAGTTCTCCACGCCGGGGTAAGCCACAAATTCAATATTCTATTTAACATGTAATCTAATCCGTGCACTCTTGCAGCGCTGGCGTAGGCGTCTTCTGCTCGACTCCCGGTGTGGCCATTGCCCGTGTGATGTCGCGTCCCAAGTCGGCGTACATGCTGATGACCGGCCTGCCCATCACTGGAGAAGAGGCATACATTTCTGGCATGGTTTCCAGGGCGGTACCTGCGGAAGATCTTGACCGTGAGATCGATGAGATAACTAGTGCCATCAATGCAAAGAGTCGGGCCGTCATTAGCCTCGGCAAGGAATTCTACTACAAGCAGCTGGCCATGCCCCTGAAAGAGGCCTATCCGGCTGCGGGCCACAAAATGGAAGAGAACCTGCAATTGGGCGATTGCCAAGAGGGCATCGCTAGCTTCATAGAGAAGCGTGCACCCCACTGGAAGCATGAGTGATAAATATATATTCTAAGAGGACTCTCGTATCCAAATGACCAATTGTGCATTTATGTAGTTTTTAATGTACACATCAAATATGTTGTTGAACCACTTGTTATGCAGAGCACTGAATCTGTTACAGAGAGATTAAGTTACTTTATATTATAGTTGAAGTTCTTTCCCTTAAATCCCCACAAAAGAAGCTCCTTCACAATGAAATAAAACGAGTTCTCGTGCTTTCAAAGTGCTCATTCCTTCATTTTTTTTGGTGTTTTGTTTATTTAGATGTTTGGTGAAAATATTTAATATTACAATTACAAAATTGCAAGAGTGCGTGTGCATTCGGTGTACAAAAAAAAAATGTGGCAGTTGTTTAGGTGTCTGTTTGGGATCCAATCATTTCAAATTGCTAAGCTTGAATATAATTTTGAAAGTATCCGGTTCTATTTCTGAGTCTTTGAGTCTTTTAACGTTTTCATTGATAGGGATCTGAACAGGATCAAGACGAAGAAAATTCCTGGGGGCTGACTAAAAGTGTAATGTGTAACGAAACCAAAATATTAAAGTGAATGTAACAATCGATGTGCATTTGTAATTGTTGCTGAGCAGCTGTCGCTGTAGTTATTTAAATATTTTTTTTTTTCAATTGGCCTTGAGCTCTTCGCGGTTAGATAGAATACAATAGAATAGAATAGGTCTAAAAGATAAGTTCACGATATAGATTTTAGAAATAGTCTTAGAGTAGGCGTTTGTATGGATGCGTATGTACTAGATATAGGTATGCAAAAATATTATAGACTGTGCAATAAGTATTATCATTTTCATTATGGTTAAGCGAACGAAAGTCGATCCGTGGTCGGATCCAAATAGTTATAGATATAGCGTCATGCAAAGAGAATTATAACAGAAAAAATTAAGCAATCACGAATTATCCGTAGTGCCATGTGCTAAAAGAAATACGGCTCAACGAATCAATAGTCTCGTCTCGAACGTAACCCCGTGTGAAGTACCGCCTGCTCCGCGGATCCCATCCGATCCTAAGCCAAAAGGAACAAAATCTGTGCAAATGTGTGCAAAAATGTGTGCGTGTGTTTGTGAGAGTGTGTGTTTCTGGTGTGTTGTTTGTGCAATGTTTTTCCTTCCTCCGAACTTCGTTGGGCCCGCTTAGACCTCGGTGACGGGACGCTTCTCAATCCATGCCTTGATCGGCTCCAGGGCATTGATGGCCTCGACCACGCCACGCAGAGCCGGGTATGGCTCCAGCAGATCGCGCTTCACCATGTAGTTCATGTAGTCGGTGATGCCGGCAAAGTAGACATCGGCCCAGGTCAACTAAAGAATGGACATGACATCAAATGGGTTACATGCAGACATGCAGTTCGAACATGTACGAACCTTGGCCAAGGCCAAGTGGCCGTCGTTGTCCTTGACGGTCTGCTCCAACTTCTCCAGATAGAATGGAATGACCTCGGCATTCAGGGTGACCAACTTCTTCTCCTTGATCTCGTCCTCCGGCTCGTACGAGACGACTGCAATTTCTATACATTAAAAATTCAAGAGTTAATCAAGGACACTGAACATGAAACTGGGGCACACATTGCTCGCTACTTAGACGGAAGTCGTTGATGGTGTCAACAACAATGTCGATCTGCAGATCCTCCCACGGAGTGGCACCGCACAGGCCAACGGTCTTGGCGAGGAAGCGGGCCATCGAGATGCTCTGGTGCACACGCTTTCCGTCCACCTCCAGCACGGGCATCTGGCCCATGGGCATGGCTGCGGAAAGCAGAATGGAATTGTTTCGATTAAGGATCTCAACTCCACTACGCTCAACTTCCAAACCCAAATACTTACTCGGCTTCAGGGCTGGCCACTCGTCGCGGGTGACGCGCACATCCTCGTACTCCATGGCGCCATAGGCGAACAGATAGCGGAGTGGTTCGGCCAGAGCCTTCACGTTGAAGTAGAACAGGGTATAGCTGTGCTTGATGGGCTCAGCGGGCTCGGCGGGTACGACCTCGCCTTCGGCCGGTGGTGCGGCCTCGCCCTCGGCTGGTGGTGGTGCCTCGCCCTCGGCTGGTGGTGCGCCCTCGGCTGGTGGTGCGCCCTCAGCAGGTGGTGCTTGTGCTTCGTCGGCCATTTCTGCGCTAACTCAATGCAATTCCCTGGAACAACAAATGATATATTTATGATCCAGCCTTGAGTTTCACTATGTTGTGAAATATTTTGTAATTGAAATTTCTACTATCTTTAAATTTGTTTTCCACACAAATTCGGTTTATGCTTGCGAAGATTCCAAATCGTTAGATAAGGAATATGTACTACCCGATAAATGTTTGTGCTGCTGCTGACTTTGAAGTGGGTCAGAAATGCGTGAGTGATAAGGCAAGTATACTCTGATCGTATAGTTATACGATTGTGTTTGGAGAGATAAAGAATGAGACTAGAAGATTCTGCCACTCCACCTGGGGGCTCTTTTATAAATTAAATTCTTATGGTCTGCCTTGAGGAACGTAAGTAAGCTGGGTACTTGCCTCCTCTATATATGGCCATATATATATCTCAAGACCACTGCAATAAATCATGAAAGTTCGCTCATGGCAACAGTTGACAGAAAATGTAATTACCATAATACGGCATTAAGTGTACGAGTATAGACAGATATGTGTATCAAGTATTTCCCTATAGACGCGAGCGGAAATGCATTGATTGTCCCATGGCAGACATGGCAGGCACCAACACACCCACGCACATCAAAGAGACTGGCACCCCAACCCGATGCGCCACGGATTGCTGAGGCAAGCTCAAAATCTTTTGGGGCGTTGGCGCTGATGGAAGAACGCTGCTGGCTTCGGAAGAGGAAGACGCCTCGCCTCGCCCCGCCCCCTTTACCCATTGTAGTCGACAGTTTTTGTTGTTGTTGTTGTTCATGTGTCGGATAAATAAAATAAAAATAATCAAACGTGGGCAGTCTTGAGGATGGGATGGATGGCATGAGGGTTCCTCCTGTGGATGCCATGTGGAACGTAAACCAGTTTTCGATTGATTCGCTTTAAAGTCCCCCGAAAAGTACCAGATCTCGATCTCTGCCTTTGCCATGCTTCGTTGGCAAATTTTGGCCGAGCGCCCAGTCAGTCACCAAGTTTCCTGCCCCCCTACCTACCTCACAGTAATGCCTGATTGGCCGCCCTCTTCCGCTGCAATTTTCGATTTTCTGTGTGTCTCAAATTGCAGCAATCGATTTGACTTTTCGGCGTTATCTGTGTCCGTCCCGCTCTCGTTCGATCTGTCTGTGCATGTCTTGCTGGCTCTTTCACACTTGTTGCCATGGCGGCTCTAATTGAATTTAATTTGGTCACCGTCCATCAGGGGGGGAGGAGAAAGCAGATGAAAGTGTTTCGGTGTCATGATTTAATTAAATTTCGATTTTCTAATCTATTTTGGCTCTTTTATCTGTCACTTTGGCAACAAAATCGAATTTGTTCGTGGGAAAAGGTCACAAAATGAAGAGAGTCGACAAGAAAATGCTTCAGGTATTATCCAATCCATGGGAATCTCTATCGGAACTTAATGGGTCAAGGACCTGAAAACCTGAGCGATATTCAATAGCAATCAAATTCACATGCGGACTGAAATTCGGCTGTCCAGATGGACAATTTAGAGATTAGAGAGCACCTTATCACTGGCATTTACAAGTTTGGGACCTCAAAACGTATATATAGACTCGATTGGCGATAACGGATGGCAGTCACATTCAATTATCTGTTTAAGTATTACGGAAATATTGTTATTCTTTAGAGTTGTTTTTTTTTTTGTTCGGAAAGGTATCAATTGGCGTTATATAAGGGAGTGCACTCTGATAAGCCAGATGTTGATTGAATGAATCTAGTGGGGAATAGTGTATGGGATCTGGGGTTCACTGTGGTTCAGATTGTTCCGATTCGAGTACCTCACGCTTCGAAATTCGTTCACGCACTCCACAGTCGACGATGGACAACACTCGATCGGTCGTTTCGATTCGATTCGATTCTATAATATTCTTTATTATGCAGTTCGAAGAGGGTTCTGGCTCTAGTCGATCTGTCGGTCCACACACGTCGTTGTCCTTCACATATTTGCTTGCGAATGATTCGAGTCGAGTGGCCGGCGAGGACTGTGAGGGTGCGAAACGAGTTCAAAACTGATTCGACTTCGAATCGATTGACCCACAAATCAATCAATCGGAGCCAAAAAGAATATACGCGATGGCATATCCTATATTTAGAACCGATTCAACACGAACACGTTTCGGCTTTCCGATTTCCGATTCGGCGGAGTTCGAAAAATGTTTTCCAATTTTTGGCAAGGGTAAACCTTTTTTCGATTGTGCGTAAATTACATCACTTGGCGCATTCGGCGGAGTGCCCGAAAACTGACCCCACACTGACTGCCCACCACACTCCTTCCACTCTTTGGAATCCTTACCTCAAGTTGCAGTCTAAAACTTCAGGCACTGGTCTCCTCTCCCGTTCTGGGGCTGGCTGGCTGGCTGGCTCAGTGAAAATTTCGGCTAGGGTTGCTCTCTCGCTCTCGCTCTCACACGCTCGCTATCTCCCTCTCTCACTGGGATGCCAAGACACTGAACCGATCGATCAACTGCAACGATTGCACGCAACTGAGGGCCAGTGGGTGGCAGCGCTGCTTTTATACACACGCCTCTCTGCGTCGCTTTGGCGCTCTCTCGCCCAACTGGCGTCCGCTCATTATTTTGCCAGCTTTGCGCTCTCTTCCATTGTTCCAGCTTTGCGATCCGATTTTCTTGTCGCCCGTTTTGGCGCTGTGTGGAGAGAGGCTTACTGGCAGGTGTGCGTGTGTGTGTAAGCCGGCCGGTTCAAAATGAGAGAGAGATAGACATAGAGAGCGTGAGTGGCGTTCTTGTAGGTAAAAGTGAGTGAGGTTAGGGCGTGGACGAGAGAAAGATCGAGGGAGAGCAGAACATCTCTTCCGCGTGAAACTTTGCGTGGGCGTTGAAATGAAATGTTTTTGCGGAATTAGTTAACATATTAACTAGCTGTTCAGTTTAGCATTATTTCTACCGTTCTATTATTTGACTAGATGCTGCAGCTGGGAAGGCAGACAGCTCCCAAAGTTCACTTCGGTTGTTCTCTCTCCAGTCGTTCGCTCTTCTGTTCTGGATTTCAGTTCAAAAGAGACTTTTGAAAGCTGGGATCTGTGGACAATCTTTGTTGGCCTTCAATTATGAACCAATTATGAATAGTAGCCGAAAAAATGGAGACAAATATTTATATGGGCTTTTAGTGGATGAAATTTGCTTAGGTTACGGTTTGGACAATAGTTTAAACAGCGAAAACAAAACAAGAAACGCATTAACAACAGCTTTTGCGAAATAATAAAGTACAAATGAAATTCCCCATCTTTCCTCAGACATACATAGTTTTGGGCCATTTCTCTTTGCTCTCTCTCTCCCGCTTTTGGTGTGTGAATTGCTTTACCCCTGGGGTTCTATTATGAACCAATTATGAATATTAGCTAAAAATAGTTACCGTATCCATATTAAATATTAGACTAAAATTTATTGCTTTAGGCAGTCTCCAAAGTTCTCTTAGCCAGCTGCCTTCCAGTATCTCTCTTTCGCTTGAGCTTCTTCATATGCAGGGATTTTGGACAATAAAAACTCTTTAATTAGAAAAGGAAATATAAAAATTATCCGAAAATAGTTAGCATTCATACATATATTAATATATATACATATGTACATATATATATTGATTGATTTAGAGTTTTAAACAGTTTAATTTGTCTTATTTTACTGCTTACTGCTTTATTGTTGCACAAGGAAGTTCAACAGGATGTCCACACAGACACACACACATGCGATGATCCCTTATCTATCCTTCGCTAGTATTCTTGCTGAATTTTCCAATGTAGTAGGCAAAGCTGTACCAGCATTCTGCTAATATAAACATTTAATGAGAAATCAAAGCAATCTGATGCATCAGGAAATTCGAAACGCCAGCGTGGGGTGCTGGTTACTAGTTGCTACGGATGCCACAGCCACGGATTGTCGCGAATCGAGTGTTGGCTTGCCGACGATGGCGACCGTTAGGCGGGGAAATTCGAGTGGCTGCCAGGCGGCTGATGATGATGTGGGAGGCTTCTGGATCGATTTTTGTCAGCCAATCTGTTCTGTGTGTAACTGTGGGAGGAAGAAACTGTTTGGGGGGCACTGTAAATGACTCAAAGTTGAAAACTAAATATATATATATATAGCTGGGGATGTTGGAATCCTTGTCCAAGGATCAAGGATAATTTTCTGATCACGGGAATTCATGGCACTCCCAGATCGGCCCACAAAGAACAGAGAAAACAATAAAAAAAATTGGCATTTTTGTAATTTATTATTTTTGTCATTTTTGTTAGTTTGTCTATTGTTTTATGACAACATGTGTGAGACCAAATTGGCCCTCAATTAGCACAGAAGTGGCGCTCATATTTGAACTTCGACCAGTATAAATACAAAAGCGCCATCTAGTAGGCGGCAGCGGAAGTACACTCTGTCAAAAGCTGATGTGTATGAAAATATAATGTTAGGTAGAATGTAATGTAATAAGTAATGTAAAATCATTTTGCCATTTAGCTGAATTTGTGAGAAATAATAATAAATCTTTCTTTGTTGATAAAATAATTTAATAATAAATTCTAGTTTTGTTTTATGCAAACAAATTTAATAGTTATTATTATTTATTTATATTATTTATTTAGTTAATAATTTATCGCATTTAATTTTGATTTCTTTAAAAAATCTCCTATAAAACCAACCCAAACAAAAAAGGGCTTGTGCCATGACCTTAGCTGCTGGACAACCTGCTAATAACCCAATAGGTGTGTATTGGTTCTCGCAAAAACATTTTATTGTGTGCAATCGCTTGGGACTCCCCCAAGAAAGGGAGTGGCGGGGCGGACTGACTTTTATTCGGGCACATTTCGTTGAAGTACATCAGCATACGTTCGAAAATGTGCGAAGATAAGCAGAAAAGAGCAGAGGCTGAAAACTGAACTGAACCAAAGACCAAAAACAAAAAAAACCCCCCAGAAGGCAAAGCCAGAGCTCACATCGAGCCAAACTCCATGACAAATGGGCAATTTGTGGCCTTTAGTGCGACTGCCTGTGTTTTCTGCGCCGATTGGAGAGCCTGAGAACTGGAAACCTGTACCGATAAGATATGACAATCAATTCCGATAAGGCAGAAATTTCAAAAACGTTGCAAGAGCTGCACAGTCGAGTATGAAATTAAAACAAAAGTTTGCGAAACTCAACATATGTTCTCTTCGATTGTAAAATATTTGGTATACTATAAGCGTATTTAACAACATCCTGAATACATTTCCGGGTCCATAAAGATAGGAGAAAGATATTCCTGTCTGATTCTATGCCTTCTATTTCCTCAGCTGTACGCTTTATTTCACGGTTTGATCACACTTCCTTCGTTGTTGCATGCAGATGCACTATGGGGATCTACATTTGTGCAAAACCCTGCTCTTCAGTCCGCTGACTGTGAAGATTTGCTTGGCCTAGACTAATTTGGAATTTATGCCGCCCGCCGCCTGACATTGCACAAATGCAGCGACAATAAAAGCGTGCTGCAGAGTGGTCAGGGCAGTGCAGGGGGAGAGCCAGGCAGTAGAATAAGCTCACATTTTATCACAATAATTTGCTGTAGAAAATGCGACACAGAACGAACGGAACGGAAAGCCCGCTAATCCCCGCGAGTGGGATAGAGAGAGAGGGAGAGGGAGAGAGAGAGAACAGAGTCTGGGCTGCAATCGCAATCTAAATAATAAAAACCGAGCCATAAAAAGAATTATAACTAACTCGCAAAAGCAAACAGTTAAAACACAGACAGAGAAAGAGAGAGCGAAACAGTACCAGCTGCCGGAGAGAGCACTCGACTATGATCAAAAGAGAACCAATTCCGCCGCTCGCACACTCTGCTCTGCTCTGCTGCACTGCGAATGTCGGCGTCGCGGCCTCTCCACAGTGCGAATTCAAATGCACAGGTGAGCGAACGTTACCCTGTCTGTCGTCTGTCGCTTGTCGCTTGTCTTTTTTCTTTGCGTTTACCGTTCATCGTTTCATCGTTTTTCGCTGCGTCAGAGATCGTCGCCGTTTCTGTCTCTGTCTGGCGACCGTGTCAAGAACTGTTGGCAGCCGAGCGTGTCAGAGCAGCGCCATTGTAAATATTGCGTATACGCAGCGTATGTTACGCCGAACCCGTGACCTTAAACTAACAAAAAGTATCAGATAACTCCCATATACAGCACCTATAAGTACGCGATAAACCGACCAAAACCGCTTAGACCCCCCGCGCCTCATCATGTAAGTGTCAAAAGAGTGAATACGCAAGTACGGATTTCAGACTCGAATAACGCTATCGTAATATTGCTGTCTCCCCAAATATGGGAGCCCTGCACGCGCACACAGAAACTGTCTCATTAACACGTGCCCACAAATTATGAAATGTGCAAAATATGAAAATCAAACTGGTATACAAATTATGAGTCGATGAGCTCCCTCCCCCCCATGAGCTCTGTGATGTTTTTGTTACCCCTTTTTATTTGCCATATTTCTACAACATTTTGTACGTACTCGTATACCATTTGAAAAGCGTTTATTTGTGTTTCTTGTTTGATATTACCGCTGATTCTACCGTGCCATTCCGTGTCAGCAGCGAGTTTTCCCCGCACTTTTGCCAGCTATTTAGCTATTATCGTGTTTGCTTTTTGTTCATTATTTGTATCATTGTTATCGGCTAACTAAACAGCAGTGAGATCGCACCTGCACCCGCACCCGAACCCAAAAACACCTGGAGAACATTTACACGTTTAGTTGGCAGAGAGAGAGAGAGAGAGAGAGGCGAAAGGAACGAGTAATGGGCGAAAACCCATCACTAAATTGTAGCTCCATTCAAGGTTTCTTTACTCGTACTCAATATCTCCATATCTATTGAATTGATAAGAATCATTTAGATAGCTCACTGTTTACGGGCACCGGAAATTCCTGGAAATAACCTTAAAACTATTCACCGATTAGAACAAAACGAGATAGAGGAGGTATAAAAGTAGAGAGCCCTAAGCAAGCCCCAATAATAAGGTGCAATAAATCATTTTGAAATCCATCAACAGCAGAAATGTTCCCTCCATACATGTATTCCAGTTCCCCAAATACCCAGTAATCGCATACACCTTTCCAATCCATTGAGTGAGTATCCATTGAGTGAGTATCCATTGCTGAGTACACAGAACACAATGGCACTTGCATGTGACGACGCTAAATGGCCAATTAGGCGGCTATAACCAGTTAGAGATCTATAAATAAGTATTGAAAAACCCCCTCGACGGCATATACTCGTAGAAAGAAGGTGGAAGTCAAGTCAACCGATTACGAATTGGATGGAACTTCACTGCCGACTTTGACCTAGTCCTATCTATCTACGTATCCAACTCTATAAAGTTTGGTGACCTTCAGGCTGAGTCAGTGAAGATAAGAAGAGTCACAGCCATTGGGGGGCGACAGGTGGAAGTAGAATTAACTGAGGAGTACACACTCTGCACTCTGCAAGTGGTTCAATTAAACGAGAGATCGCAATGGTATAGCCTCTAGATAACTATTTGCCCCCTGATTAGATTGTTGCCGAGGAGCGTCGAGGCGCTGATGAGCCGACTCTCGTTATCTTTTTATCTAAATGGGTCATAAATGATATACACAAATGATTGTACGCCTCAATCACGGCTGAATGTTACATTTAATACTGTACACAATTACAACCAGCTGCAATAATGTTGTTGGCCCCAAAAGGGTGAGAGCCGGACCTTTAGAGCAGCGGAAGAGAACTTTAGCTTAAGACTTTGGGTTCAATCATCACTATGGGAACTCACCTGAGGGTTGGGTGTTTTTATTACTGTCTGTTCATCGATGATGAACAACAGGGTTCGTCCGATCCTGCGGCAGGGAAAGATCCGTGGGGCAGCTGGTAGTATCCTAGCTTTTCAGTGACGAGTCCGTGGTGGAGACTCTGGCTCAAACGAAGATTGACCAGGCTGTGCAGTTCGGGCAATTGGTTGATTGTCAGGTTCTTCTTCTTGGCCAAGGCGAGGGTAATGTCGTCACTGGTGCTGGGCCTATTTAGATCATTGAGGGTGCCGAATATGTCTATGATCTTTTTGTCCATTGTGACGAATCAAAAAAATATTCACTTGACACCAAAATTTGTGCTTAAAAACTGCTCAAAAAGGGGATAAAAATACGGAAAAATTGACTATCCAGTGCGAGCTGTATGAATGGAATGTGAAATCTTACTTAGGGACCGACTGATACAGCAGGGTAGAACTAACAATTCCCAAGCAACTTTGATGGGGAGAAAAGGGCTAGCGCTGAGGCCCCCCATTCAAATTCGAGTTAATTCCGGAATTGAAAGATGGCATTTCAGTGACTTTCTTTTGCTTAAAGGGAACTGAACCTCGTACCTACTTCCTCCTATGCTCGTATCAGTCCATTCGCTCTTTATTTGCCTTTTTTTTTTTTGTTTGTCGTGCCTCAATTGCGGTTTGAGTCGCTTTGTACTTGTTTTTCCTATGCCACGACATTCCATGCCAATAAAACAACAAAGTCAGCGTCACACATAATTAACTACAAAGCAACTAAATGTGTGACTATGCATATAGCGGCATATACCTGTCTTTCTCTTTCTCTTTCCCTTTCCCACTGTCGCTCTGTTCCTCTCACGAACCTCAGACAACTTGACGTCATTTGTCATCATATAAATATAAATAAAAAATATATTGCTTGTATCTTATAGTTAAAACTTTGAGCAAACCCATACATATGCACATGCTTAAATGCGATTAACGTTTTGGATTTACGCGGAACAGCTTTATTATACACAAGCTCCCTGAAAGATATGTGGGAAAGAAATAGTAGTAGGGCTGGCACTTGAGCATGATTTACATACGTAGATGCTCGTACCCTTTCTCATGGGTCACCAACACTTATTCCTATGTCCAGGATAGCTGCAACGTTGTGCAACACCAATCGATAAGTCAGGGAAGTTGTGATCAAGGGCACATACATATGTAGTCTTGATAGTCGCCTCGTTAAGCCCTTCTCGATCACGTACAGCCCTCGAGTGAGTGTTCCCCCCCTAAGTACATGCCTAATTACTTTTATAGACTCACAAAATTTGTTATTTATTTATAAAACCTGAGCGATAAATTGCTTTAATTACGAATTTCTGTTTTGCAGCGCAATAAAGCAACGAAATAAGAATCAAAAGCAAAAGCAAAAAGGCAAGAGCGCACACACAGACACACAGGCACACAGGAGAGGAGTGGAGAGGAGAGATACGTATACGTGTTTCGACCCAAACAAGCAAAAAGCCAAAATAAGATAAAAATTGTGTATACAGGCGTTGCGTTGAGGTGGAAACGATGACAAAAAACAAAAGTAAATAGCGCCGCAATAAATGCTGAAATTCGCTGGAGAGTAGCGCGAGAATTGAGAATTAAAAATAAAAACCCCCAACCCAACCAAAGACAGAGAGAGATAGAGAGAGAGAGAGAGTGCGCGGACATAAAGAAATAAAGCAATTACGATAAGTCTTATCAGACACCCGCCACCCGCCACCCGCCACCCGCAACCGCACCCAACACCCAGCACCGAAAGAAACCAAACATGGCCGACTCCGATCTCAGTCCGTTGCCGTTCCGTCGCGAGCGCAATCTCAGCAACAGAAACTTCAACAAGCGCAACTCTCGGCGCCGCATCAGCCAGCAGGCGGCGGAGCAGGAGCGCCACCCCAGTACCAACATGGACGCCGACGGTGCCGGACAACGCGATAGTGCCGTGAGCAGCAGCTCCAGCTCATTCCAGCTCTCCTACTCGCTCAACTCCGACCCGGAGAGTGCGTTCCAGCGTCGCTCTCTGCTCAAAATGCGTGAGCCCGAGGCGCAGGGCGAGGGCGAGGGCGAGGTGAGAGCGTGCCACAGACACCCATGACGCCCACAACGCCGGATCCCGCGTGGCTCGATGTACGGCAGAAGGTGCAGCGCTTCGAGACGCTGAAGACGACCATTGGATACATGCGCCAGGAGAGACACAGCCTGAAATTGCTCGAGAATCGCCGCCATCCGTCATTCGAGGAGTATGCGGGAGAGCCTAGAACGCCACCGGCCACACCACCGCGACGCTACCGCCTGCCTGGTCTGGCCGGCAGTCGGTGCAGCTCCATAGCCAGCACTCCCGGCGCCACCAGCAGCAGCATCAGCGAGGTGCGCTCCGAGGACGAAGTGGATCAGATATCGGACTTTGAAACGGATCCACATGCAACCAGGGAGTACGTACTCGCTGAGAGCGCCTCCGAGGTGTTGCCCAGCCACGGCGCAGATGAGGAAGATGAGTCGAGTGGCCAGCAGGTGCAGCGCTCGATCAGCGTCGATCAAGCAGCGGCGAGCCTCACATTGCCCCTGAAAATGCGCAACGATCAGGATTTTCCCAAGGTGAGTGAAAACAATCAATAGGCCTCCCAGTCACTGCATAGCAAAATGTGGGAGTCAGAGGCTGGGCAGGGCAGGGCTGGGCAGGGCAGCCATCCCCAGCGTTGATTAAGTAGATTTCGCGGTCGTTGAGCTTCCCTTTTTGGTGTCAGAATCCAATTATCCGAATTTAAGCATAAAACCCGAGGCATTCAATGCATTCGCCGTCGCCGCTTAATTGGCAAAGTGTTAATTAAGTTTTGGAGCACTTTTCGCTAACCGGTTGGCCGATGGAAATGCCCGCAAAAGGGAAGGTGGCAACTGGCCTGGCCTAGCAGCTTGCTCTGGCCGAGAAGTCATTCCAGAGTGTATTTGCTTTTGGGAAATGTGTCAAAATTTGTAAAATGTATCTTTGGGAATCGCTGGCCCTGAAGCAGCTGCACCTTGAACATGAATGGTCCAAAGAAAGAGGAGGCGCCGCCACAGGAGCCGGCACAAGGCGAACCCGATCCCGTTCCCAACGTGGATGCGAACGAGACTTCGATAGTGATAGAGGAGGAGCAAGAAGAGGGGCAGGACCAACAGAAATCGAGGAAATATGTGTCTATGGCAACGTCGACCAGCGACGATCCATTCCCATCGAAAAGGAAGACGAAGGAGAAAAAGAAGAAAGTGGAGAAGGAGGTGGAGGTGGATGTGGAGGCTCATGCGGAGACGGATGAGCCAGTAACCTTCGCAGAAGGTCCTTATGCAGAGCGGAAGGAGAATGAAAGGGAAGATGTGCACGAGCAGCAGGAGGAGGACGGGGTGGATATGTGGGAGGAGACGCCGGCCAACAGTCAGAGGACTTCGCTACGAAATTCCAATAATAAACGTTCTTCGCAAAAGAGCAACGTGACGATGGCCGACTCCATGTCTGAGGATGAGTTTGCGACCACACCGAGGAGAACGGCAAGTGATTCGTTTCTTCAATGGCGAGTGTCCACCACCTCGATGCAGAACATGGAGAGCTGTGCCGAGGGGGTCAGTAATTACCATCGATCCAGTCGCATTGTGACTATTTTTGCAAGCTTTCGAAAGTTTTTCATGTGTTGCAGCTGACGGGCTTCCTGGTGACTGCCCTGGCGATGTTCATGCTGATCATGATCTCCTGGTTCCTCATCATGCAGCTGGAATTTATGAAGTACTGCGTTACGTCCGTGTGGGCGGCATTCGAGAGCGCCTTGGGCATCTTTGACTCGCGAAAGACGCTGCTGCGGCACATGTTGAAGTCCGACTAGATGGCTGAGTCCGTGAGTCATCCTCATTCCCCATGTAAATATGATCCGCTGCCTAGCTTTCCCTATCTCCTTCAGTTGCATAAGAATGGGTGGCCGGCCACCCACGGGGTAGGCAGGGCGCTGCTTATCAGTAGCCAGTAGTCTTTGCTTGTGACTCACACAGAAGCTTTGGGGGTTTATCTGCTCAGCTATCACACTCTGCCGTTGTTTTGGCTGTTCTTCCCCCCCCCGAGGCCAGACACACAAACATATAGTGGTAGATAACGACACCCTCGTCCTTTCCCCTTCGCCCACAGAAACTATCGCTCCACGCCGAGACGAAAGACTGAAATCATTGGCACAACAAATCAGCATCTCGTTGGCAAATTTCACTCGGTCTACCAGCCCAAGGATGAGTGAGTATTTAACGCAAATGCTGTTCAACGATCTGTTCTTTATATTGTTCATTATATATATTCTTCAGGGAGGAGGAAGTGGAAATCGAGCTGCGGGACAAGAGCGACAAGTGCGTGCATCCCATTCTGGAGGAGCTGATCAAGACGGAGGAGGCCTATGTGAACAATCTGTACACGGGCATCGAGAACTATGGCAACATCTTTCAGCGCAAGGATCTGCCGCTGGGCCTGCGCGGCAAGAAGTACGATCTCTTTGGCAATATCGAACAGATCGCCGAGTTCCATCGGGATGAGTTCCTGCCGATGCTGCAGCGCAATAAACGTGACCTGAAACGCTTGTTCGACGAGTTCCTGCAGCTACTGGATGTAAGTCCTGTTCACAAATCTCTGAGTCAAGTGGAAGCTAATGTTTGGCTGTGTTTCTATGTAGCAAAACTGCTTCTACGGTTACGTGATCTTCACCATGAACAAGCAAAAGTCCCTGAAGCTGTGTGATCTCTACAAAAACTATTTCACCGTAAGTTGGCCATTCAATATCGAAGTGCACCTAATCATCGCATACCCCTTTTGTTTTGTTGCTGCAGAACATACGCCTGGAACGCGATGATAAGCTGGGCATCAATAGCTTCCTGGTGCAGCCCATCCAGCGTATGGCCCGCTATCCTCTGCTCTTGACGCAGTTTATCAATGTAAGTGAATGCGAATCGCTGGCAAGCAGGCAGCTAAATAAATATACAATTGGAATTCCCCCTTTTAGACCTTCTTCAAGAACCGCGACATTGTGATGAAGCCGCTCATTGAGTCCTGCTGTCGGCTGGAGAAGAGACTGCGCACCCTGCTGACCACCACAAATGAATCGGAGATCATTAACGACATTGTGGACTGCCATGAGGTGAGGATCGTTGTCGCTGTCGCTGTCGCGTCGTCTTCCAATCCTTTTTCTAACCGTGTCGCCCTTTGATTGCAGTTCAATGTGTTCTACCAGGGCAAGTTTCGCAAGGTGAACGAGTTCCAGGTGTTCGACTGCAAGCAGAAGCGCAGCTACCGGGCCAAGGTCTTCATATTCGACAAGTGCATCATCTACACGGAGATCAAGGGCAAGCATCTGCTCTTCCACGGTCGCTATCCCTGCGAGCACATTGGCATCTCGGCCAAGACAAAGTCCTTCACGCTCTACTACGAGCGCCGCAAGCAGCAGGAGTGCGAATTCACCGCGGATCCGGCCCAGATCTCGCTCTGGCTGGACCTCATACGTGATATGATCAACAACTTTGCCAACGAGGAGCGCCAGAAGCTGCAGGAGCGATACTGCCGCGAGAACGATCATCTGCACCGGAAGGCGCCCAGTTTCTCGCTCTACCGCGACTCGAATCGCTTCAGCACGGACAGCGGCATCGGCAACATATGGATAATGCCCAAGCCGGACGAGGAGACGGCCAGCAATCGCAGCACGTGGTATGCCAACTCGTAGAGCAAAGCCCCAGAGACAGTGTGGGACATGGCATTTATACATATATGCGATCGCATCAACATCGATCGGTCTACGGGAGACCGGCGGCTCGCACCGAGCACCTTTCCAGTCCGGGTAACTGCCACGGTCAGCCCCCCCCAAGGGGCCGACTGGGGGGCCGAGCCAAGTTATCCATTGAATGTTGTTTCAGATTTGTGTTCATGGAAAAATGGAAACCAAACCGCAAATGAAAAAGCAAACAAAAAAAAAAAACAATTCAAGTTGCAAGCTAAATCACCAAATATTTTACTCTAAGTTTTGTAGTTTAATTAAATTCTTTATGCTATTGTTATTGTTGTTCTCTGGTGCCTAAACAATTAAGATTCCATTATTCTATGGGAATATCGACTATGAATTATGTTTTAATCGAGTTTTAGTAGTGGAAAAAAATGTTATGAATAAAGTGGAACTGAAAGAAACAAAATTGTTTCCACTTTTTAGATTTGTTTTGATATATTTTATACTGATACCCACTTCAAACGCACCTCCGCCTGATTATCTGTCGCTGATCTCTTGATCATTTACATTGCTCTTAATTGGGAGAAAATAATGTACACAATAATTTACAAATATCAGCCACTTCCTACCACTTTCTCAGAGCTGATTCTCAGAGTCGTCAAAACAAATGAATCCATCGTGGAAGGTCGGTCGGTCGCACGCCATTGGCGCTGTCATGAGAGTCAGACGTGGGACAGCTGTTGGCCCTACCCCTGCCCCTGCCCCTCTGCCCATCCTCCGGCACATCACTCTTAACAACATTGTTAATGATACGACACGCCACGCCGCACGGCCAACAACTTGTTTCTGGCTGGCTGGCACTTGCACCGTCTTGTGACATCACTGGGAAAATGTGTATAAATAAACAAATGGCGCATATAAATAAATATAAATAAAAACTGAGTATTATAAACAATTATTGGCATTGTTTGCCTCGGGGTATTCTTCATCATGGGGCAGGCACATGGGGATTGCAGCTCATCAAAATCGCCCTGATATGCTCGCCGTTTATTTATAGTTATTTTTGCTGTTGCCTCATCGCGGAATTCTTTTGATTTGAATTGAATGGGTAGACTGGCGGAGGCGGCGGGAGTGTGTCTGACTCGCGTATTGTCTAAAAAAAATCAATTGTGGCTAATAAACAATAAATAAAATATATGTATAGTATGTATAATCTGAAAAAGTTAATTTGTGAAATGCAAACGACATCTGTGACGGCATTAGAATAGCCGTTTCCACAATGAGATCTCTGTGAGATCATCGCCAGCGAAACTCGCACGTGATGATGAAAGGCAAATGCTGAGTGCCAGAGAGAGGAATGCGAATTGAGATAGGGTCCAAAACTATTCGAGCTTTGATTTATAAACCCACTTGGAATGTACCCAGTTGGTTCTCTCGCTCACTGTGCATATCGCAGACAGACAAATAAAGTTCAAGGGGAAATCAAACTTTATGATTGTGGCTGGTAGCAGTAATTACAGTTATTACGGGGCCATTAACCAAAGCTCCCTAATTGGTATGCAAATATCGAATCGCAGTGGATCAAATCGCATTATTGGGGCGGTCATAAATCTATGATGAAAGCAAAAGTGCTGCAGACTTTTGATATATGTATTTCCATCCAATGTCGGCGGCCTCCACACCACTTTTCACAGTTTCGAATGGGTTTTGTTTTGCGATGTTTACAAACAAATTCGAGTGCAAGAGAGAGCCACAAACGAAAGAGAACGATCGGATCTCAGTGTGAGAGAGTAAGCTTTCGGCCAAAGCTTTTGCCAGCTCGAACGCTCAGCAGAAGCGCCGCTCCCACTCATTTGATTTTGTCGTGCGATTCGAAACGGTCTGGAAACGGCGTCCACGGGAGTATTCGGAAGTGTTTTGCGCGAATTCTAATCGAAATGCATCGAATTCGATGCGTTCGTAGCGAAAGCCCATAAAAGACAGTGCATAAAAAACCCCCAGCATGGAGCTGTTCAATTGGTTCGATCTGATATCCGTGGCTCTGACATTTGTCGCGATTCTGTTGGTGCAAGTGTTGAATGTCTATTTGCACATACTGGACGATAATAATGCTGGTGCCAAGTCAATCGATGTCGTTGACAAAGCCCGGGCCAAGGAATGTCTGACAGAAGAGGCGCCGCTCAGTTCACCCATTAATTCCACACCGACACCGACCACCACAACACTCAACAGAAATGGCAAGCTGGAGAAGCAAACGAGTTTGCTGGATAGTGATAGGTAGGTCAAAGTTTATGGTGTGTCTTCATCAGACATTGGTTCATTGGTTTCGAATGTCCCTACCAGTTTGACCTTTGGCATGTGTCCCACTACAACTCTGTGTATACGTGATAAGATAACGTATACGTTTTGGATTTATGAGTTTTTAAGGGGTTTTTGTTATAAGCTTTTCATGGTTATTGTTGATCCAGACATGACGCTCATTTGAATCGGGAATACTACATATAATTAGCGAAGGAAGTAGTTAAGTGACGGAACTTTATAACTTTATAGAGGATGTGGAGGTTACCTTCCCCCCCACCCCACAGCTTATCTACGGTTGTTCATTATCAGTACCCATTTGAGTGTTCCCCACCCACATTCACGGCTTCCTGTTCTTGTGCTTTCACTTCTGTTCCAGTGGCATCTCATTGAGCTCCATCTACACCTCAGCAACGACAGGGACCACGACAGCCGCCAACTCATCTCCAACATACCGAACACACAATGGTTTCCTCTCACACACGCTCAGTTTCGAGACTCTGGGCGATGAGTAGTAAGTACAAAGTACCCTCCCCCCAGATCCAACCCACTCCCACTCCCACTGCCACTGCCACAATCACAGTCGCCCGCTAATTGAGTCAGTAAATAATTCGAGCATTCACCGTCCGAGCAGCCACGAGGATGAGGACACACTGTCGCTGGAGAATCTGTTTCCATGCGACCAGACCGAAATCTATGCCTCACGCAAGATCAGCTTCATCATCGACGAGCTCATCCAGACGGAAGTCAACTATGTGAACAACCTGAAGAAGGGTCTGGCCAACTATGGCCGTCTGGACACAGTCGAGGACCTGCCCGAAGGCCTGCGCGGTGAGCAGCGCCAGCAGCTGCTCCTGGGCAATGTCTCCGAGATTCTTGAGCTGCACGAGAGCGAAATTCTGCCGCTGATGTTGCGCAATCAGCGCGACCTGAAGGGTCTCTTTGATGAGTTTGCCGCGCACTTTGAGGTGAGTAGCGGGAGGCACTCCCACCCAGCTGCGTGGGTTGGGTTGGGCTGAGTCCATTAGCCAGACTCGTGTCGGTTGCCAAGTAGCCGTTGGACAGGTTCCGACACCCCGATTCGGGCCATCGATCAAAAATTCTTTTGTTTTCCGTAGGCCCGCCGCAGACCAGCTAACAAACTCAATTTCAAATATTTATTCAAAGACAACGATTTTTAATGTTTGTATTTGTTCGTATTCGTATTCTCTTTTTTTGTTTATGCTCATTTGGTGGCGACACCTGCGATTGCCGTGCCGCTGAGTGACGGTTCCTAGGTTCTTCTTCTACATATGAGTATTCCCATTTATAATTGTACACATTGTACTCAACCCGTGAATTAATGCATATTAAGCAGCGTTCAGCGTTCCGTTGGCAGTCGTTTAGTTGTGGGTTATGCAAATTGCGATTGCATAAACACTCTGACAAATTCAGTTAACGAAATAATTGAATTATTTTATTCGTTAACAGGGACTTTGCTTATTGTTATTATATGTCGCCTGACACCACCACGCGGGACAAGTGTGTCACGGTGTTTGTGGGGGCCCAGAGCTCATTCTCTCATTCTCATTCGTATGCTGTGGTCGTGGTAAAAAGTGAACTAATGAAACACACCAAAGAATTACTTGAGTATGTCTTTCTAATTATTTACTGAATGACGAATGGGGGGGGCTTTGTGAAGTTTCCAGATAAGATTGAAATAATCGCCGGAACACAGTAATGATAAAGCTAAATAGACCCAACCAGAACACTGTCGTTAACGAAAATCACTTGGAAATTGTTTAAAAAAACAAACTTTTTTCACGTTGCACAGTTTGCCGGCTGCTGACGTCATCGCTTGACTGGCTTCGCTTCATAGTAGAAACGTTCGAAAGAGAGGCAAATACACACAGCTTTTTAGCGCCTGTCTGGGGCTTGCTTGGGGGAAATATATGTATGTATATATAGTAAGCTTTAAATACTCTTGCAGAAACATTGTCCATGCTATAACTTTATCTATGGCTTGTTGACACTGATAAAGAATATAAATATAAATATAATGTCCTACATACCCATATATCGTTATTTATGGGGTTTCCTTCTCTGCTATCAGGCATATGTAATACCCCATGCAAGAGTATGCAAAATGTCGAGATACAAGTATAGCTGATTGAACATGAGCTACACTTCTGTGGATCTCGTTAAATTAATTTTTTTCTTTGCTTTTTGGAAAGATTTCTACATGTTCTATGGCCTGCTGTCCATGTGGCGAGGCCGAGTTAAGTGTTGACAACTCAAGCGATCAATTTAAATTGAAATTGTCTGCTGGAATACTTCGAACGCAATTCTCTTATGTCATCTGCAAGTTCCAAGAAAACCCCAAAAAATAAAGAAAAAGCAACTGAAAATCTGCTCCCAAAGCAGGTAACATTCTTTGAGCCCCGAGCTCCCCGAGGATTTGGCTTAATGCTGAACAGACATGCAAAGCCGCTGCGAGCTGATTTATGCTACAGAATACCACCCCCCTCCCCCTCTTTACCCACACCCCCTTTGCATTTTTCGTGCTGCTTGTGCCAAACATTTCTGAGTCACAGGACAAGAGCCAGCGAAATCTTTTGCTAAATACATATGTATATATTATAAATATGTTCGAAAATGTTCAAAAATTTTGTTTATACTCGTAGAATATTGTGCATATATTTTCTAAATGTTACCCCTTCTATCCTCTTCCCGCTGCCCGCTGCCCGCTTCCCGCTTCCTGCTTGTCTTGGCAGCATATTGGATAAACAAAAGAAGACGCGAAAGAGCTTGCTGATAAATATAAATTTAATTTATGAAACTCAGAAATTCCCCCTCGATCGCCTTTTCTCGAGCAAATTAATGAGGCTTTTCACAAATGTTGAATTGAATAATTGTTGAATCGATTAGTTCTGACCCGATTTGATTGTGTGGCGGCTGAAGAGGCCTTGTCCGGCCAGACCTGTTGACTCGCTATTTGGACACGAGAATCCATCCCACTGGTGCCAGAGGAGAGGAGACAGCTCCGTAAATAGCTTGGCCTTCATTTATTAATCGGCTTTAAATGGTCTGAACAGAACACAACAGTGACAAGCGTGTCGATCTGAGTGATTTCTCACCCTCAAATCGAATCGAATCGAATTGAATCCACCACCAACTCAAAATCAATTAAAAGTTTTACAACATTCTGATTGCTCTCGGAGACTGATTTTGCGATCAACATTTGTTGATGTTTGGCTATACAATTGACAGGCGAGGAAGAGCACGGGCATGCCATCTGCTCGTCTCTGCTATATAGGAAATGCTCAGAAAATCGTTTAATATTTGTGTCAGCTTTATTGGCATTAGTATAACCTATTTATAGTACAGAAAGTGTATACTATTAACGAAACAAATGACTGTATTCGAGGGGAATGCATGCATCCATCGCAGAGGAGCAAAGAAAAAATTCAGTCAAATGCAAAAATAAATTGTCACCTTGCGCCATCAGACAATTTGTCCGACTAAAGCCGCATTAGGCATGCAAAACAGAACCCCCCTAAGGGATGGAGGGGATTGGCATTGGCCCAGAGATGATTATCATCATCATCCACTGAGATCTCGAACTCGAATCACAGCTCTGATTCTGGGACTGTGGGGCGGGGGCGAGGCTAATGAAATTAAAATGGAAAGGAAATCGTTGGCCAAGCAATTTTCTTTGCAGTTTGCAATTTGCAGCTTGGAGTTTGCCTGCTGGCTTCGGTTTGGGCCAGCATTTGCATGGCATTGGCCCGAGATAGCCACAGGAATGCCAAATTTATGCTCTAGCTTTGCCAAGGTTTTCCCCCAGCTCTCCTTCTCAGTCGTGGAGACTGTTGCGTACGAGTCTCGAGTTACGTGACTTAAATGCTCAAAAAATTATGATTTCGCCAGCAGGCAGTGAGGTACGAGTACGAGTACGATTACGATTACGAGTGCGAGTACATATGGGTACGGCTATATACATATACCTAAATATATATCTGTATCTGCGCTGAGAAACCCGAAGCTCAAACGAAATGGCAGCACATGGCAAACGATCAGGTGGGGCTGTTTAGGGCAAAGGTGTGGGTTTACTTAGGTTTAAGTTGGTTTTGCGCTGTTGCTAACCATTCTGTTCTGATGAATTTTACCCAGAAAAATAACTTTTACTGCTACGTGGGCTTCACCATGGGCAAGAAATCTTCCATGCAGCTGCGTCAAGATCATCGCGAATGGCTGCAGGTAAGCCTTTGGCATAAATATCAAATCCACTGACTAATTATAATGTCTGATTCCGCACTTAGGCCTATCAAACTACGATAAAAGACAAGCTGGGCATCGATAGCTTCCTTGTGCAGCCCATACAAAGACTGACCAGATATCCATTGCTGCTGCAGCAATTCATATCGGTAAGAGAGGGAGAAAATCCCAGCCCAGTTGAATCTCATGCTAAAAGGGATCATATTGTTTTGTTGCAGGAATTCTACAAGAGTGGAATCAGCTGCAAGCCGGTGCTAACAGCCGTTTGCAAACTGGAGACGCGCATGCGACGTGCTCTGGATGTGGTCAATCAGGCCGAGGAGATACCCAACATAGATGAGCTGAATGAGGTGAGTAATGAATGGGGGGATTCAATTGATCTTTATCTCTTACCTTATGCATCATTTATCGATCATAGCTGGACCTCCTGCAGCTGGGCAACTTTCGGCGTGCCACAGAGTTCGATGCCCAGCACTTTCCCACGCGCAAGAAATACCGGGCCAAGATCTTCCTCTTCGACCGGTGCCTGGTGTGCACCGAGGTGCGCAAGAAGCGACTCGCCTACCGCCAGCACTACCACTGGGAGCACGTGGAGCTGCAGCGTCCGCTGGAACTGAGCGCGTCCAATGCCAACAAGATCATCAATCTGCTGGTCAAGCAGCAGGACAAGGACAAGCCGGGCAGCGGCTCCAAGCGTGAGGAGTACTCCTTTGTGGCAGCCGAGGCGTCTGTGGTGAAGCAGTGGCTGCACGCCACTCACAAGATCATCGAAATTGCCCGCAACGAGCACGCGCAACGGAACACCTTCAGCCTGCCCATGGATCTGGTGCTGGGAGTGGGTCTGGCCATCTGGCTCATCTGGCAGTACTTGTAGAGAAGAGAGAGAGAGAGAGAGATCATCCTCAATCCTATTCACCCCTTCCCACCATCCACTCACAATTCTAGATCATAGATTTACGATATAGGAATAAAACTAAGTTATTTCGTACTCCTCTCCTCCGTTTTCTTGGTGTTTGTGTCTTGCGGTGTTTGTCCGAGCGTAAAATAAGTTTGCTGCACTTCCTTGACAAATATTCATGATAAATTGCCTTTGCAGTGGCCAATCGCAGTCCCCATCTAAACCTCAGTCCCTTGTCGTTGTCCTTGCAGCTGAATGTAAATAGCTTTTCATCTTTTTCGCCACAGAACCACACACAAGGAAGTCCATGCGGTACAGTGTGTATGTGTGTGTGTGCCAGCCACCGAAAAATGTTTGACAAATCTATTTATTTAGAATTTATGACGGGCCCCCCATGCATGCATGCAAGACGCCAGCTCGTACATGTCAAGTCATGGCTGTGGCTGTGGCTGTGGCTGGAGGGAATCTAATGAACCATAGTCCAGGATCCAGGCTCCGACTTGGAGTTGCTCAAGATGGTGAAGTGTGTGTCCTAAAAAAAGAACATTATATTGCTGAAAAATTGAGTAAGCTTCTTGCTCTTTCCGCTCTTAGCACACACATTCCACACAGGAAAATCTTTTTGAAATTTTTGACTTACATTATTCAAAGGGTTACAAATTTATATTGTCTCGTGGGTAAATTAAAGGGCTTACCGAATGTGAAAAATGGTTCTTTGCAATCATGAAATTCATTTAAAATCCACCTAAAAGTATGCCATAAAAATTGAGAAAGTATTAGAAGAAATTGTAAACAGAAAATTAAAATTATATTCGAGAAGAGTAAGAATAATTGTTTCTTTCGAACAGAATATTTTTAATTCAAATTCAGGGGAAATTTTTGCACCCACTGATTCGCTCATTTCGAACCACTGTATGCCAAGCTTCCATCAAATCCAATCAAAAACTGTTTCAGGCCCTGATTATCCGGTCAAATGATTGCCAAAAATCATATTTCTTATGTGGAAAATGCTTCTATAATGCATGCGTCCCCCACATCCTGCCGCTTTTTTCCGGCTAAGCTCAAAGGCAAAGTGCAGCAACAACAAAAATATGCACTAATGAAGCCAAGATGCTGGGTGGTGTCTAGCCCCATGTGTTTGTGCTTGGGATGTGACAAAATTTGCACAAAAGCAATTTGTTCCGAGGGCAACGACAAAATGAAAAAAAAAAAACAAACACGAGACTCTCTTGACATGTGCTGCGGGAAGGTGGTAAAGGGAAGAGGCCGAGAGAGAGCACAGGATGCAGGGACACAAAAGAAAAAAGAGAAGACGGGGGGGTGGGAGCAAGACAAGATATCACAAGGTTAGGCACGCCCAGAGAGATCGCTCTCACGATAGAACATAGAGAGAATCCCAAAATAAAATATGCCACGCGAAGAGGCAGCGGCGGGGAAGTGGGAGAAAGCTCTCTCTCTCTCTCTCGGCATAATTTGCCTGTCTAAGCAAATTTTTGTTGTTCTTTTCTGCGTTTTGTACGTCTCCTTGTTGTACGTTTCTTCCTCGCTTACTTTTTGCCTGGCCTGCGCCTTCGCCGCTGTTGCTTTATTATATTATGTCATTTATGTTGGCATGCCGCCATCGCTGTCGCTTGCTCTGGGGATAAAGGACCCTCCTAGACTGGTATACGTTCGCTACAGGGACGCTGGCTAAAGGATAATGCCGTGTTCCTGCCAGGCAGCTTAAGTGTATTAATGTCTGTCAAGTAGTTGTCACAGAAGTGACGTGTATGTAAACGATTTGACATTTTTATGAGCCAAAAAGCGCTGCGCTGAAAAATTACACAGCTTCAAGCACCAGAGAAGAGAGCGAAAGAGAGAATGGGTGGGCGATAGACTGGTAGAGTGGGAGAGAGTTGGGCGGGTGGGAGTGGGAGTGGGTGTGGTGGTGTGTCCTCTCTATGGTGAGTAAATATTTCAATATTTCTGGGCCATTGGCTTTCGGGCGATTCCCCGTTTTTGGCTATGCCCCTCACGTAGTTTGTGCTACATGCTCCACATGTTTTTTTTTTTCCATTCTTTCAACTAAATGCATAATTTCGAACACGACAAAAAATAAGAAAAAAATAGACAAGGCACCAAAATACACACACACAAAATTGAGAGAGAACACAAAATAAAAAGAATAGAATTGTAAAATGCCTTGAGGCAGCATAATTTATTTGCATTTTTCCTTTTTTTTTTGTTGTTGTTCCTGATGGTTCCCAAGGCACGTCGCAGCAGCAGGAGGAGTGTGGTGTGTGGCAGAGTGGAACCTCTCTGCCAGCGAGGACGGCACAAATTTGCCAAGTAATTGCACAAATTATTGCACGTAGGCTGGCAACACATGACGGCCGGGCAACGCGGAGGCGCCACAGCCCACCAGCTGACACCACAAGATGGTCCACACACCGCCCCCCCTGTGAAGCACACACACTGTTCATGCTACATTAAATTAACTTGACATATTCGGAAATGGAACTCCAACACACACAGAGAGAGGCACAGACACTGCTACAACTGTTGCTAATTCTTGCTTAATATGCCCCACACACACCCCACACACACACAGGGCTCATCTGAGTCCTCCTCATCGTCCCATTCTGCCATCCTGCTGCTCCATTGGATTTGTGCGTATCCAATTCACGCCTCAATGCCAGTTGTTGTGCCCCCCCACAACCCCACAACCCCATGCCCAGGCACATCCAAATTGTATTGCCATCGCATGTAAATGCAACACTTAGGCACGCATCGGGCACACATCTAACACATCTCCATCTCCATCTCCATCTGCGTTCGTTTTCCTATTCCTATTCCTATCCATCCAGCATCTCTGTAGCTCTACTCAACGGATTTGCGAATTCGTTTACTTCTTTTCGGTTGCTCAGTGCTTGAACAAGTTCAAATTTCAGCTGCGAAATGGCACGTGAAACAATGTGCGCCTCTTGGGAAGGACAAGTACTGTGTCGAGGCACAGTGGAACCAAAGACTAGAAAAAAAACCTTCACAGTTGCGTGGTGGACTCTTCTTGATTTAATTTCAGAGTTGACAGAGTTTCAAACCACTTCAGTAGGCTCAGTGGCTGACTGCAGCCACCTCCTCAGGTGGTGGCTCTCGGCTGAGAATGAAGTACGAGTATATCACCCATATGCAGAAGAAGTAGCAAGCTGAAAGAGCAAACAGATGCATTCGATAGTCAGCAAAGCAGATCCCTTACCAAAGTATATGAACATGCTAACGTAATGACCGGTCTCCAAGCTTACGGCCCTCATTGTGGGAATGATGGCGATGAGAATCAGACAGTGGACGAGCAACATCATCATGCACACACATAACGTCATGAGGAAGATGGCGACGAGTGCACGTTTTTGCTGGGGGAAGGGCAAAGCAGCAAAGGTTAGATATCCCCAGAGAACCCTTGGAGATCCTCACATTTAGCAGCCCATACAACAGAATGATGGCGTTGAAGAGCTTCACGAAGTGCAGCAGCGTCACCAGAATGTAGAAGCCACTGTAACCTGCGGAACCAAGCAACACTTAACCATAGGAATAACATAGTTAGGGATCCATAGTTAGGGATCAGTGCTTACGAATCATCGTGAAGCACTGCCAGCCAAAGGCTAGGGACTCGAGCCACATAATGCCGGATATGAAATAGCAACCCCATAATAATTTCACCACGAAGCAGCAGTTCTTCAACAACAACACCTTAACCATTTGAATTTGTGCAAAAAAAACACACACAAAAAAATATCGGGCTGACATTCAGCGGCAGGATTGCCTCGTTCGGCAGGTTTGCTACCACTGTGGCAACATTTGCTGGCACAAATCAAGCAAAGCGACAAATGCCCATGCGAATGTGTGAATTTGCCGACGATGACAACTGATAATAGATCGAATTACGTACACGCCCAGGAGCACCGGAATCAGACCCGGACTCGGGACACGTTTCACCGACGCACAGACACTGAGACACGGAGTGGCAGAGTGGCAGAGCAGACCCTTAAGACCCCGGGTTAGGAGGCATAATGCCCGCCTGTGCGTTAGATAAAAAAACAAAGGCATGTAATTTTTTGGGGGCATGGCAGTGGCAGTGGCCGTTGCCGTAGCCGTTGCCGTAAGCCACAAAACGAGCCGAGCAACGGAAACGGAAACGCTTGATAATCGCACACAGAATGCAGTGTCATAAGGGGACGGAATACGAACAGTGGGAGAGTGGGTGAGTGGGTGAGGTTAACACGTATGGGATGATGATGATGATGCCTGATGGCTGATGGCTGATAATGCGAGGGGTGCGAATCACGTAGGGTTAGAGAAACGCTCTCTCCCTCTCCCGCTGTTTGAGTGTGTGCAGAGAGGCAGAGGCCCATTGATAAATGCTCTCTGTTAAGTGGCATGTTTTGGGTTAAATGCGGTGTAAAATGTGCTAACCCTCCCACCCATAACCTGTAACCCCTAATGGCATAATAACATCGAAAGGGGGTTGGGTGGCGGCAGCAACAGCAGCAGCATCTTCCATCTGAATGACAGTTCAGTTAGCAGTCAAGACAGCGGCAGAAACTCCGGCACCTTGAAACTGTCAACCTGGCACGCTGACGCATATAAATCGCCCCTCGTTGGCGCACCTGACGCTGTCAACATATGTTCTGCAGTGCGGCAAAATCAGGCAGGGGGGGCGTGTGACTCCTGGGCGTCCTGGCGTCTTGTACATACATCTTGCTTACAGCGGTGCCCAGGCGCCAAATTGAAATTTAAAACGAGAAAACCAATAAAAAAACAAGTTACAGACGCCGCTGCCGTTGCCGCTGCCGCCTCCAACGACGACAACGTCGGGCGGCAATACAAATTGCAGTGACGACAGCTGAAAGAACGGCCATTCCCATAGCCACCCAAAAGCCACCCAATCCCAAATGCAATTCGCGCCCTGGACCAGCATACAAATGCCTTCAGCCAAAGGATAATATAATGCACGTTGTGGAAGAATAATGGTTCTGCCAGAAGACAACGTCGCAGTCGTCCAAGGGACTAAGCCGAGGATGGCAGACATCCCAAAAAAGAAGGCAGAAAGGGCAACCAATGCCAGGGGCCCAAACAGGAACAGGAACAGGAGCCAAGCCAAGCCAAGCCAAAGGGCTTGGGCGGACAATAACGATGCCAGAGGCAACGGCAATGACAGGCAATTTTAATAGAATATGGAAGGGCGTAGGTCTGAGGCTGGTCCTGCCACTGAGACTAACGTAGTGCGTGCCTCTTGTTGCCGCATCCCGGATGTAGCTTGCAGTCAGCCTATGAACCAAGTCAGCCGCCTGGCCATGGGAATGGAGTTCCACTCAAAGCCATAGAAACAGCAAACAATTAAAGAATCGAAGCTATAATGTAGTATGGCGCCTTATCTTTAGGAAAATAACCAAAGGCCAGCACTAGCCTAACCAGAAATTATTCTTCCATGCGGATTTCTTGGTGAACTCCTTTGGAACTTTGATTTTCTGTGTAGGCAAATGGGAACTAGTAGTTCTTCTGATTTTGGTAGATATTGTCTTAGCGCTGGATATGCTCTTGGATAAAGGGGCTGCTCTCCATCTCTGTCGCTGGTGGCTTCGATGTTGTTGTGGGTGCGGCGCGCTTTCCAGTCGTCAATTCACCATAGTCGAATGGAGGCTTGTGATCGAAGTAGTCATAGGCCACAGCATCCCTTGGGGCTGTCCACAGATCGGTGTAAACTTCTGCTGCCTTGGGTGATCTTGGATTTATCTTTTTGGTCTTATTTAATTGCTTTTTAGGAGGCCTCCGCCTGCGTTGTGTGACCATTGTGACCAGATTTCGGAACTGGATGGGCTTGCTCCTCACTCTGTGGGTCTTTTCAGTGTGCAGCTCCCTCGTGGGATACCTTGCACACTCGCTGGGCAGGACACAGGGACCCTGGTATTTGTTCACGCGTATGTATCCACCCAGGCAGTTGCAGCTGCCGTAGCACAAGACGCGCACACAACTCTGGGGATGGCAGGACTTGGGGCAGGAATGGCCACAGGTCACCTGCACCTCGTTCCTGCCGCAGATGGAACTGCCGGAGATTGAGAAGAGCGCAACGAACAATCCAAGCCGGAACATGGCCAATGACTACGACTGCCACAGCCACTGGGAAGGCAACCCAATCAAATTGCATTTGTTATAGCTGTCAGAGCGTGGCTAAAACACTTATTTAGTTTTGTTTTTATTCAGTTTATTCATCTCTCCATGAATCCAGAATCCATTGAAGTACTGAGCGAGTCGCTGCGCCAATCGGAGCTGCATGCCATCGGCCTGCTCGGCTATCCCACGGTGGTGCTCCCGGGCCAGCCCACCCTCAAGCTGCAGGTGACCGTGCGCTCCTCCAACTACGATCAGGTGGCCACGAAAGATCCTCGCATCGGCTGCAAGTTGATCTTCACCTACACCGAGATGTATCCCCACCTGTTGCCCAAGGTAAACATCACTTCGAAGAAGAATTTCCCCGACTTTTTCGAGCTGCAAATGCTGGAGGAGTTTCGGCGCATAAGGAGACTGAATCGAGGCGCCACGTACATCCTTTCCATTGTGACCAAGGCCAAGGACATGATGGAGCAGATGGTCCGGAAGCTGAAGCGTCAGAGGCAAGCGTCCATGGCCGCCGAGGAGCTGGGTAAGCTGGCAAGCCCCAAATCCCATATGCATTGAGTGTTCTATAGAGTTCTGCCCTGCCCTGCCCCGCCCTGCCCACAGATGTGCTCTAACGGCCCAACCAAATTCTAGTGTAAATAAAATTGTAGATTAAGCAAATAAAATTATGTTCATTTGTGGTCCATTTGTGGTTGGCTGCCGTTGCCCGCCGAATATCTTTTGATTAGCAGCCGCAGCGCCATGGAATGGCCAGAATCAGAATCCAGGTCATGTAGCCCACATATAAATCCCGGCAAATTCATGCATGACCCATAAAAGCCAACAACTCCGCTCCACTCGGCCACATAAATATTTCCTATTTACGAGTGCGAGTGCGAGTAGGAGACTGCAACGTTTTTGGGGAGGTATAAAAATTTCAACACGCTTACACAAAAATTGCCAATTAAGCGCATTTATGACTGCAACGCAACGGAGTGCCAGTGGCAGTGGCAGTGCCAGTGGCAGTGGCATGCAACTAGGCGGACTGGGCACACTGTCTGGCCCCCATAAACATTGTTAATGTGAGGACGTGTGCACTCGGAGGACGCTTCGCTCTCCCTGTCTCTCCGTGGATTATTAAGAAACAATGAAGTCCGTACCGGGGTCGCAGTCGCAGTCGGAGACGGAGACGCAGACGAACGCCGCTAGAAGCCATAAAAGCGGACACATAATGCCCAGTTTATGGCAGAGAACTTAAAACCGGAAACTAAATAGTTGACACCGCGCGGACACTGGCCAACGAGGGGTTGGATCAGCATTAACATGTACCTTCCATCCACCGCCCACAAATGGCACTCGGAATTGGGGGATGGCCCGTAGTTGTGGTGGGGTGGGGTGGGGGGTTAATCGTAAAGCTGCGCCAATGACGAAAACATAATTTGTAATTTGAATTTGTTTCGTGTTCGAGCATAAGCAATGAGCTTGTGGCAAGAGGCGGCAGCTGAAGGGACAGTCATTCGACCCCTCTGCTGAGGTCCTGCCATATCCGGAATTCAATTCGCGTTCTGCTGGCTGCTTTTGGCATGCGGAATACACCGGAATTTATGCGACTGCAGTTCCTTGACCCTTGGGGTCATTCTCAAATAATTCTCAAATGAGCAGCAATTAATTGAGGGAGCCCAGCAAAAGGGCAGGGCAATGAGCAGCCTTAAAGCCTTTACTTGGCGAAAGGCCGAGCAGCAGGGGCTGGGTCTAGTACGTGGGGTATATGATTTTGGGACTTGTTGGGGGGGGGGGACTTGGCTTGTTGGCTGATTTATGCGCTTATCGCGCAGGCGACGCCGCTTTTATGTCGATGTCTGTCGCCCATAAATGTCCTGCATGGCCTGACTGTGTCCTATCTGAGTCCTGGCATTGACAGTGCACACAAATTTGCCATTTTAATGCTCCTTTGGCTGCCGGCTAGCGCTTTTCAATTTCTGCTACTCGTACCTGCGCTGGCTTAGGCTCATCCTTCGTCGTCGTCGTTGGCGTCGTTGGCGTCGTTGGCGTTGTCGTCCTTCGACATGGTCCTGTGGCGTGACAGTTTTTCATTACGCACAAATCCTTCGGGCATACACAGTCACATTAAAAAGGGATGTGGACTTAAAGTTTGCTTACCCCATCCGAAAAAAAAAAACACACACAGAAAAGAATATCAAAAGAAGAAGTTGAGGGAGGAGTCGCCCTCCTCAGACACCCATCTCAGCTTTGGCCTGAAATTAGGAATTTCATAAGAATCCCTTTTGCTTATCGCACAGCTTTAACATGTCTGCCTGTTCTGCTGTGGGTGCTGTGGGTTGCTGTGGGGTGGCAGTGGGGTGCTGTGGGTGGCTGTGGGGTGGCTGTGGGTTGCTGTGGGTGGCTGTGGGTGGCTGTGGGGGGGCTGTGGGTTGCTGTGAGTGCATGTCCTTTGCCCTGCAACACTTTGAAAGTGACATTATGCAAGTTGGAGCAACGAAGCGCCGCTGCTGCAGCTATCTAAATTACCCAGAGACATCCGGCATGGCATGGCATGGCAGGACGTTCTTATACGCTTAAGGATCAACAGGAAGCGCCCCAAGGAGTCTGACTACCTCCCCACCCACTGGCCGTGTTCGATGTGTTGCAACTTTTGTGTGTGTGTTTCCTATTTTGTTTTTTTTTTCGCAGGAAGGAAATGTGAACATGCCAAAGCTGGTATTACGGCGAGCGATGGCGAGTGCTTTGGCACGCGCATAAAAGATAAGTAAATGCATCGCAGACGCCTCCTGCCTGCCTGACTGCCCAATTAATGAATCCTCTTCAGGATGTGTGGCCCTCACCGTGACTGTGTGTCTGGCGGGCACGTGTTAACATTCGGCCAAGTGTTGCACACATCGAAGTGCGCGGACGGGCTGGCGGGCAGTCCGTCAGTCAAGGCCAAAAGTCACGTATTGCTGCGTGAGCTGCGAAAGTCTCCTTTTATTTTTCTGCTTCTATATTCACTGCTAGCCAGCGAGAGTGTGCAAATTTGTTTGTGCACGTAATTGCAGGAGGCAGCGAGGCATGGTCACAGCCAACAGCCAAGTTCATGCACAGATCTAGTGGCCAAGGCGACGGTCACAAATCACACACTTATTTGTGGATATATTTGTTCATATACTCGTATAAATAATGTTCACTTTGCATGGCCTCGTTGCGCGCGGACAAAGGGACTTCCCATTGGCTTTTGGGATCGTTCGGCTTGGGGCATTTAGGGCATCATTGCTGGCAGTCGCAGGCGCTGACTGTTGAGCAGCGTCTGGAGGCGTATGGTGACCGGTGCTATCATCTGCAGTCCGATATGCTGATCCAGGCTGTGGACAATCTCCTCGTGCAGCGCCCACTCCAGCGAGGTGGACACGTTGCGCTTATCCACAATCTCGACGAGGGGCCGCTGCATCGGGTAGCTGTACGGGCAGGTGAACAGCAGCTGCATGGCAATGCCCGCCCACTTGCCCACCTCGTAGTTGATGGTCGACAGAGGCACCTTGACGCGCAGTCGGGGACGGCGGGCCAGCACCACATACGGCAAGCCCAGATAGTGCAACGTCTGCACCTCGTTCTCCTGCAGTTCCCTGCAGAATTGTACGGCCTTCTCTGGGTTCCACATCTCGACACTGCCATCTGCTCCAGAGCTTGCGGAAGTTCCTGAAGAATCCCCACTTCTGATAGGCCCAACAGCTTCGACATTCTCGATGGGCTCGCCAGCCCCCGATCCTCCGCCCACAGCTCTGCGTGACATCCTTTTGGCAAAATTTCGAATTTCGAATTTTGTGTTGTGTTTTTTTTTTTTTGGTTTGTTTTCTAATTTATTTTATTGTTGACTGTTTTGAGGTCTGGTTGGCTTTGCCCACACCCTGAGAAATGTTTGTGAAATGTAATGCCAGGGTAAGTAGACACAAAATTTCATAAGCCGAGATTTGCATAGTCTCCCCCATCACAGGGAGGGGAGGGCGGTAGTCCTCCTTATCATCAGACTAGGAATCTCAAATGAAATGGGACACTGCCAGACGACGACTGAATGCTCTTCGAGGGGGCAGCGGGGCCTGCTGTTCCCTGCTGTTCCTTGCTGTTCCCTGCTGCCAATCCAATCTCATATTTAAGCTATCAAATATATGTACGTATGCCCAAAGTATTTGCACCGCAAATTGCGTTTGTTCCTTTGGCTGATTTGATTAGCCTAGATTTGCAGCTGCTGCTGCTGGTCCGTCTCCGAGCTATGCAAATTAGTTGTGTGATTATCGCGAAAATTGGCAAAAACACCAAAGACGAAACCCACCACCGGGCGGCCGGGCCCCAATAGTTTTACGTGGAGTCGGACGTGCGTGAGAATTTTCCTTTTCCTTTTGGCTTTGGCTGGGGTTGGGGTTGCACTTGGGAAATCTTCCACGCATATGAGTAACATTTTTTATTAGCATAGGAAAATTTGCATTTTAAAGCAGTTGCCGCCACGTGAACCTCAGCCAGGAAAGGGGAGTGTTCAAGTGGGTGGGAATGGATCTTTGATTAGATCTTTGCCGCATGGGTGTGCCTTTGATTTTACGCCCTGATGCCCCCCCCCCATCGATGAGTTTGGCGGGGGGAAGTCTGTTAATGAGGGAAGATGTATGTATGAGCCGAGCGAAGCTGCAACAGGAGGACCATTCCTCATGCTGTCAATCAAGTTTCAATAAACCATTCTGCCATTCGGACTTTCCATCTTTATTAGTGGCAGGATGACGCCAGAGCCGCATCGAACTCACTCAAACATGTTGCATTGCCCCTACAACAGCGAGCCGAAGCTAGGCACTCACCACCCACTTCCGCCCATCCACAGCCGAGAGAGGTCTCGGATATCGACTCTCGTTGGTTGGCTGCCTGTTGGCTGCCTGTCTTTCTCTCTCTCTCTCCCTATGTGGGCTACATTTGTATGTGTCAGGTGGCTCCTACCCACCCAGGGCACTGCTCTGGCAACGCCCCGGAACGTGACCGAATCGCATTGGAGGCGGGCACCCGCCACAGATGGCTGAAGTTGGCCGAGGCATCAGGCCACGTTGCAACGGACTGCGACTTCACACTGCAGGAGGATTTTCCCTCAATCTCAATTTTTCCTTTGAATCCATATTGACTTTTACCCAACTCCAACCCCAACCCCAACAGTGATTGGCCCCGCCAGCAATGGTGACTGGCGACTCTGACTCTGCTCTGTCTGGCGCTGGAGTCTTGGGAGGGCATTGTTTTCGGATCGGAGGAGGCATTCCTGCCGCTTGTGGAAACTTTGAAGCACTTGTTTACGATCTGGAGTGCATTTGCTTGGGCGGCGCTGGCTGCTGTCATAATTTGGGGCGCCCCCAACGATGGGGATCTCGGCAAGTGTGAAAAGTTTTCCACTTGAGTGTGCGGCGGCGACGGCGACGGCGAAGGCGAATCTCAGCTGCTAAGTTCCTTGGTTATGCTAATGAGGCAAACTTTTCCACTTCGATTTCTAGCTGCTAGTTGGTGTCTTTAATTGAAAGTCCGTCCGCTGGCTGGCTCTAAGGTGGCTCTGCTCTTGTGATTGTCTGCTTGAAGTACTCCGCAGATGAGAGGTGCACCAAGGTCAGACCCCACCCAGGGCCCAGGCCACAGGGCCACACCCCACCCCCACTTCCTCTGTGTCGAACAAGCAAATCATATTTAGCGACCCGAACTGAAGCGATAAGATAGCATCTGGCAGCTCCATCAAGGTTATAAGAGCGTCGAATGGCCGCAGAGGCGAAGAATTCAGGTGGCTCCCCCCCCAGCATGAAGTGTTCTACTCTCCTCTTAGTCAGTGTGCTGCTGTGCACGGCGGCACTGCTCAGCGTTGCCCAGAAGCAGTCCGGCAAGTCCAAGGCCAAGAAGCTGAAGAACAAGCCGAAGGCACCCGTTCAGCCGGAGGAGGAGCTGCTGCTCCTGCCCAAGGCGGAGAATTGCAAGGCAGCCAACTGCAAGCTGCCCGACTGCCGCTGCTCGGACACCATCCTGCCGCGCTCCAAGTTCCAGGGCAAAGAGAACGAGATACCCCAGGTGAGAATGGAGGTTGACTCTGGACTCTGCACTCCCGACTGACTGTTCGCCTCCACACAGTTTGTGACAATCACCTTCGACGATGCCGTGAATGCCGTGAACTACGCCCAATACGAGCTGCTCTTCAGTGGGCTGACCAATCCGGATGGCTGCATGGCCAGCGGCACCTTCTTCCTGTCGCACGAGTACACGGACTATGTCCGCGTGAATGCCTTGTATCGGGCTGGCCACGAGATCGCCCTGCATTCGGTCACCCACGGCGATGGGACGGACTACTGGCGCGCGGCGGATGTGGCCACCATTGAGCAGGAGTTCGGGGACCAGCTGCAGATGCTGGCGGCCTTCGCCAAGGTGGATCCCAAGAGTGTGCAGGGCATGCGTCTGCCCTTCCTCCAGATATCGGGCAACAACAGCTTTGCGGCCGCCCAGCGGCTGGGCCTGAGCTACGACAGCTCCTGGCCGACGCAGCAGTTCAAGGAGCCGGCCATGTGGCCCTATACCCTGGACTATCGCTCCAAGCAGGACTGCCAGATTGGCCCCTGTCCGGATGCTTCGATTCCTGGCTTTTGGGTCAATCCAATGGTGACGTGGACGGACACCGAGGGCTACAGCTGCTCCATGATCGATGCCTGCGTCTATCCGCCCCAGGACAAGGTCGACGCTCTCTTCGACTGGATGCTGGAGAACTTCAACCGCCACTACGAGGGCAATCGCGCCCCCTTCGGCATGTACCTGCATGCGGCTTGGTTCTCACGCGGCCGCAACTACTTTGCCGCCTTCAAGAAGTACGTTGACACATAGCTGGAAAGTATTTCAGAGATCTCTTTAACATCGTCTCCTCCACTTTAAAGATTCATTCACCATTTGAACACCTATCCGGATGTCTATCTGACCGGCATATCGCGCATGCTGGAGTACGTGAAGAAGCCCGTGCTCGGTGCTCCGTTCAAGGGCTGCCCCGCCATGCCAGAGGCCGCCTGCCATGCGGTCCAGTGCCACGTCCAGAAGGTGTCCACCGGCGAGGAGCGCTACATGAATGTCTGCGACAAGTGCCCGGCTGTCTATCCCTGGCTGGGAAATCCCTTAGGGCAGCAGCAGCAGCTGTAGGGAGCGGAGCCAAGCCGCCTTCCCTTTCACTCCCCAATAAAGTGCACGAAATAATGAAGCTGCCATGTCCTGGGTCGGTTCTGGGTCCGGGTCCGGGTCTGGGTCTGGGTCTGGAGGGGCAGCAACATTCCACACATGATCTGCGAGGCAATTTCCAGTTGATGTCGTTGCACCAACCACGAACATTGCTGATAAATGACTCTAAATTATGCTGCCGGCCGTGAGGCGTCTAATTAACTCATTCAGGGCAGGCACTTCCCCTTGCCCATCGCCTCTCTTACCAGCTTGCGGTGTCTGTGTGCTGGCCTAAGTGTAGCCATATTTTGTGGCAGCATCACGAATTAATACAACACCACCAACAGCCGCACAATGTGCTGGGATGGGTTGGGTTGGGCTGCGCTGGTCTGTGCTGCGCTGCGCTGGTCTCCTCTATTTAGTCGTCTCCCTGCAGCTGCTACCTGTAAATGACATCGGCTCGGGCACGTCTACACAAGCGGCTGCATCGACATGTGTCCAGCAGCCGCTCCACCACCACAGCCCATCAGTTGGCTTGCATTTTTGTTAATGGACCTCTAACTAATGACAGCCCTTGGCTGCATATCAGTCCGCTGTCGTCCCCCACATTGCGGTGACCATTGGAAATTATGTATGCGGTTAGCCGAGCTTCCGCCTGCCTCTCCCTCTCTCTCTCTCTCTGGGTAATGTTAAGTGGGCAGAGTGGGCGAGAGGCGAGAGACGAGACACAGGTTAGACTTGTGGCTGACCGCAACATATTGGCTGAGGCCACAGAAGGATGGGCAATCGCAGGTCCTCCCCCCTTTTACCTTTATGCAGATGGCTGTTCTGGGAATAACCGTGGGCAGGGCTACTCTCAGGCAAAGAGTTTGCCAGCTTTGCCTACACTCTAGTTAAAGCCTCTCCTATTCCTTGTGTGTCCCTTAAGATTTATTAACATTTTCGTACACATTCACATTGACACGCTTATGACAATGTTTATTGGCCAGGACATAGCCGTGCGGACAGTTGGCCTCCAGGATGTTGTACGGCTGCACCTGCATCGTTCCATTTGGACTCCATTTTGGCAGCTCCATGGGGGTCAGTGCATTGAATTGGGTTGCATTGAGGTCAACCGTTTGGGCCTCGACAATTTCGCTGTCCGTGGCTGCAGTGCCGCCCAGGAGGCCCACAAGCAGCAGCAGCAGCGGCAGCAGCGGCAACCGCAGACGATGTAACACGAGCCCATTGTGATTGATGGCCACGAATTGGTCTCGACGAGGGTCCAAGTTTAACTGAGTCGAAATCAATGGCAGCAGTTGACCATTATGCCTACGCCGTCCCAAGACCAAGACCAAGACCACTGACAATTGTGAAAGCAGTCGGTGGCTTATAAGGCAGCTGGATGGACACAAGGGCTCTTGAGACGATGATGAAACTGTTTCATGCGAAGGTTGCCCCAAAAGTAGATCGGAACTGCTTTGATTTCTATTCAATGTGCAATTTCCACGACTGCCAAACCAAAAGTAAGTGAAATAATAAGCAAACAATAAGCAGACAGCAACAATCAATGCGTCGGAGGGGAAGGGAAGGGCTTTTATGAAAATGAAGAAAATGCTTGAGAAAATCGCAACAAAAAGTGCGCAAATATTTGCTGATTACTTTTCGAAAGTTGCACTGATTAACAGCACGGCCAGACTGTTGTCCTTTTGCCAGCAGCATCTTCATTATCTTCTTGCCTCCCCCACCGCCACCCCCTGAAAATACCTCTTGCCACCACCCAAAGAAAATCTCCCACTTGTTTAGCATAAATTTTGCATTCGCCTCTGGGCGGGGAAAAGGTTTTGTCGTAAATAAATGACTCTACCGAGCCTGGGCCTTGGCCCCAGCTGTCTGAGACCCAAACAGGCATTATTTTAATGTTTTTTTATATGCAGCACGGAAAGGAAAAGGTTTCCAGTATTTAACCCAAGGTTGTGCCCACTCCCTCCCTCCCTCCCTCCCTCACGCCTAACACACAACAAATGACATTTTTATGTTTCAATTTTCGTTTGCCTCTCATTTTACTTCGCGAAAATTATGCCCAGCCGCCCGTCTCTCCCCTGTCGCACTGTCGCAGTGATGATGATGCTGATGAGGGGGATGTGTTGGTGTTGCGGTGCTCCTTATGAGGTTTTGGTGGTTGGCAATAGAATTGTGCAAATTATTGGCCCAAATTGGTGACATTTATTAGGCAGGTTTCAGGTTACTTCATAAAAAGCCACTTAGGGGATGAGATACCGATGCCATATGTGTGTACCCTTAGCTGGCGGGGGCCAAGCTTCTCCTCGTAATGCTGCCATCCAATCATAGCTGGTAGTTCGGTAAAAGAGTATGCAAATGTGTACTTGGTATTGATATTCGTTGGATATTTATTCATTCATTCATTGAATACCATCCAACGACTTCCTGATTTGCCCCTAACCTTTCTTTGGGGTGCAATAATCTTTTCACCAGATCGACTGAATCCATTATCTCATTGTCGCGAATGCGAAGCTCACCTGAAGCCTTGAAATTAATTCGCAATTCGCTTTTCGCATTTCGAGTGCAGTTCCGAGCTTGCGGTTAATCGGACCGACTCGAGACTGCTCTCGCGCTCAGTATTATACACAATTTCAATTATGCAAGAGTTTTATTTTATTTACTTAGTTGCCATGTTTCCCACCTTATCGCCAAACAGCTGGTAGAACTTACAAGCAAACAAAGCAGGTCACAGGCGAGTGCGAGTGGGACTCCGACTGGGACTGAGACTGAGACTGGGCTGCTCTCTGGGGCAGACTTTGGGGTAGACTCAGTCTCGAGTGCGAAACTGGCTGGCGTGAACGTGTTTGCTGGGATTTGGATTGCAAAAAAAAAAAAAGAGCGAGGCAAACATTTTAACGATGCCAATTAAACGGATGCTTCCCGTGCCGCTGTTGCTGGTTGTCTTGTTGTGGCTGGCGCTGGCGCTGGATCCGAGTGAGGCGAGACGAGTGGCCACCGATCGCGTCGTAGTCTATCCCACTGATCGTGCACCAAATGCAACGGAGACCGGTCCCAAGCCTTGGGATCCGCTGCCCGAGATGAATCCAAGCAGCAGGCTCAGCAACGGAACTAAATCGAATGAAGTGCAACCCGGAAAGTGAAATTAAAGGCTGGGCAGGGCTGCCGGGAAGCGGAAATAAAACCCTAGCAGAGCCAATCCGAGACGATATCACAAGTGAGAAGATTTCTGTTCTCACGAATGCAACAACAGAAATGACTGCGAATGCAACACGTCCCAGGAGTGAGGATAAAATGATTGCATTTGGAGCCGATGCAAAGATCGGAGCTGGCAATCGAACGGAATTGACAATGGCTCAGCCAGGGAGTATCCCAATCGGACCACGGATTACCCTCGAAAGCATTCGCATCTGTCCGGAGGGATTCACGCTGAGCAACGACCATTGCCGCAAGAGTGCCTAAATGCAAGTGAAAAATTTGTAAATAAATATTATGTGAAATTGTAACACCAATTAAAAAGCAAAGAAATTATTTTTAGAATGGACTCAGGGGCTTATCCCCCCGAACAGGTAATTCCAAAAACTTTACACATTGCAGCGCGATGATTGGACAACGTTTAAACATTATTTAAACAAATAAAATGATTGAAATCGTATGCTCGTAGTTTCGCTTTTCGACCCACTGTATCCGTTGTGAGCTTTGCTGCTTTGTTTACCTTTTTTGTGGGAGAGTAAATGAGCTTTTGCCTCCTCTCCCTCTTCATCGCGCGCGCTGGCAAGCAACTTCGACTTCATTGTGGGCTTTGTGTGTGCTGCTCCATTCTTATCGCCATCGCATATCTATAGCTGTTGTTTCCGTGCGAAAGATGATCATCAGCATTTTATTATACTGGCGCCGAACAGATTCCACACACTCTCCGGTTTTCGGTCAGTCTCGAAAGCTCCGTTGAAGCGACCAAACGCCTCCGCTCTTCCGCTCTTCAGCAGCCAAAATCCAAATGAAAACTGCAAACAGATCTGCGCTTTTGCTCTGGTGTCTGGTGGCATGCCGCTTGTGTGGCAGTGGCACCGAGGCCAGAACGCGGCCCTGCATCGATGATCGCATTGTGTTTCCGCGTGACAACGACGAATCCGCAGCCAGCAAGGTGCCGGCATGGATAGTGACAACAGCAGCCACAGCCGCCATAGCGACACCTAACGCTGACACCACAGAGCAGACCACGGATCGATCCGAAGACGCCCTCAATGGCACTGCGACAACCACTGTCCCCACCATAGTCAATCGGATACTGGTGGAGACGCTGCCGCGCTGTAAATCGGGCTTTGAGCTGCGTGCGAATCGCTGTCGAAAGTCGGCTTAAGCCAGGCGGGAGGGACTCTATCTATGGTGTCGTATCGTCTCGTCTCGTCTCGTCTCCCATTGTGTAGTCTCTACGATTCGATGTTAGTCAATAAAGTGATATATGAATAGCCCTATTTCGCAGCTTTGTCTGACTTGTAAGCGATGAGTTTTCGCCGATTTGGCAACTGTTTGGGGCGATTCCAAACTAAAACAAAACACACAAAAAAAAAAAAAAACTACCTGAAAAAATCCCACTCGATGCCGGTCACGTTAGTTTTAATGGGGGAGAAACTATGGAAGGGTAGCCGTAGCTTGTGTGAAGGTAATTACATTGTTTGCAGTGCTTGCCACATCCCCCTACCCCCGGCATGACTCAAACCAGCTCCCAGGCCCGACTTGCTTCTACTTGTTGTGATGTCTATTCCCTCTCTCCCTCTCAATCGATTAATTCCCTATCTGATGTCATGAACTCCCGGTTCACAGCCTTCTCTCGCTTATCAGCAGCTGAGCAGCCGAGCAGCGATCAATACGAAAATATTTATTTCAGCTTCATTAATCTACGAGTCGAAGAGCGATCATCAGTCTCATTTGACTTTTCCACACAAGAGGGAGGACTCGGGCTCGATTCGAGAATGTTTTCCAAACACTTATCGCTGGGACTGTGTCTGGGTCTGGGTCTGGGGCTCATCGTGCTATGTGCGCACTTGGCCAGCGCCCGTCCCCAGAATCCCTATTACGTGGAGAGCGGCGAGGGCGGCTATGGACACTCCAAACGGTAGGTCATCCCACAGACAGTCTGTCAGTCTGTTGCTAGCAAAACTTTTGACGTGTTTTCCAGGCACCAACATCACCATAATATGCGTGGCCATGGATCTGGTCCGGGATACTCTGGAGGATATGGGCCGCCGCCTGCAGCACCGCCACACCCACACCCAGGATTTGGTGGAAGCCTCAGCCTACCACAGACTCAGCCCGGTCTAGGTGCACGGTATCCGCCCCACTTTGATCCCTATAACCAACAGCCTGGCGGTGGGTTCCGCGGACAGCAGCCCGGAAGCCACTTCCCTGGGCGACAGCCTGGTGGGGACTTCGACAGAGGACAGTCTGGATTCCAACAGCCAGGTGGTTTCCAGGGTCAAGGTCAAGGAGGATTTCGTCAGCAGGGACAAGGTCAAGAAGGTTTCCAGCGGCCAGGACTAGGACAAGGAGGATTTCACCGGCATGGACAGGGACAAGGAGGATTTCGTCAGCCGGGACAGGGTCAAGGAGGATTCCAGCAGCCAGGACAGGGACAAGGAGGATTCCAGCAGCCAGGACAGGGACAAGGAGGATTCCAGCAGCCAGGACAGGGACAAGGAGGATTCCAGCAGCCAGGACTAGGACAAGGAGGATTCCAGCAGCCAGGACAGGCACAAGGAGGATTCCAGCAGCCAGGACAGGGACAAGGAGGATTCCAGCAGCCTGGACAGGGACAAGGAGGATTCCAGCAGCCAGGACAGGCACAAGGAGGATTCCAGCAGCCAGGTGAAGGAGGATTCCGTCAGCCGGTTGCCAAACAACCAGAACAGCCAGACAGCTCTGGCAATACTCTGTCAAATCAGGACCAGGGCTTCCAGCAGCCCAACGTTGGGGGCAATCCTATCCAGCCTCGTCCAGGCCAGGGCCAGGGCCAGCAGCGGGTTTCCAGCAGCCAGGCATCGGCGGCACTGCCAATCCCATCCAACCTCGTCCAGGCACCGACAACGAAGATTTCTCCGAGTTCAACTTCCAGACACCCAACACGCTCCAGCCGCGACCAGGTCAAGGTCAACAGCAGCCCGGTCAGGGGGTTGGTAGCACCATTCAGCCCCTTCCAGGAGGTGCCTCAGCCCGAACTGATGATGGCGACGATGCGCTGAAGGATATTTTCAACACGCACGACTTTCTGTCGCCCAGCCTGAAAGAAGGAGGCGGCTACAGGGATCCCAAGTCGGAAGCCGTACCGATGTCCGTTGGCCAGCGCAATCTCTTCAATACGGATCCCATTTGCACGGACGGCACCGTTCTGATGGCGGGACGTTGCCGCAAAGCGGCCTAAAGCCCAGTCACCATTTATTTCCATTAATGCATCATCAAGTTTTCCTCTTTCACAATAAATTCGGCTCAATTACCAGTAATCGAAATAACAGATAGGGAAAATGAGAGTACACTCGGTTGCTCATAGTGCCGATAAGATCGCTATCTAATCAAGGAGAAAAACATTGAAATTTGAGGCCCTTCAATGGGTTGGCGAAGGGGGGGTTTCAGGAACACAGGAACATCAAGTGCGTCATGAGATTGAGATTAGCAATGTAATCAATTACCAATACCTGGAACGGAACGGTACGCTACGGAACCCAGTGAAAATGATACAACAATATCAGTATCGTTTGTCAATTTAAAGGGGAGCACATTCGAGTGAAGCCACGCTGGCGATCAGTGTCATAATTCCCCAACGAGTACGTTGCACACAAGCCCCCGCTGTCCACTGCCAGCTGTCTACTGTACCCTGGAGTGATGTGCTCCAGATAAGAGCTGCACCCTCAGGTCGTCTATTTAAAAGAAACTACGCATTCTGTGAGCAGCTAGTCTAGCACTCACTGGATTCGAATTTCGAATATAGATCGCTGGCGCCGTGTGTAGCAGACCAAAAATGAAGCTCGTCAGTGGAAAAATGCTGCTGATTTCATTGGCATTCCTGTGGCTTCTCTGCACAGTCCGCCCAGCCTTGGCCAGATGCCCCAAAGGTTACTACATCTTCGTTGGGCGATGCAGGAGGCCAGCCTAAGGGCCGGCAGCTCGATCAACTACTAGGATTAACACGTGTTGTACATAGTATATTTAACATTGAGGTAAAAAAACAAAGTTTAAGGCACGTATTCGTCAGCTAAATAAACACATCAGACTCAGTACCTCCTGCAGCGGGCAGAAATTTTCGTTGATTCCGTTGCATTTGCTCAGACCTCGAGGCGGCAACGCTGATTGGGACCTGTTGCCACATGTCCGGGCTTGCAGTTGGGTGGCAGGTCGAACAGGCTCACCGTACTAATGCCCGAAAAGTTGCCCGGAATGGGCTCGTTGATGGGTGTGGGCGTGGCCTGCACACTGCTGGGTGTCGTCGTTGTTTGCCCGCGGCTGGACTTTTGCGTAAGACGTCCGAGGATGGTTTTGCGTGTAGTATGCTCCTGGATGTGTCTGGCCGTGGTATGCTCGTGGACGGCCTTGTGTGTGGCATGCTCGTGGACGGCCTTGTGTGTGGTATGCTCGTGGACGGCTTTGTGTGTGGTATGCTCGTGCCTGGGCATGGTCTGGCCCCACTGCCAACTCAGCATCAGCAGCCCAAAGATCAGCAGCAATCTTGATAGCATTTTCGAACGTCAGACAACTATGGCACAACTATGGCACGAGTATTACCGTCCTCGGGCTTCAGATCTGCGGTACTAAACCGTGCTTAGACACAGCAGCTAAGCTAATCAGCTTCGCAGTGTCTGAAGCTCTCTCCAGATGAGCATGAGCATGAGCATTAGCACGAGCTTTGAATGAGTTCTCGGTCGAAAAACACCTTTTGTCGCTTCCCAATGGGCAGGGGCCATCCTCTTCGCTTCGTTTTTTTTCACAGATGTTTTTTTGTGATTCAGAATAGAAAACATTTACAACCCAAACAATTGGGTCTTACCTCAGTGAAGGGTACAAAAATTCAACAATAAAATTGTACATATGGGCAGTTCCTATCTGGCGTTACGTTACATTCGTACGACAGAATGTTGAAAAAAATAGTCAAAAAGCTGAAATTTGGAAAAAAGATTATCCTCGTTGAATATAATTTGGTTGGACCTATATTCACCAGAAAAATGGAAATAATCGAGCGTACGGTTTTAAAGATATAAGCCAAAGTATGACCTAAAAGTGCGTTACATAAAACAGAAGTGGTTTTCGAGGTTGGGGTACAAAATGGCAAAACTCTGCGAATTGGATAGGGCTATCTGTATAACATTTTTTGTGCTAATAAATGAAGTATTGAGAGTTAATTTTCAAACTTATTAAATGTAAAAACTTTTCCTGTTTTTTTGTTAAAAATCCGCGGAGGCATCTGGCGAACGTTACTGGCGTGACGTTACCAAATTCCGCGATTATAAAAGCCTAAAAATATACTGTTAGCCGAGGTTGGACCAATGTTCTGATAATGATTTTAGGTAGTTTAATATGTTAAAAAGACTTTAAGGACAAACTTTTATCAAGAATCATCTTCTTCCTAGGAGATAATAGTAAAAGAAAACATGTCTATAAAAATACCAGAAAATACCAAAAACGTGAACTTTTGCTTATTTTCATAGGTTTTAGGATGAAAGTTAATGAAATTATATGTGAATAAAGTAAATTAGTTACCTTTCAATAAATTTAGAAAAAAATACCCGGACAAAATTATATGGAAATCGGTTTTTATTGACTTTTTATGATTTTTGGCCTGGTGGACCTTTTGGCGGAACTGCCCATATTGTACTTTAATATTATGATTATAAATTATAAAACCGGTTAAATCAGAATTGATAGAACTGCAAGGGAATTTCTTTCTCACTGTACAATTGAATTTATTAAACTATTATTACTTTTTACGGCACAGCGAACAGCGACTGTTTAATATTTATGGGCACACTCGCTTTTATTTTAGAAGCAGCTAGAAAACAGAGTTTTGAGCACGTCTCCATCTGGTTGGTAAGTACTTGTCTGACGCGTACATTCCGCAGCTGTGGTAGCTGCTAGCAGACTCATTTGCTATAATTAAGTACTTTAGATTTGTCGATCGGCTGGGACACTTTAACAACGTCAGGCCTGGTGGCGACATCTGTGATGGGGACCAGTGGCCACCTCGCCGGGCTTGCAGTTGGGCGGCAGGTCAAAGATGCTCTGCACTGACGGGTTTTGCCCGTTTTGGGCGGGTGGCGGTGCTGGAACTTGCCCGCTGTTGCGGCTGGGCATGGTTTGCGCCCACTGCCAGCTCATCAGCAGAAATCCAAAGATCAGCAGCCACTTCGATAGCATTTCGAAGTATCAGAATCCCTTTTCTAAGTAGAATACACTGGTCTCGGCCTCCAGAGCTGAGGTACTAAGCCAAGTTTAGAAAACACACACAGAGTTCGGCTCTTAAGAAGCTTTTGTGTGCGGCCAAAAGCTTTTGTTGTGGACAGCTTTGCTGCCACAGAGATCGAGAGCGGAAAAGCTTCTGGCAATTTGTTTGTCTCTCAACGCAAATTCAACAATTTTTTTTCTTTCTGTTAATTGTTCTTCTTGTTTACTGTTATCATCACATATCAATTCACATTTATCAAGAGTTTTGTTTGGCATTTAGGTTACGTCACAGGTCACTTCTGCTCGATGGCTGCCCGCAAGCGTTCATGTTGGGCAGCGGCTGTGGCCGCCGCCGCATTGCTGGACTCCGCTGATCGATTCACCGCATTCCATCCCACCCAGCAGACGGTGTGCAGCACCAGGACAGCAATCCCAATGCGCACCAGTGGCTTGTATTTGAAGGTCTTTATGGTGCCGTTCTTGCTGTTGTTCTCCATGCTGCCAAAAAAAACAAACTAATCTGGAGCGCCAGCCAGCTGATGGCACGTGGGGAGAGAGAGAGAGAGAGCAAAAGCTTGCCAAAGCTCTCTCTCACACGCAGGGCTGGGCGATCGCTGTCGATCCAATGGAACTAGCACCGGAATCGTTCAGTTCTTGGGATTTATTTTTAGTGGAATTTTCCTTGGTTAAAACCAAGTCAAAAAAGTATCTCGTTGCGTCTTTTCTGTCTTCTCTTTTGACGCATGTCTGCAGCCACAAAACTTTTGCCAACAAGCAAAAAAAAAAAAACAAAAACAAAAAGCCACCTGACACAAAAGCAAATGGGAGGGAGAACCAGGTAGAAAAGTTTAAAGAAAGGCAGTCGAATGTGGAAATACCCTTGCCGACCAGTCGTACGTACCAATGGCAGTTTAATGTCCTTTTGGGATGGGTCGTTTCAACTTCCTGCCGTAAGCAGCTCGCCGAGCGGCAGCATTGCGAACTTCTGGTCAAAATGATAATACTCAGTCCAAGGGGGCAACACTTCACCATCAAATGGCACACAATACGCTCATATTACAACCCGAAGGAGTCGCTCCAAAGGATCAGAAGCACATCGTGGGAGTGGGACTGGGACTGGATATGTGTGTGGCAGGGTGTGAATGCCCCTGGCCAGGTGAAAGATTGAAGCTGCAGGCGCCAGGAATTAGCATGTTATGTTCAACGCATTTTTGCACCTTCGGCATCTGTGTGGGGCGGAGCCCCAGGGCTCTACTTTCCATGACTTCCGAATGGGTGTGGGGCGGTGCGGGTGGGGGTCTGCCCCCAGCAACACATGTGCAAACAAGACGTTGCCTTTAACCCGTTGTGGCTTATCCTTGCGGACCACAGAGGAGCAGCAGCAGCAGCAGCAGCAACAAACAGGAAAAGGAATAAGAGCAGGAGTCGAGAATTTTCCACACATTTAATCGCATTTTGTTGTGCTCTCCATGTGAGTGTCTGTGTGTGGTGGGGAGGGGGCTGAAATTGTTGAAAAGCTCACATGAATTTTAAACTGCGGTTACTCCCAGCCGCAAAAGGAGTTTTGGGCTGGGTTGGTGTTCGGGGGGATGGGGCCTGGGGACTAGGCGGCAGAGCAGGCTTAGGATGCGGGTCTTTGAGCAGCTTACGTGTGAGTGCCATTGAATAATGCAGCTCTGTGCAGCCGGGCCACCGACTCCAACGAGCTGGCAACAAATTAAATTGAATTTCAGCTGCGACATTTAAAAATTTCATGAGCACTTCCCAGCCCATTTTTCGGTTGGAAAGGGGGCCGTTCCTTCCCCCCTGCCGTTTCCGCCATTTTCGGGCCCCATTCTCGGGAAAACCTCTTGCAGGGCTCATTAAATAGATGCCCGGTACGTGCTTCCATTTTGGGGCACATTTCATTAAGTGCACGTAAACGGCAGGCTGTCAACTAGCTGTGGGCGTGTCCTGCGCGCCAATCCTCGCTCCATCGCTCCGTTGCTCACACAGACGACACATGGGTAATTCTCAACGTAAACACTTTGGGAGAACATGTCGCAAAGACATCAATTACAGCATCAGCCGCATTGGCATCGGCATCAGCATCAGCAGCAGCAACAGCATCATCATCGATTGGCCCACAGATGATGATGATGTCAGTTTTTGGCCCCTAGGTGAAACTGCTGTCTCCTGCTGTGCTTGCTCCTTTCGGCCCCACCGCCACCACTTCACTATCCTTTAGCGACCTCACTTAACCGCATTTCAAATGTATTTTTATGTAAGCACTCAAAAAATACGACAATTCCAGGGAGGACTGAGCGGGGAAATACAGTGCGTGGCAAAGGTATATGTTGTGGAAGGGAAAACGGATGCTGCTATGATAAATATTTGTATGCCGCTTTAGAGCTCTGAAACGCACTGTACCATAGCTGGTACTCTAGAATTTGCTTTGCATTGCTTAAATAAATTTCCAGTACGTGTTGTGTCGTGTTTGACTACAGCAAGTCACAGGAAGCCGCCGCCCGAGTCAGCCCAAGTGGGACAGGTGGACACAACTAGGCACCACTTAATTGTTGTTGCGTGCAGCATTAAAGTTTCTCAAATATTTATGCACCACATGGTTGGGTGGTGGTGGGGGGTGGAACCCACTTCACAACTAAAGTTCTTCCAGGGCACTAACTCTCCAAGCATTTCCAAGTAGTCATCATCTCTACTAATTGAGATGGTTCCAACACTGAATTAAGCCAAAAATCACGCCCTCGCTCGAGGGTCATTCATGAGCAGCGCTAAGTAATTAGTGGAAGGACTTCACTCACTCCACTTCCTCCGCCCATTAGCAAACATTTTATTACAAATTTTCAGTTTTTTTCGTCGTCTTGAGCACGAAGCGCCCTCGAGAGAGCGGCGACAAAAAACCAAAATCTGCTTCTCACTCAAATGTTTTATAATGCAGATAGATGGGGGGCGAAATATGGACGACCCACCCACCCATTAACGGACTGACGGTGACTGTCAACGTGCAACAAAAACACTTCAAACTGGCAACAAACAGCGCGCGCCCGGCAGAAGGGCGCTTGCCACTCTCTCAATCTCAAGTGTTGTTTTAATTGCTTTACAAAGTAGAACAACAAAAAACATTGCCTGGGGAAAAGTTGGAAACACACAACGACAAGGCCGAAGTAATAATTCCAGCACTTGGATTCTCATTGTAATATGATTTTGTCAAATGTATTTTTTAAAAAGGGTAACACCACTCAGAATTCGTTCTATCCGTTTTACCGAGCGATCATCGAAGCTCTGCGCCCCGAACGACACGGACACCGAAGTGCCGCACCAAAAAGGGCGCTGGGCAAAACCTCACGCTGCCGAATAGGACGATTTAACTCATCAACGCGGGTGTGTTTGGCTTTCTATTTGTGCGAAAGTAAGTGAAGACTGACTACAGAAATGATCCTGTGAAGTATAGTCTTAACTTTTACATCCATAACCTGTGGATCTTCACCCGCCGCCAGCTAGAACCAGTTGGGAATTACAATAGCACCAGCAACGAAAACGAATAAACGACACTTGGTGATTACTATGTGCTGTTGCTAGGGACTGACTTATTGTGCGTGCGACCTCAGCGTTCTAAGATCAATGCTGATCGGTTCGCTATTTAGACTCTTGAAAGAGATTGAAAAATCAAATAAAATATAAATTCAACAAAAAGAGATTGTCACTTGGCAGCGGTGGGATTCGAACCCACGCCTCCGAGGAGACTGGTGCCTTAAACCAGCGCCTTAGACCGCTCGGCCACGCTACCATATTCTGCTTTAATGACAAATGCGTGTGAAGAACTTGTGGCAGCTGGCCGAGCATTATTTCGTTCAGCAGATAGATGTGTACTCACACGATTCGATTTTGTATCCAAGTTGTTCCACTATTTGTACGAACGCCGCGAGTCAGCGGCAACACCTTGATTTTATTTTTCCAACCACCCTGTGACGCATATAAATGCGCTCATTTGGGAAGATAGAAAATGGCAATCAAACGGAATCAATTTCTGACGCAAGCCTTCTGCCATTGCCATCTTTGCTGCTGGCTGCTGCATTAAAATGTTTATTATATTTTGCAAAACTGTCAGCATTTTCGCTTAGACAGCGGCGTCAGCTTAGAAATGCGTTTAAAATTCAAATGAAAATGCGAATTTATGCGTGACAGGCGGTTGGACGCCCATTCCATCCACACATGCAACCGCAGCAACAATTTGCCGACGCCCTGCTGCTGCAAGCCATAAACTGAAGCCGGTGGCAGGGTGCTCGAGCAGGAGTTGGGTATCTAGAAAAAGGAGAAGACTCCGACGGTACAAAACATCCGCAATGAAATTAGAAAATTGCAATAAAAATCTTTGCACGGTACGACAGGGAAAACAAAAACAAAGTCTGCGGTTGGCCAAAGGGTGCTCCAAGGACTGGGAAAACCCCAGAGAGGCAGGAGCACAGCAGCATTTGCGGTTTCATTAAAATGCCACCGAAAGGGAGCAAAAAGTCAGACGCCGCGTCAGCATAGAAAATATTTGCCACACGTGAATTTATACAAATTTAAGGCGTTCGCTCGGCCTGGAAATACGAGTAATTGTGAAATTGTTCAATCTCCATGCCAGAAGACCGTAGCAGGTAAAAAGCAAAAAATCACGTACAACCCAGGCGAACACGGACAACACCAGGTGGAAACGCTAATGGAGTTAATTGTGGGCATTATCAGGAATGCTGGGAATGGGGCTAGGTCTGGCATGGCCATGTCCAAATCAAATTAAACTTCAAACAATTGACAAATTGAAATACCAAGGACTGTTGTTGAACAATAGGCACATTCCAAACGGCTTGGCTCCTAGGTAGATGAGATGTCCACTTAATATGCCAGGCAGCAACGAGGGAAAATCTTAATGAATGACTCGACAAATAGTTTCGTCGACACCACAAAACGGGAAAATAGTTTAGGCACAACCGGACAAGAAATAACTAGAAACAAAAGAATGTATTTAAGCATTCAGAACATAAAGGAAATAAAGTTTCCACGTCTAAGATTTTAATTAAATCCAACAATCAGAACTGCAAAAAGGTTTGTTCTGTCTTACCAGCCATTTGGCGCATGTTCAAAATATGGTAGCGTGGCCGAGCGGTCTAAGGCGCTGGTTTAAGGCACCAGTCTCCTCGGAGGCGTGGGTTCGAATCCCACCGCTGCCAAGTGACAATCTCTTTTTGTTGAATTTCTATTTTATTTGATTTTTCAATCTCTTTCAAGAGTCTAAATAGCGAACTGATCTGCATTGATCTTAGAACGCTGAGGTCGCACGCACAATAAGTCAGCCCCTAGCAACATCACATAGTAATCACCACGTGTCGTTTATTCGTTTTCGTTGCTGGTGCTATTGTAATTCCCAACTGGTTCTAGCTGGCGGCGGGTGAAGATCCACAGGTTATGGATGTAAAAGTTAAGACTATACTTCACAGGATCATTTCTGTAGTCAGTCTTCACTTACTTTCGCACAAATAGAAAGCCAAACACACCCGCGTTGATGAGTTAAATCGTCCTATTCGGCAGCGTGAGGTTTTGCCCAGCGCCCTTTCTGGTGCGGCACTTCGGTGTCCGTGTCGTTCGGGGCGCAGAGCTTCGATGATCGCTCGGTAAAACGGATAGAACGAATTCTGAGTGGTGTTACCCTTTTTAAAAAATACATTTGACAAAATTAAATCTGTAAAGTCTGAATAAGACTTTTCATTCAAACTCTTTAGATTTTGAGTTTGGGAAATGCTTCCAAGAGTGCATTAAAACTTTGATGCAAAAAAAAAGCGTTATTCTTTGTGTGAACTTCTTATTTTGGGAAAAGCGCACTACACCGCTACAACTACACATTATTGGCAATATTTTATGAGCTTGCTAAGAACCAGCATTTTCTGTGTATCTCCCTCGGAGCACCTTTCCCCGATCCCCATGCTTTTGAAAAATTGGCATGTCGTTGCAACTTTTACCCGAGAGTAGTATAAGAAAAAATAAAATCTCTTGGCACATAAGTTTTGTGCACGTTAAGTACTTTTTCATAACCATCCTCCCGGAGCCGTTGCTGTTGTGTTGTCTGCTCTTGTACTGGGGGGGTAGGTACTGCGGGATGTACTCTTGTGCCTCCGGGGCGTAATATGCATATGCAACAACCGAAGGGATGGGTGGGGAGGGGCAGCAAATAATAGAGAATGGCAATAAAAAGTACGATACATATTGGACGAAAAGCAGCCAAAGAGAAACTTTAAATAGTTCCTGCCACTTTTCCAAGAGTTTTGCTGTGGGGAAGGGACAACTGCGCCAAATTACTTTTAGTGCTGGTTTTTTTTTTTCGTAGAGCTCTGGGTAATTTTTTATTCCGTTTTGTGCAAAAGTTTGTGGCACTAAATTAAGCGATTACAAATGGGAGTTTTTTGATAATAGAAATAATAAATTGATATCAAAAAAGTTACGAAAAAGTCAAGACTTTGAGTGGAAAACTGGAAAAAAAGGAGAAAAAATAGCTTTAATTTTAGCTTGATCCAGGCGGGATTTGAACCGTCGACCTTTAGATTCGTGGTCGGAATGGAAACCAGAGTACATGGTCCAAAAAGTATGCAGCAATTTTTTAAAGACTCTTGGGATGACTTTTTGGTTCGATTTCTTTAAAAACTCATTGTTTTGCCTAATTCTGATAAAGTTGCATGCATTCTTGCCCAGTTTTGAGTGGAAAGAACGTCTCATGGACTGAACCTTTGCTCCGACACTCGTCGGTCGGTGCTCTGAGGCTGAGCTGATTTGCTTGCTCCGCACGTAGCGTCATTTTTGACATTTAATTATGGTCGGTGCTGTTGCTGGCTGCCACTGTGCCCCACTCTGTCAGAGAGACTGAGAGAGAGAGTAAGCTGCAAACTCAATTCTTGCAAAAAAAAAGGTGATTCCATATTTCGCTTCTTGCGACTGACTCCAGCGGCGCGTGCTACGTGTGCATCTTGTACCTGTCTATTGTAGTTCCATATGCAAGCCACATGACCTGCCGCCTGGCCCCTGGACCCCTGGACCTCGTCCTAGCCCTAGTCCTCTTTCGATGGACGTGCGTTGTCAGAACTGCCGCTTCATTTTTTCTTCATAAAAATGGGTGTTTCCTTTTCCTCTTTTTCGGTAAGGGGCATTCTGTTGGACAACTTTGTGGGTCCGGGCAATTTATGGACAAAAAATAAAAAAAAGAAGAAAAAAACACAACAAAACGAGAAGAATGTGGCACGTGACGTGAAATAGCAAAGGATTTGCCAACGCCTGGAGTTGGGGACTGCACTGGACAATGGCGTCTAAATTAATTATCAGGGATAACAGCGTGAAAGGTTCAGCGACGCTGCATTGTCTCCTGGTTCCTAATTCAATTACGACAGCCCTCGGGACTGGCGGATGGGCTATGGAGTATGGGAATGGGGCAAATTAAAAAAGGCTTAGGCCAGAGTTAATACCGGCTTAAGCGCGGTAATTAAAAGCCAGAGCTGCAATTGCAATCGGGGAATGCCTCAACAACAGCTGCCATTCTGGTGGATACTTTTTCAACCCCCCTTTCGACGTGATGAAGGGGGGGTGGAGCAGAACTCCTTCCAATAAAAGTGCCCGCTAAAATCACGAACTGCAAATCTCTCGAGAATAATTTGAAACATAGAACAGGGCAGAAAGAAAAGCCGGAAGACGACGCAGCCGCCGCCGCCGCCGAATCCCTTCCACATTAAAATATGATGAGCTCGTGAAGGCAGCGCGGCCCAAATGAAAATGAAGTTAATAAAAATGCCGTAAAGGGAGAGTCGGGCAGGTACTCCTCAGTCCTCAGGTGTCTGCGCGAGATGCTGCTGGGAGTGGGAAATGGGAAGTGGGGAGGCTGTCCAAAAAATAATCAACATAAAAAAGAAAATTATTTGCAATATTATCAAGAGCTGCAAAAGCAAAACGGTAGTGGAAAGACAGTGGAAGTCAGAGAAACGAAATGAAAATTGTGAAAATAAAAATAAGACAGAAATGAAGTGAAACTATGGCTGGGGAGGGGAGTGCAGCCAGATCGAAATGGGAATAGTAAAGGAAATGGAAAACAACGAAACAGTAGCCGCAGCAAATACATTTTCTGAACAAGGGAAAATAACGGGGAAGCTCCTGCAAGATATTCGAAATAAAAATATAACATGAATATATTTTGGAAATTTAAAGTAAACATTTAAATTCCCTGCCACCACTTAAAACATGAAATATACACTGAAACTTCCTTATTCCTACCACTGTGCCAGTAATTCCCCTTTCGACAACAACTCCAGAACTCCAATTGCGGTTCCCGTTCCCGTTCGAGTTTTATAATTGGGGTTAGGACCGGCAATAAACAAGCGTCAGAAGACAGAGCCACAAAACTGAAATGCAAATTAAATTTGGTTTTAATCAAGCAGCGCCATGTCTTTCCCATGCGGGGGCCGAGCCCCAAGGCCGCGCTCAACAAGCAAATCAATTAAAGGGCTGCGCCCCACACCACTTGAGCCGAGAAAACAAAAGCCAAAAGTCAAAATACAAATGTTGTGAAGCCAAAACAAACTCAAACTCAAAATCACAAAACTCTAAATGGAAGCGCATGCGATGACCTCTAGAGACCAACATCGATGGGCCCCACTCGCAGACAATGGGACGACAGCCAATGCATTGGGTGAACAAAAGCCAGACCGAAACGTGATCATATTTCTCCCTCAATCTGCCGATCTGCCCACGAGCCACGAACCACAGCATTGTGCATTAGAAAAGCTGGGCCAACCGGTTGGGCCAACCGACCGACATGTGAGTTTTGGTCTTGCTCTTGGTCTTGGACTTGTCTTGGAGGCAGAGGCATCCATCAACTCTTGACAGAGCGATCGCAGATCAAGTTCAAAGTCATTTTCGGCAAATGGATAATGGTAATGTTGCTTCCGTTGCCGCTGGCGCTCAGATGAGCCGTATAAAAGCCGCGGATGCTGATCGATTCCACAGCACAACACATCTTCCGTTGATCGTCGCACAAACCACAGCCAGCAATCATGGTAGGTTGAACATCACTCTCCCATCATCATTCAAATAGATACTCTAATTGTTGGGTTAAATCATAGAAATTCCTGATCATTGCCGTTGCCTTCCTGGCCTGCGCCTTTGCCGATGTCTCGGAGCTGTCCGGATACGACTACCAGCAGCCAGAGCTGCCCGCTCCCGCTCCAGTGGAGACCTACATTCCGCCCGCACCCCCAGCACCCGAGTACATCCCACCCGCACCCGTCCAGGCCGAGCAGTCCGTGATCGAGGAGTACGAGCAGCCCGCCCAGGACGGATACCGTTACAAGACCGTGCGCCGTCGCGTCTTCCGTCACCGGGCCTAAGTCGGCAGGGGATTCCGATTGAGACCCTCATTGTTGGTTCTTCCTAAGATTTTGTTGTTGACTTGAGTGTCGGATTGACTGCCATCCACACAATCCACACTTTGATAGTAAAATTCGTCATTGAAAAGATATGTTTGTTGTCTTGCATTTACTTTGGTAATCATCAAAGTTTATAGAACAGGAAAATAAAGTAACAATAACTGAAATTTATGAGTGTTAAAGGAGAGTGACTAAAGGAACTTCTATTATGGTAATGGAGCTGAAATACCACATTGAAGATTCCGAAACAACAGTCACAGTTTGCGGATATTTTGTAGTGTCCCCACGATAACAGGCAGTTTCTCTTTATCAACAGGTTCCCATCGGCCCAGTTCAATTTCCAATGTCAAAGTCGTCGTTCAAGCGCATTTTCCACAGCCAGCAAAACCCTCTTCAACCCACACCCTGTACCCGTACTAGTACCAGTGGACCACAGAAAATCCTAAACAAACCGCCCAAGGCCAAACACATGTCCTGGCCACACAGGCATTCCGGCCAACCCCATCCGACTGGCAGTAAAAAGGTCAAACCAACGACTAGACCAATTTGACTTGGCCAAAAATTGCTGAAACATTCAATGAGCTGTTCCTCCGTCCCACCCAGCTCCGATTGAGGTCTGGGGCCAAAGCAAACAAATCTACGATTACAAAATCAAACAGTGGGCGGAACGGGCTGGGCGGGGTGGTGTGGCGGCACGGAAAACAAAAGATGGCGAAATGGAAAAAAATGTTTGCCCATATTGCAAAATGGGAAAATATGCGAATTCAATAAACTTGGCTAGGACAGAACCAGCCCACAACCCACACACCGCACACCACACACCCCTACTCGCCACACGCTCCCTTTACTCCTTACAAGTCATTTGGCCAATTGATGTTGACTCTGCGCTCCAAAGCGAATTTCCGTTGCGCCTCGGAGTGGAGTGGAGTGGAGTGGAGAGAGGAGAGGAGTCCTCGAGTCGAGTCTAGTCGAGTCGACTTGGGTTCACATATTTTGCACTCACTTTATGCTGATGACATGCAAGTGGCAAAAAGTATGTGGCCCGCCCTGGACCGGGCCAAAAGGCGAATAATGAGCTGCAAACAAGCTGTGAAAATCAGCCAGCGGTGCCTGGTCTGCAGCCCTCTGACTTCTTCTCTCTGTCTCTCTCAGGATACAAAAAAAAAACAACAAAAAAATAGAAGAAATGCGAAAGAAAATGCCGACCGACACCAGACAGCTCAGCGCAGCTCCCATTGCCGTCATCTTCTTTGTCGTGACATACGGAAAATTCCCCATGGAGTCTATCAACAGTTGATAAGGCAAAATGTGCGTGCAGGGGGCTGGGACCGGGATGGCATTCCTTCCTTTTTGGTATGTACATAAGTTTATTATTTTGAAGGTAATTGGATTTGTGTTGCAGCAGTCAAGAAGTCGCCAACGCCAACGCCAACGCCATGCCACCTCCCTAGCATCCCTAGCATCGCGTGTCCACTCGCCGCATATTCTGTGGCAGAATAATAAGAAAATATATAAAGTTTTTCCTCTCCTCACAACACACCACACCACACCACACAGACTCTGGTTCCTCCGGCAGGACAATGAACTGGCAGCGCGACAATCTCAACATATGCTCAATGCTTATGGCTGTGCCTCTGGCCAGGGAGTCCTGCTTTCCCATCCCGCCCCGCTCCGCTATAGTGGACGCTGGCCATTGTTTGCACTCGTAATTGTTTTCCTAATGGATAAAGTCTATAAATTTCTGTGCCCGTCGCCCAGCCAAATGCGAAATATGTCACGAATGTTAAGCGTTTTATAAACGACTGTGAACTGTGTGGAAATTGCACCCCAAAGGAATGCGCAGCATGTGGAGGAGGATTTATCGATGGTGGCCACTCAGCGGGACTGCATTGCAGTTGTGGCAGATGCACTTGCTGCCAATGAATCGTAAATTAAGATGTTGATGGAGCATTCCGTTTCCCTTGTTGTTGTGTTGGAAGTACAACACTCGTGGCAGAGCATTTTGCTTTAATAGATACGAGTATTTTCGCATATTCCATTGCTCATTTCTCTCGTTTGACTACACACCCGTAGAACTAACAGATCCATCCCGATTATTGAATATGGGAAAGGTGAGGCCATTGCCGCAGCTGCTGTAGATGGGCAGCGGCCACAGGTACCATCTGTAGCCAAATACCTCGCAGAAATTGGCACAGCGGCCCAGGCTGAAGTTTTTCCTGGTGCGGCCGGCCACACAGAATATGGGAGAATGGGCCGACTCCATGGTGGTGCGGTTCACGAGCACAAAGTAGATATGGATGCCGAGCATTATCAGCGCGGCGCTGCTGAATATCATGGCAAAGACCAAGGGGACCATGGTCAGCAGCGAGTCCATGGTCACATTGTCAAAGTCGAATCCCCACTCATGGTGGAGGTGGTGCAGCAGGGTGACTAGGATGTCCAGGCAGTAGAGCGAGGAGTAGAACAGGAACAGCACGAAGAACTTGTAGTTGTGGAAGTGCACACAGTTGTTCACCCAGGGGCAGTGGTGGTCCATCTTGAGGATGCACCGCTGACAGGTCCTGCAGTGGTGTGCGCGATCCGGCTTGATGATCCGGCAGTACGCACAGTACCGCACGACGCCGTTCTGATCGCACATGCTGATGGGCAAACTGCCAGCGACGGCCACCAGTATGCGCCGCCTCTCCACCAGGCCGTCGGCTCGCTGCAGTCGGCGCCAGTCGGCGTCCGGTATGCTCCACTCATCCGGAATGGGCACGACCCTCGTCCAAATGCTCCTCCAGTAGGTCCAAAGGAACATCACCAGCAGCAAGTGATACCAGAGCAGGAGGACACCCATGACGATATAATTTGTCATTTTCTGCAGGCACAAGTGCCACACATACACATAGTACGAATAGACTAGAATGGCGCCCATGAAGATCACCGGAATCCAGCGTAGAATTGACCCCAAACAGCCGCAGCATTTCCTCCTCTGGCGATGATCATCTTCGCGGTCCTCTGTTAAATAATCTAAAGCCCATTGGGTTACAATTGGCACTGGGTTTATCGGCAATGCTTGCGAGGGATTGCCGATCATCCTATAGATGGGTCAGTCAGTGTGTTTATTCCCTGCCCTGAACGTCATGATGTTTTGCTACACACACGAGTATATGCTGTACTCAAGCGTCGCCTACTTGTCAAATAAGTCCATTTAGCTGTTGCTTTTCATCGTTTATTTACACTCCTTCGAATCGAGTTCCATCTTCAAACAAAACATCAACAGATTCCACGGCAAAGGTGGGTTTGCCTTTGCCTTTGCTGTGGCCTATCACATTATTTAACAGTTGTGGGGGATCCTGTCCGGGGGCCTTAGTTGCGGTGACGGAAGACACGACGGCGCACGGTCTTGTAGCGGTATCCGTCCTGGGCGGGCTGCTCGTACTCCTGGATGGGCTCCTCGGCCTGGACGGGTGCGGGTGGGATGTAGGCGGGTGCTGGTGCTGCGGGGGGAATGTAGCTCTCAACGGGCGCTGGGGCAGGAGCTGCTGCCGGAGGGGGGATATAGGTGTTCTTGGGTGCTGGTGGCGGTGGTGGTGGTGGAGGAGGGATGTAGGCCTTGGCCGGGGCCGCCGGCGGAGGAATATAGGTGTTCTTGGGCGCCGGTGGTGGGGGTGGTGGTGGAGGAGGGATGTAGGACTTCACAGGAGCGGGCTGAGGATAATCGTAGCCAGAGGCACCCAGCTCCGAGACATCGGCGTAGGCGCAGGCCAGGAAGGCGACGGCAATGATCAGGAATTTCTAGAAGTGGATAAAGTGGATAAAGCGGATAAAGCGGATGTGGATGTAGCGAGGATGTGGCGGGGCTTGTCCTGCGTTGTCTTGCGGAGACCTACCATCTTCGATGGGAACTTGGCTTGTTGCTGCTTGGATCACAAGTTGATTTGTGCTGCTGTACCACATGCGTGCCGCCGGTTTTTATAGCTCATTGTTTTGGCTGTTTGGGGTCAACCGCAGCAAAATTAATTGCACGATGCCCTCACAATATCTGGGGGTCTTGGTCTTGGTTGTGGTCTTGTTTTGTCTTAGTCTTCGTCTCCATCTCAGTCGCTCTCAGTGCCCTCAGCTGCCATGTCAAATCCATAGTCGGAAGATAACCAAAAACTACGGCTGCTACGACAGCGACCCACCAATGCCAAGGTGGTTTGACGGCTTTTCGGTTTTCGGTTTCAGTTTCAGCTTCAGTTTTCGGTCTAAGACAATGCATTCCAAAATTGCTTTGACTTTGGCCAACTCGATTCGTTTTTCTTGTGCCTGTGCTGCTTGTTTCCGAAAAGACAACAAAAAGCTTCTTTAATTAGATCAAACAAACCATTCGATGATTTCCATTTGAATGCTGAAAAATTATTGAATTTTGTTTTTTCATTTTTCGTTTCGTTTTGTTTTATTTCGTTTTTATCTTTTCTAATTGATTGATGTTCGTGGGTCACACGCACTCGCATTAGCTTATGTTTCTGCTTTGTTTTGGTGCTTCATTCGTGTCTCTGCTTGCCCGTGCGGACTGAAAAATCGCCAAATTGTATAAGCCAGGCCCAGGCCCAGACCCAGCCTATGGCGTCGTTTCGTGTCTAAGCCAAAATTAATTTCAATTTGCACAGATTATATTATGCTGATCTTGGCGGTGTCTTGGCGGTCTAATTAATTGCTTAGACCAGCTCAGACTAGCTTTGCGGAATATCTGGCATATAAATCAGTTAATTTTTTTTTGCATTGAATATTTATTTTGTTTCAAAGATATTCGAGAGCTGAACATAGAATAATATGCCTGGGGATGATGTAGTCAGTATTTCTGTGTGATGTAGGCTAAGAACAGTTCCTTAGTATACATACATATATACATACATATGTACAAATATATACACTGATAGAAAAAAGGCATAGTAAAAATAGCTACAATCATATTTGAATTTAAAATGCGATTTTTAAATACAAACATAGTACTACATTGAAATGTAGTCCGCGTAGGCAAAATAATAACCAATTAGTTCAAAAATGAAATATACTCAATATAAATATGAAACATATTAAATTTAAGCATAAAATATTTTTAAATTAAAATTGAAACATATTAGATTTAAATATTAAACATATTAAATTTAAATATGAAGCATATTAAATTTAAATATGAAATATATTAAATTTAAATATTTTCAATTATATGATATATTAAATTTAAATATTTTCATATTAATATCAAAATGTTAGTGAAAAAAGTGAAAGTGAAAATCAATGTCATAAATATTAAATACTAAGTGAAAATATTAAAATTTCAGGGATTTTTTCTATCGGTGAACATATGTATTTGTGTGTAGGTACATTTATGATACGTAACTTTCTCATGTTTATTTATCTTAATCAAGCTTCAAATCCATTGGACTTATCATATAATTTCGTAGCCATCCTTGAACTTCTACGGAAATTATTTAACAATTACTATCGATCTCTTTGTCACAATTTAATTTAAATTGCTATGTTTTCCATGGGTTACCTGCGAGCCAATTACCCCTTCCACTGCTAAAACCTTTCGTCGAATCTGTATGCAGGGACTCCCTGAGACATCCATCCTATATGTAGATCCCCACCTATACCTATACCTTTGCCAAACAACAATCATTTCTTTTATATCGTAAATTCGTTTCTTTTATTCAATTACTTCTTGTGCTCCCGGTGGAGTTGGAGCGCGATTAGTTGGGGCTCCACTCTAGTAACGACGACGGATCACACGACGACGCACGGTCTTGTAGCGGTAGCCATCGGCGGCAAGGGGCTCGATCTCCTCGAGGACGGGCTGGGGAGCCAGGACTGGGGCTGGAGCCAGGATGGGAGCGGGAGCAGCCTTGACGGGTGCAGGGGGAATGTACTGGTTGACGGGAGCGGGAACGGGAATGGACACGGGGACTGGAGCTGGGGCAGGCACCTCAATCTGGATGGGTGCTGGTGGTGCGGGGGGAATGTACTGGTTGACTGGTGCAGGGGCAACCTTCACGGGAGCCACTGGAGCAGGGGCTGGGGCGGGAACCTCAATCTGGATGGGGGCTGGCGCCTGTGCGGGGGGCAGGTAGCTGCTCACGGGCACTGTTGCGGGGGCAATCTTAGCTGGGGCCGGGGCCGGAGCGGGGATGCTCACGGGGGCGTAGTTGTAGCCAGACAGATGGGAGACATCGGCATGGGCAACGGCCAGGACGGCGAGGACAACGGCGAGCAGTTTCTATGGCGAAAAATCCCAAAAAATTAAGTGTCCATTCGCCTTGGGACATCCTCCTCTCTACTCACCATTTTGAGGTGTGTTACTTGGAACGGTGACGCTACTAGTATGCCTTTGACGGCCCGCTGGGGCTCTATTTATATGGCGACTATGGCGACTGGGCGCGGTGCAGAAGCGACGGCTGGACGTGAAGATAGTACGGCTGAAGAAGTGCGTATCGCATAGTCTCTTAATATGCCAGAAACCAGAATTTTACGAGCCAACACTACTCGTATAAGCCCCCATCAATGGCACCCTACGCTACATGTGCAGCCACCTTGATTCCCATTGGAGTTGGAATTTTACGCTATTGAATCTGCTCTCTGGCCTCACATTTCTCACATTTCAACTGCATATTTAATGCATATATGTGTATATTTTATACTATATCAACTGCATTAGCTGCTGTTCCCCTGTAGCGTCTTCAAAAGTCTGCAAAACCCAACTCGTCCATCGCTCTTTGTACTTGTTTGATTTTGTCAGTGCTTTAATTTAAATATCATTTGCATAAACAATTTATGCGTTAGTGTATCGAATTGAACTACCACCAAAAATGAGCCAAAAACAAACAAAAATCAAATATGAAACAAAAACTAACCAAATAAAAACTGGTCGACTGGTCGCAGCCACTTTCCGCTTCTGGCACAGCAGCCTACCGACCGACCGAATGGCAAGTTTAAGCGGCTGTTATTAATCTGCTTGGTTAGCCATGATAAGGTGGCCGAGACTACTGCGGCCTATGGCTTTAATTAGATGGGAGCACAGTCTGGTGAATGGAGGGTGAGGGGAAAGGGAGGGTGGATGGTGGAGAGCCACTCGTTTCGATCGGGTCAAAAGTTGAACATGACGCCAGCTAGACGGACGCCATGTGTCACGACGCGGAAAACAAATTAGCCAGACGGACGAACAGAGAGAGAGAGAGAGGACGGGGTCATACTTTGAGTGGGTGGTAAAAGGTTCCCTCTCTCTGTCTCTCTCTCCATGCAGAATGCATGTGAAGGACAACACTTGGGCGCTCGTCGCTTTCGCTCTTTTAATTACACAAATGGCTAATGAACAACTTTTTCGGGATGCCGCTGGCTGGTGCCTGGCTGGTGCCCAACACAAAAATCAGCTGGAGACACTTGGGCGTCGCTTGCCGTTTTGTGATTTAATTTCTGCTTCTGTTGAATTTCTGTTTTTCGTAAGAGCAAAAAATAAAAGCAAAAAAAAACATAATAAAATAAGAACAAAAAAATACAACCAACAAAAATGGTGGGATGGGGCGGAAAATGTCAAAAAGCTATGCAAACAAGCACTTAACCCCTTTTATTTTGACAATTCCATTATTTTCGTAGCGTCAATAAACTGAAACTGCAAATGTATTTTGAACAAATAGCAGACACACACACACACACACACATACACACACCCAATTGGAGCCGCAAAAGCCATTTTGGTCATGCAACGCTGCGTATACGTAATTTAGTTGTTTGACTGTTAATAGTTGACATGCAGAAGAGGGCCAGGCCAGCGCGCCAACGTGGCGAATCCGAGCGGATCCGGGGGTTGGCTGAAAAATTGAAGCGAATAGAAATAACGATCCTGCAAAATGCCACTGCATGCCACAACAAGCATACAGACACAGATACAGATACAGATATATCCCCTACCCGCCCCTTTTGCATGTTGTGACTGACGGAAATGGCTTCAATTTAGTTTGAAATCATTGCCAAGACTTTAATTCGTGTACGCAACTTCGAAACTAGTGGTGCAGTCTATTGTTCTAGCGGATTAGATAAGAACGAGCTCTAATTTAAATTGATTTACAAGCTGAGGAACTTGTTTCTCTAGGCAATTTTGCTTTGCAGATGATTCGACTCCTTTCACTAATTAGCACCTTCAGATCAGCAAAGATAAACTAAGGTTCAACGACCTCCAGACAAGGCTTAGAGCTGACCCAGCTGCGAGCTCTCTGTCTCTGTTTCTGTTTCTGTTTCTGTCTGTGTCTGTGTCCAGTCGAATTGAATCACTATTTGTTCATGTTTTGTGGACTGTAGCGGCACACGCTTCAATCGGATCCATTTCGCATTCAGAGCCGACGCCGCACCATCGCACCATTTGCATAACTATTTTGCATTATTGGTGCAAAAAAAGGTGATTTAATAAATATTCAAAATGCATTCAACTACCTCCGGGCCAGAGTCACAGTCACAGTCACACTCGCAGCTGGAGCTGGAGCATTGTTCGATTGTTCGGTTTGAGGAGTCCCACCGTTGGCAGAGCGCTTTGACATGACCAACTTCAAGCTGTGGCTGACAAACGCTTAACAATCGATTTTCGACATTTTTCGACGTTCGATGGGCCTGCACGTTCGCCCCAGCTCATAAATTCATTCGCAGCATTCGGTATAGCATATAGCCCACCCATCCGGGTGTATGTACGAGTTGGGGAGTACGAGTATATGCATTTCGCCCAGATAAATCAACGGGCGACAAATTAATGCTGCAAATGAAGTGCAACTGCTGGCATCCAGCGACGACGCGTCGGCCCGGACCCACCTGTCCAGGATAACGATTATTTTCGCGCCTCTTGCTCGTGCCCCCCTCTCTCTCTCTCTCTCTCTTACTCTCTCTTGCTCTGGCGTTCGATGTCGCCCAATATGCAGTAACAGTAAAAATAAATGAAGGCAGTCAACGTTTGCATATTTCAGAGGCTGCCCAGCCCTCCCACCCCCCTCCCCACGAACGTTTGCTGGCTGTTTGGTTTTTCGTTTTTCCCTTTTTCATACTCCCCCTTTTTTTTTGTTGTTGTTGTTGTTGTTTTTGGTTTCCAACTGGCGATATAATTACGTTGATACTGTCAATTTTCGACCCATCCATGCCCCCCCCACATCCATGCGCTGAATCCTGCTCCACCCAATCCTGCTGCGGACGCTGCCTCTTCGATTTCGCATTTTCGCTTTAAAGCCGTAAGCCTGTCGCCGCAGTCCGGGGTGTACATCCTGGGTTTGGGGTACTCATCTGTTTTTACATCCGATTTATAGAGTGAGCTCGGCCAGAGGGTTAGATTCAAATGGGACAGTGGACAGTGTAGCGATAAGTAGATGTATATTTATTCCATTTTTGGCATGCCCAACATTACATGGAAATTTAAAGATAAATCGCAAAGAAGTAGCTCAACAGATTGAATCTAGTTATGTTGCATATTCCAACCAGCTTCCAGCCAGGGTATCGGCTAGTCGAATAACATCTTAAGAGCATTAACAACCGGTCCCCCATACGTTGTATTTTATTTTTTTTTTTTGTATTTCCACAGCAATTTCACTTTTTCCGCCTGGTCGTTTCCTTCTGCATACTTTTAGGCCGGCTGTCGGTCGTGTCTGCCTCGTGATTATTTTGTAATCCAAGCGCCTAAAGCATCGATTACACATCCGACAGGTGGGCCCGCCGCCGCCGTTCTATTGGGCTGTACTGGCCGGAGTCATAATGCGTGTTAATCAGGCATCATTAACTGCTAATTAAGTGCGGTGGGAAATGCAACCAACTGTCAATTGTTCGGGCCCAGCCGAACCCGGTTCGGTGATGTTTTGTTTTTTTTTGTTTTGTTTCTGTTTTACTTAATCGCCCAGTCTTCTGCCTGGCAGAGCAGAGAGTGCAATGAGGCTGATAATTGGCCAATGCAGACCATATTGCAGTTCCCACTAATCTCTGATTGAAATTAGCTGAATGACAGGATGAGTGGATTGCTAAATCGGAAATAGTAGTAAAGCGAGAGGAGAGACAGAGTATCGATGCTGATGGCCATAAATGGGAGAGTATTAGGTAGCTTTTACCTGAAGAGAAATCAACTGAATGCCATATACCTTCTGGTGGAAGATCTGTGTCTATTTACTACAGATTATGCTGAGTATAATGTTGAGACAATGTTCATTAACCGAATCACAATACAATATTAAACTAATCCCATCAGATGGGCGTGCGGTGTGGCTGGATCGACGCGTCGATAAATTGTAATTGCCTGTCCAATGATTTGCTTGCCTGTACGTTTATTTGCTTTGCGGAAACATGAAACATCCGCATCAAAGCAAAAATGTATTTTAATTCATTTAATTGAGCTGCCAATATTTGACCAAAATGCAATTAACAATATAAGCCAGCGAAAAAAAAACGCCATCCTTTTGTGGTCAAGGGGAAAAAGCCCCGAATAGGCTTTCGTTTTAATTACGCAATTACTCGTAATTTTAGGAGGCTCGTTGTTTGCTTTGGCTGCATGCTTTTTAATTAGTATGCGCCGTGGCAACTGTAATATGTGGCTATGTGGCGATGTGGCTTTGCGGCTGTCCTGGCATCCAGACAGGCATCCAGCCGGCAGCTAGAGGAAGTGCAACTCAACTCCCATTTGGCCAACTCTGGCCAGAGTCAGACATTTTCGTAATCAAATTGGAGAGTGGTGTGTGTGTTTGTCGCTGCATTTTCTTGTTAATTTCCTCCAACGTCTATCGTCTAACGTCTATCGCCCTGTCGATGTCGATGTCGATGTCCTTGTTCTTGCTCTTGGCCGGGGTCCTTGTTAGCAGCCACAAGTGGTCACCGCTCTGATGAGGCCAATCCACTCGACTCCATTTACGTCTCCAGTTCCGGTCTCCATCGATTGTGGGTGGCTTCCTTGAAACTTTGAATCTAACGAGAAAAAATTTCCACATCATCAAAGCTCATTCCAGGCCATAAATTTCGTGATAAATGTGGAGAGGAATGGAGCAGAGTAGAGTAGAGTGGAGTGGAGTGGACTCTAGTGGAGTGCATGGCATCGAGTAGCCATGGCAGGATGGACGATTCCTTGGGGAGGCTGCCACAACTTGCTTGCAACTCCTTATTATCCATGTCCCTGTCCCTGCCACTGCTACTGCCGCTTCCACTCCTCCACTGCTATCTGTCTGATGGCAAGTTGATTTCCCGAGTTCTGCCACATCTCGTTCGGTTTCATAAATTTGCGAATCAAACGGCCAGAGCCTGTCCAGGACTTTAAGAGTTTTGCAGTTCTGCTACTGCTACCCCACCCTCGCCACAGCCCTGCCATCACCCATCACTGGCCACAGGAGAAACTTTTTTGTTTCTCATGTGATTTGCAATGATTGGAAAACAATTTGAAGATTCGTTTCTTTTTGTTTAACAAGTTGAAGGAGGAGAAGGAATTTTTTATTGCAACTCCCTGGGGAGTTCGTTAGGAAACAGTTCGATTCGCTTTGCTTTGCTTTGGCTTGGCTTGGCTTGGTTTGGGGCTGGGCTGCCACCTAGCACTTAGAAGCGGTGACGGTAGACGCGACGGCGCACGGTCTTGTAGCGGTAGCCATCGGCAGACTGGGGCTCGATCTCCTCGAGCACCTGCTGGCTAGTGGGCTGGTAGACGGGAGCAGGAGCTGGAGCAGACTGGTAGACTTGAGCAGGAGCTGGGATCGAGATTGGTGCGGGAGGAATGTAGGTCTGCACGGGCGCGGGGGCTGGGATGCGGATGGGTGCGGGTGCCGGAGCTGGGATGCGGATGGGTGCTGGTGCCGGAGCAGGCTGGTAGACTGGTGCAGGAGCTGGGATCGAGATTGGTGCGGGAGGAATGTAGGTCTGCACGGGCGCGGGGGCTGGGATGCGGATGGGTGCGGGTGCCGGAGCAGGCTGGTAGACCGGAGCGGGAGCCTGGATCACAACTGGTGCAGGTGCTGCTGGTGCTGGGGGAATGTAGCTGTTGACTGGAGCAGGAGCTGGGATCTCAATTGGAGCCTGGATCTCAACTGGAGCTTGGATTTCAATTGGTGATGGAGCTGGCTGGTAGACGGGAGCGGGAGCTGGGGCAGAGTAAACGGGAACGGGGGCAGGCTGGTACACCTGGACGGGAGCCACTGGCGCCGGGGGAGCGTAGTCGTAGCCCAGATGGGAGACATCGCCATAGGCGCACGCCACGACGGCAAAGAAAACAGCCAGGAATTTCTGCAGAAAGATGGGCGAGCATTAGAGATAATCCTTAGGTTCCTTGACGATCGCGGCGACTGGGAAGATCAGATCGGATCGGATCGGATGGGCTGGAGTGCTTACCATGATGTCTGCTACACAAGCTTTGAATCGCTTCTGTCTGACTGGTGGGCGATGCAAACTATTTATACGATCGGCAGATCCGAGTTCCGAAACTGACGAGATCTTCGAGCATAGGTTCTTCGAGCCGAAAAAAAAAAAATACCTGAAGATCACATCTGAATATTCAATGTGGATGATGGCTGGAGATACGTTTATTATTTTCTGGTTTGTCTTTGGGGGCCGTCGAAATGAATAAAGTAGCGTTTGTTATGTTTTTTATGTTTAATTGGTTTATTGGCTCACGTCTATTGGCCTGCCTATTGGCTGATGTGGAATGAAGATTGTCCAGTTGATAGGAAGATGGATCGATCCTCGGTCTATAATGTGATACATACTCTCAAGCAGAATGTTGAGCAGATGGATGGATATTTTGGTGTAGCCGGAAATTTGCAATAATCGCTGGAAACGAATGCAGATGCGAAAACTGGTTAAGTGATGCCACTTTAACGACTATTTTATACTCGAAGAAGCCTTAGAAGCCATTGTTCTACATTGAAATAATCACAAACTATACAACTTGTTGGTGAACATTTTGGATTTTGGATTTTGGATTTGCCGCTCCTCTGGTTGTTCTTTGCAGACTCTTTTGTGTTTCGTGGCGCCCACAATATTTGCTAATTAATTCCAATTTATGGTAATCCATGCCAGACAAGATAATGTATTATTATCTACTGTTCTACTTAATGTTTACTCCCCAGATTTATTTCATTATATTTATACGTATGCAAATGTATTCAAAAATGCTACGTAATATTTATTGGAGAATTAATCACAATGCCGCAAGCCCCCACAGAACACCTTTAATAGGTGTGTGAAGATGCGTTTTTTTTCCGACAGACAGAGGTTAAATTTATTAGCAGATGACTCGAGAGATCTTTGGGCCAAACTAGTTCTCCACAAACTACAACGAAACTTGATAGCATTCAACAATGTAAATTTAATTAATGAATAATATACTTAGCCTTAACATGGGTATCATAATTACAGCAAAGACAACGAAATAAATGACAAAAACCCACCGCGACGCCTCCAAGTACAGATTTCAAAGTCAAGGCCGAAAAGATGAGGCGGAAAACCGGTTATGATAGCTGACTGGCCGACACTCTACCCTGGAGACAATGGTTTAATTGGGATGCGATGGTGCCCAACCACATCTGATTGTATTGATAAAAGCGGGCCAAGTAAAGACAATAACGGAAGCCATTTGCCATGCAAATGACCAAAAACGGAGCCCCAACAAAGCCTGGGATGCACAGGCATGTCAAACACGATCGCCATTTACATACACGAAAGATCAACAAATGCAGAGAAAAGTTTCGGCTGCTCGGCTGCAAAATAAACTATAAAAAAAAAAACAAAAAACATAAACAAATACCAGCATCAAATTAGCCAACAAGTTTTTTTTTCTTTTTTTAATGTTTGACTTGGTGTGGGCCATGAATTTGTGTATTAACTTGTTTGCACTTGAACCCACAACGCCCCACTGGGAATATGAATCACAAGTGGTTGAGTAGCGAAGAGCATCCACTCTATTCCACGTGTGGACGATAAAACAAAACAGAAACCCAAACAGCGTAGTTGAAATCGACAGGAGTTGGTTGACAGGGAAAGCAACTGCGATAAATCACAGTCTGTATGAAAAGTATGTTGAAATGTTGAGAATAATGGAGTCACGAATCGAGATAATGAGGAAATAATTTATACCCGGAGAGCAGAGCAATAAATATTTATAATTATAAATGAAATTGTGCATGCAATTTTGTCTTCTAAGGTCTAAACAATCATCACATCTCGGCACACCTCGACACACATGAAATAATTACTGTGTGTTTTGGCATTTTTGGAGTCTGTGGCTCTGTGGCTCTGTGGTTGTGTGGTTCTGTGGCTCTGTGGAAGAGCATCGTTTATTTATGGAAACGTTAGACAATAAATAGGAAACCTTGAGATAGTCTAGCGAATCAATATTTCAGGTTCAGACGTCAGAGCCAGACCCAGACCAAGACCCATTTTTACGACCATAATCATAAGTAACCGGTTTTCGGCCAATTAATTGATGGCCAAGGGTTCGTTAGATCACAGAATTATGGGATCTTGTTCTACGCGGATTACAGTCTGGCATGGATTACCATAAATTGGAATTAATTAGCAAATATTGTGGGCGCCACGAAACACAAAAGAGTCTGCAAAGAACAACCAGAGGAGCGGCAAATCCAAAATCCAAAATCCAAAATGTTCACCAACAAGTTGTATAGTTTGTGATTATTTCAATGTAGAACAATGGCTTCTAAGGCTTCTTCGAGTATAAAATAGTCGTTAAAGTGGCATCACTTAACCAGTTTTCGCATCTGCATTCGTTTCAAGCGATTATTGCAAATTTCCGGCTACACCAAAATATCCATCCATCTGCTCAACATTCTGCTTGAGAGAATGTATCACATTATGTATGTATCACATTATAGACCGAGGATCGATCCATCTTCCTATCAACTGGACAATCTTCATTCCACATCAGCCAATAGGCAGGCCAATAGACGTGAGCCAATAAACCAATTAAACATAAAAAACATAACAAACGCTACTTTATTCATTTCGACGGCCCCCAAAGACAAACCAGAAAATAATAAACGTATCTCCAGCCATCATCCACATTGAATATTCAGATGTGATCTTCAGGTATTTTTTTTTTTTCGGCTCGAATGGCCAATGGATTTCGAAAAGGGTAGATATTGCAGCTGAAGTCTAGAATCGCCTCTCGCTACTGGGCGGAGCCTTGGCAAAACTAGTTTGCCGGCCAACCAGCCAAGAGTGTGGCTCTCCTCTCCAGGCACCAGGCATCCCCCGGCTAACAGAGCCAGATTTGCAGAGTACTCCAATGGATGGCCATAGCCCACTTACAGTTAGTCACATTTAGTAGTCGCAGCTTTGTCTTTTTTATGCACTGGCATATTAATTTTTGGGGTGCCAGCCAGCAAGCCACAAAATAAGAGGCAAAGGCGCGCGGCAACAGTCTCGTAGCGTGTAAGGCAGGGGGAAGTGCCAGCGGAGGATGAGTGGCAGAAGAGTCAAGTTACGAGTGCAGTGCACAAAAGGCAGAAGCGGAAATGAAATCACGTACCAGGGGCGTTGTTATTCACAATGAGTGTGTGTGCCTGTGCCTCGGCAGTAAGTCTGAGTGTGTGTGTGTGTGTGTGTTTCTATGGATGTTGTGGAAGTTGTCAGCAGCCGCGGCGACGACAGAAGCTGCCATTTTTATGTACGAGTATGTTTCTGTGTGTCTCTTTCTGGGTGTGTGTGTGTGTGTGTGTTTTGTGGAAATGTCTAATGTCCAATTTCAATTTGGACTGGCTGTCGAGGCTGACAGAACCTCCTCCGTTGCCGTCCGTTCACCGCAAATGGCAAACAATGTGAAAGGTGCCACCATGCCTCAGTTCTCGCTCCCCCATTGAAGCACTCACTGCAGAAGCAGAAGCAGTGGCAGTGGCAGTGGCAGAGTCAGGCGCAGAGGCAGAGATCGGGGCTAAGTTTATTTACTTTATCACGAAATAATAAAGTTTACAGAAAGGAAACGTGCGCCGTGCGGTATGCTGCACTTCTTAGTCATTCGCGTTATGTTCGTGCGCGAGAGGGGCAGGAGGAAGTGGCATGTGTGTGCTGTTGAAAGTGTGATGACTGTACAGTGTACACCACTTTGACAAAAGCCTTTTTTTTTAAGAATTTAAGCGCACAAAGCGAATTTTAAACTTAAGTCAGCTACGAAATCAAGAGACTGAGGAGAGAGACTGCTCGACTGGGCTATGTCCTGGAGCAACAATTATGGGCAGAAGCCACAGGCTCAGTACTAACAGAAATTAACCAGAAGCCAAACCAACAACAAATACTTTAAAATTAGCTGCACTTTCCTTTGAATACCCTGTACTTCCCCGCTGCATACCAGCGAAAAAAAATACCAAAAAAAAAAGGGAAGCAACATTTTTTCCAGCGCATTGCAGTGAAGGAAACTTTGGGCCCAAAAGAAAGAAAGAAAAAAAGAAAGGGGAAAAAAAGGTAGCAAAATTAGCGACATGCTGTGTGACGTGACTCGACTGCATTACGTCCTGTCCGTGTGCCAGCCTGGTCCTTTCCGTTCTATGCCGTGGCTTTTCTTGCCACATGTCTTTGACAGCCAAAGAGGAAGGAGAGGCGGCAACTCCGGGCCAGCTTTTCGCTAACGACACAACTAAATTATTTAAAAACTCTCTAAGTGCAAAGAGGCTTTGTGCAATTAAATGCGTTCGCAGCTCGCTACGCACACATGTGACACGCGCTTGGCCAGAACCAGAAGCAGGCAGCAGGAGTAGAACCCCCGAAGACGGTTTCGCTCTCAACGTGGATGCTTCTGTAATGATAATAATTACTTCGACTCTCTGGTCACATATGTGAATGTGTGATGCGGAGTGGATTTCCTCCCTGCGTGTGCGGCTAATTACAATAAATTTGGCTAATTATTGTCTGGCATTGTTTTGGCCCTTGCGGCTGTAAACTTTAAGTAGCTCCAGACAGAGAGAGAGAGAGAGCAGACCAAGTTTTCTGCCATCGATACTGCAATGGCGGGGAAGAGCTGAAGGTCCAGAGAATTCCCAAAGTAAGGGCAATGTCTGGCTAATTGTCTTCTAAATTATGATAAGGAACTTTCTTCCCCCCCTCCAGTTCGAGTTGAGTTGCTTAAAAGGGTCAGACAGGTCAGTTCTCGTGCATAGACTCTCGTACTCGCATGATAAATGCAATTACGTTCGGAGTTCCGAAGAGTAAAGTGAGTGCTGAAAGGTTGTCCGGGGGTGGATTATTATTATTGAATTTGAAGTGCCTAAAGGAATTAGTGGGGAAAGCTAATTGAATGGACAAATACTGAATTTTAAGTGGACAATTTGGGTGAGTAAAGTGTGCAGTAATGTGTGTGTAATATAGCAGATGAGCAAAGTATCTAGAAGATTTTCACATTAAAAG